GGTACCTACAGTATTAGAGATCCCATTGGACTCTTACTAGGTCTAATGTATCCTTTCTCAATATTCTTTGTAAGATATTCCTTTAACACTTTAGCTTGTTGTTGTGTTTTGAGATATATTAGTCCTGGTTTCAATGTTGCCCCTTCCTTAAGAGGTATTTCATGATCCTATGGCTTGTGTCTTAATAATACTGTTTCCTTTGGATCTTTGAAAAGTTCCCTAAACTCTTTATATTCTGGTAGTATCTCAGTTATTAGCATCCCTTTAACCTTATAGATCTACATTACATAAGCCCTATGCTTAGTGTCTAATATTTCTTTCTATATGTGTCTAAGACTTATTACCTTGATATTTAAGTCTCTCATTAATTTCTTATAATTGATCTTCATTTGTTGCTTATTCTGTCAAAGTCTTTAGCATCCTGCCTTTCTAAGCAACTTAGGATTTTCTAATCTAGGCCTTCTAGTTTGTTAACTTCCTGCAACCTTTGTAGTAGGAAAGTGAATGGTCTATCAACACTAGTCAATTTGTAGGTTGGTTGCCTGCAACTAGTCCATTCCTAAAATGAGGTCTAACCTCATCTCCATATTGATAATGTTAATAGAGCTATGCCAAGACATTCTGTCTAATTGCATGTCAAGCTCTTCTGTATGCATCATGATGAATCTCTTACTATATACTGGTAAACTTCTGTCTACCATTCTTACTTAAATTAGATCTTTCTTGAGTTTCCATGACAGATTTAGCCATTCCACCACCCTGGGTAATATAACACTTTCTGTAGCTCCACTGTCTACTAGTGTACTGACATGTTTTCTTTAGATCTAAACCTGTACATATACTACATTCTCTGGGTTTATGTTTACAAAGCATATAGTCATGTCATCCTGTTACTCTAGATTTAGGTAGCCTCCTAGTTTTTTGACTAAGATTTCCCTTTGGAACTTATATCAATGCTATGTACTAAGCAACCATTTACTATGTAGTCTTGCTTTAGTATCTAGTAATGTCCTAGATACCTTAGATCCTTCTTTGCTACTTGTTATTCTAGGGTATGTGAATAGCATCTATCTTTTAGGCAATCATACCATTTTGTTTGATGTAGGTGTTCATCTTGTCATTGAATCCAATTTAGGCATCTAATTTTCTAATATTCATACCATGGATGGTACTACTCTATTGTTTCTACCTTGAGTACTTAGTCTCTCCATTGGTTACATTTCTTTTAAGCTTCTTAGAGTTTGCAAAATAAATACTCTTCATAATGAGCCTTAGCATTGGTGACTTTGGTTTCTGAGTCATTAGACTCCTCATTCCCTAAAATGAATGTTTCTCTTGTTTCTAGTTTATGCTATTGTTGCTCCTCTTGTTACCTCCTTAGCTACTGTTCTAGGTCTTGGTGTTATTATTGGTGCTCTAGGGTCCATTCCTTAATAGCATTCTTCTAGATGTTCTGTTTTATGACCTTTTCTTCTTCCATCTCTTGATGGAAGTTATGTCACCCTACTGTTTGTCTTTGGACTCTCCTGATGTATTTAATTGCTACAAATTGTCAATCTATGTCTGTAAGCTAATCTTCATTGTTAATCCTCAGATCATCTAGCCAATATCATTTACTCTGCTCTTGGAGGTCCTCCCTTAGCTTCATGAGTATAGCTTCTTCTAATATTATGCCTGTGATATTCTAGTATTCCTTAGTCTGCTTAACTTCTTTGGCAATTAGGTCTACATATTCTGTCATTTACCTGTATCAGGCTAGGAACTTGTCTTTTTGTCTCTCTTCTAGCTAGTCTAGTTCCTGGGTCTACTTTTGTAATACCTTGATTCATTTTGTAGTTTCTCCTTGGGTTATTCTGGTTTGCTTGTCAACTTCCTTCTTAAGCCATTTGACATAGTTCTAGTGTCACTCCATGACTACTTCTTGCAAGTATAGGTATTGTTGTGCCAGGTTCTTATAGATCACTTATCAAATCTTGCTTTCTTGTTTTAATCTACTAGATGTTCCTAGGTAATGTATATTTATTTTTCTAAACATATACTATACATTGACTTTGTGCTTTCACCTGTTCTGGTCCCATTAGTATTAGTCAAGTAGTTTGTTTGGTTATTCATGTACTTTAATAATTAATATTGTTACTACTTTAGCTTCTTCTTTCATTTTGTTAATAATTGGTTCTTCTATAAATTCCACAGTTGTCCCTATGACTACCTTCAAGTATTGGGTCTGTTCTTGAGCTTTCTATACCCATTTGAGGTCTAGATCTAGTTGGTTTTATTCACTTTCCTTCTATCCTTGAGGTTCAATAGGTTCCAAGAATCTAATCCTAAGAGTCTATATGTCTTTGGATTTCCCATGGTTCTTTTGTTTAGTTTTGTAATCCTTTCTCCAGTGTCTAGTTTTTCTGCATCTAAGACAAGCTTTTTCATCAAAGTATTATTGTCTTTCTTCTTTGCTAATGGAGTTTCTGTACTTTTGTTTTTGTATAGCATCAAGGTCCATTAGGTTACCTCTGTCTGGTATTTTGTTTTAATACTTCTTTATATTTGCTCTGTAGCTAGTCTTGTATCCTGAATGTTAACACTTCTTTTCTTGCTCTTGTTTATATTAGTGGTTGTTAATTTTTATAGCTAGTTCTGCCATTCTATGCATGGTTTCTAGCCTGTCTCCTCTGGCTATTTCATCCTTGACTTACTCCTTAAGTCTATTATAGAAGATTGTACTTAATAGTACTTGTCCTTATGGTATGACTAATGCTACTCATGTAAACTCTGCCATGTATAAGGCTGCTAATCCCTTCTGCTACATTGTCTAAAGCTTTTATTCTACTACTTATACTTTATTAATCTTGCCATAGACTTCCTTAATGTATTGTTTAAATTTGTCATAGTGGCTAAAGATGAGTGTAGTCTTTGCTTCCATTTGATCATTTGGTCCATTCCTCATGTAGTCATCCATGTATAGTTAGAACCACTCTAGGGCTTCTTCCTTTATGTACATTCCTACTACTAAGATTTTGTTTAATTTGCCTAGAAAGGTTGTTATATTGAACCCTAGGTATAGCTTCATAGTAATAAGTCATGCTTTAAGCATCCCTCTCTTTCCATCAAATTTGTCTAGTATTACTACTTTGATGTTGGCCTGTCAATGCTATGTTGTCAATTGAGCTTAAAGTCCTATGATCTACTCCCTAAGTGTTGTAACTACTACTGTGGTTGTCCTGGTAGTAGTTGTTCTTGAATTACTAGACATAGTGAAATGCCTTTACTTGTATTACCTTCATCCTAACATTGAGTAGTTCTTTTGTTATAGTGACACCTATGGATAGGCATCAGGTTGTATCTTTCTAGATAGTTTCCTGTTAGTACATTAAGGGTTCTTACCTAGTAATATAGTGTCCTACAATATTATTTAGTAATAGGAGCAATATAAGATGAAATAATAATTTAGGTTAGGTAGATAAAGTAAACAATAAGATATTGTTGTTATACTAGTATCTAAATACTAATAACTAATTACTATAAAGTAGTAATGCTAAAGTAATAACATCAAGAACTACACAGAATAATTCTAGCTACATAAGAAAATCATCCTCCTTATATAGACAATCTGTTCTGTACTAATTACACCTGATCACCCTGATTACCTTGTAATTACTTGTAATTACTGTAATTACTATTTCTACTACTGTTCTCTACTTTCTTATCTTATCATCATGTAACTCCTTGTCCTATAATATCATATAGTGTACTGTACCTCTGTACTTCATAAGTAGGCCCTGTGCCATCCATTACTAACCCTTGTAACCATTGTTATACATCCTCACTACATATTTAGTATGCTATAGTTACCTTTGTAGTTACCATCATGTCTTGCCTAGGTTACAAATGTGTCCCAGTATTAGTTAAGAAAGTATAGAGGTATGTTTAGTGGCTTGCATAACCATTAGCTTTACTACAATAAGTAAATGTAGCTAGGCAAGCTATGTAGTTCTACTAAAATAGGCCTTACTAAATTAGGAAATGAATCAATACCTAGTAATGGATTTAGTGTTTTATTAAAACACTACAATTCTTTTCTACTACAAAGTATACATTCTATTACAAATTTAAATTAATTACACAGGTTAGTCTTTCTTAGCATCATGTCTACAATGGTAACAAGTATAGTAACTAACACTTAATTAATAGATCTACAAAAATGACTCATGAAAAGAGAACTTCAAGACACTTACTACCTATGAAGTCTTAGGGTCAAAGGGCCAAACTATAATTCTTTTAGAATCACAGACACTAGGTCTGGTTCAGGGATGCAGCTGCCCAAGATAGGTGGCCTTTCAATGTCCTTGAGCTAGTGAAAGAGTCAATGAGTCAGGGAAAAACCAATGGTAAGTCTTACAAGGTAACTACAATGGTAACTAAGACTAACTTGACTAAATGTAAAACAGTAGAAGCATTGTAGAAGATCTAGTTCTATCAAGAGAGTATCAGGCTCATTCTCCCCTGTATAGCTTTTTCCTGTATAGTTCAAGAAATTACAATGAGCTACAATACAGAGCTGTGTTTTTAAAGGGTTGTAATGCTTGCATTGCAGAAGGTAACAAAGGCATATCTTGTAGCATTTTTTGATAGTTTGTACAATTTAAGCATACTTATTAAACATTTGACTAATGCATTTATCAGATGTAACTCTGCTTACAATCCATGCCAAGTAAGTTACATTGTAATTGAAGGATGTACAGTTCTTAAAGCAGCTTATGAAGAATCTTGAAGTAAAAGCAATTGGTATTTAAGGTAGACAAGTTAAAAAAATAACATTTGATATTACATCTCCATTGGGTCTTTCTTTGATCCTGTTAGTAAATGTAATGAAATGCTCTTATCATCTTCTTCATTCCAAAAGACATTATTGAATTCATCAACAAGAAAATTAGCAAATTCATCATTATCATCATTATCATCCTCTTCATTGCTATCAACTTCCTTAGCTTTTAACTAATCATCTATGTCTAATGCATTTTAATTTACTAGTAGATTATCCAACTAGTTTTAGTTAGCAGACTAAGAAATGTAACATGAAGTTACCATTATAGTTACCTTTAGATCCATGTAGGTCTGATTTACAATACTACCATTAAAGATGCTCATTTCATGCTTAGCATTAATAGAGCCAGCCTGTGCTAGGAAGGCACTCCTTGCATATTTGCCAAGCCACTCTTGTCTTTTAATCACTGGGTCAAGATGTTTTCACAATACTGCTTTTAAATCTTACTGTTGCTGGCTGTCAAGTCTGATTGTCTAGTAAAGGTACATGCATTAGTTGAAGTAACTAAACAAAATCATTAGCTTCTCAATCAACTTACAGTTTCACTTCAAAGCTTCATTACTTCTGCCTCTAGATCCATGGCTGCTAGCTTCTCTTCAAGCTCTTTTGACTCCTTCATCTTTCTTGCTACCATTTGGGTGTCTTTAATAAAGTTACCTTTGAAATAAATTAGAATACCTTTAATCTATAATAGTAGTTACTATAGTAGTTACTAAAAGAACCTTTATTGTATTTGTCCTTCATTAGCTTAGCTATGGCTGCCTCAATGTATACCTCCTGAGTTTCTTCATCATTGAGTGTAGTATATTCAAGATCTCTTATAACAATCTTCTTTCTAAGCTTTGAGGTAGCAATACAATTAGCAGTCTATGCCCTGGACAGCTCTAGCTCATTACTACTTAGTGTGTTGACCTGCTCTCTAGCTTGTTGTACATTTATATTCTGTACATAGCTCCCCTTACTTTTCTTTAGTTTAATGGGCTGCTTGTCCTTGTGGCCATGCTTTCTTTTTGGTAGTACAGACATGGTAACTATTTGGTAACTATTAATAAGGAAATTAGATCTAGCAAATATTCTGGTTTTGAACTTACATTTTAATAGATATAACAATAGATATACTATTTTGCTAGAATGTAACAATTAACTTTCTTTATTTACAAGTTTGTCAAGGTTCTTTGTATAGTGTTTGACACTAAGCAACAGTGGCTGTATTAGTGTGTTTTCTAGTTTAATTTTTGAACAAGACAGAAAAGGTTAGTGAATGATAATCTACAGACTAAAGATCTCTTTGTTAATTAATTATTATAAGAGAAGCAGGATGCAAATATTATGATTGCAATTGAGTTCTTACTTCTACTATAAGGTAACTAGTAAGGTAACTAGCAAGGAGCTTACAGAATAGTACAGGAGAAGTAACTTGTCTAACAAGTACCTCTTTTTCAAAATCAGCTATAGATAGCTAGGGAGTGATTTCAACAGGTATATATAAGATAGCAAAATTGATGCCATGCTACTCAGACTCAAAATCAAACCTTTACTAAGCTACCTCCAAGGCAAGAAGACTATTAGTTTAGAACCAAACTATCTATTAGTAGTATGACAATACCATTCCCTATTAGTAACTACAAGGGTAACTACATACTAATGCTTAGCTTTTATAGAGAATGCTTTACATGAGATCTACTACTACTAAAAGTCTATTAGTCTCCTTATACCTTAACTCAGCTTCTAGTATCTTACCCATGAGATAGCTTTAGATGCTACTTAAGTAGGAGTAACACTATGTTTCTAGAGAGCTGCCTTACTGGCTGTCCAAGAAGTAGCAGAAGCATTCCTGGTTTTATATTTTGAGAGTATGCTATATGCTTTCAAGTTTCTATATATGTGTTCTGTTTACTAATTACATGAACAGATGTACAGCTACTTACCTTTTATACAAAAAGGATTACTTTATAGATAAAAGACCTGGTTTTGTTGAGAAATTTCATGAAGAATTTAGATATATAGATTAAATAGATTAAGGGCCTCTAGTAATTGAGATTTACAGTTCATTTAAATACTAGTATTTTTTTGGGGTAGGTTTTTGTAATTTTTATCTCTTATTTAATTATCAAGTATTTTATTTATCTTTATTTAATAGAAATAAAATATGGAACTAACATACCTTATATTCAGCTACAATACAAGTTATATCTATAATTAAATATCTTTCTACTTAAATACTATTTAAATAAACAGAATAATTTACTCTACTGTTATAACAAGCACTATAAGTTCAAAATATTACATGACTTTTCATTTTGGAGAAATATAAATATAGAACATGTAACTTTTAAAAAACATAGGGTTATCAAGATGGTAACTATACTGGTAACTACTCAGAGTTGGAGGAGTTATAGCTCAACCCTGAATCCAGGATAGGTTCAGGACTAGTACTACCATGAACACCTCTTCTAATATCTACATCTGAGCTGCCAGGACTGTTAGTATCAATCCATTGCATGTCAATTGAGGGTTTTAACATAGAGGACTCAGTCAAGTAAATAATCTCTATATTATCCATGACTATCTAATGTCCTTCTATTTCTAGCAGCCACTTTGAGAAAGTTGCTAATGGTTTAGCAAGCTAAATGTACTCCTTTATTTGCTTACAAATGTACCTTTAGCAGTCATGTTTAATTGCTTCCAAGAAATTAGCTATTTTAGTCTAAGTATAGCAGGATTTTTAGCAAGACCATTCTTTCTAACACAGTATAGTTACCAGGATAGTTACTATAACTAGCTTGCTCCATCTAGGTTAGATTTGCTTTACTATATTTCCTTTACTTTTGATAGATCCTTATACTCTCTTGTTAGTGTAGCTCTAGTTTATGATAGAAAATACAAATGGTAGCTCCTTACAAGCAAGTAATTTTTTAGATTTTTTCCACTACTATCATTTTGCTCAGAATTACTTTCATTGAACCTGGTATACTACTACTCTTTCTAAATCTTGTATACAGACAGATTTTGCCTTTAATCTTGCCTTGATGATTGCATTCAGTCATCTGTATTTGACTACTTTCATTAGTCATTTTCTTAGACAGGCTTTTTGTCTTTTCTTACCTTCTTTAGTACTCTCTTGTTACTTGTTATTGCTTTCATCATTTTCTGGCTTGTTTTCTGCCACTCTAGTATGCTACAATGCTTTCTTTGTTACTTTAACTTTTCCTACATTGTATAAGCTTTATATCTAATAATAAAGTTACCATTATAGTTACTAATCTTCTGACCTGTTTTTTACTTTGAAGTCCTTAACTTTCCTCCCTATCTACTTTATCTTGTAATGCTTTGCTTTCCTAAGCAATGTAAGTAACTCTCTCTAAATACATTAGAACTTTGAAAAGCTTACTTGTGTATTTAGGAGCCATGATGGGCTGACTATTTCATATATATTGTTTGCTAATGATAATAATACCTTTGCATAAGCTACAGCTGAGCCTGTAGATACCTAAGTCATCATTGCTATAATAACAAAGAGTAGTAGTAAATGTAGAAAGCAGAGATTACTACTCAACCTAACAACAAAAGCAACAAACAAAGCATTATCACTACCATTACCAAGAATCCAAGATACAAATAGCCTGCCTTTGAACAATTACAATTTGTAGCAATATGCCTAGAAAGCATGGTCATCCTGAAAGCAAGTTTTGTTCTATATCTAACATTGCTTGCATCTAACATCATTCTAGTTATAACTCATGAAGGTCTAAAGGCTAGCACTCCTACATTCTATATGTATCTGCATATCTAATTCTCTATTACATGTTTTACTAACTATCTTGGTAACTATCTACAGAGTTAGACAATCTCAAACAGTTACAAATTATCAAAAGTTAAATCAATACTTTGAAAGGCTTAAAGGGCAGCAATCCTACATCCTATATGTATCTATATGTCTTATACTTTGTTATGTGTTATCACTTAGTAACTGTCTTAGTAACTATAGAAGCAGACAATTTAGAAAGTATGCAAGTTTTGCTACATACTCTAGAAGATACAAGAATGTCTACCCTACAGGGTAAGTCAAAGAATGCAATACTCCTTGTTTATGTATATACTAACTAATCTATAGTAAAGACATTAGCTGGTCTTGGTCTATCATGGACTGACTTGGAGATCTATCAAATGGATTTTCTTCTACTTGTAGAGGAGTACTTGTCACTGGCTGGCCTGGAATACAAGCTTTTAGCAAAGAGTACAATCATCTTGCAAGCCACCTGTAAACAATTTCTAATTGCTTTTTTTCAAAGTATGTAATATGATCTTTATGTATTTAGCAATAATCTAACATTAGTAGATTGTAACAAGTATATTGTCAGCTATAATAGATATTGTGTCCTTTGACAAAAAAACTTTAACAATATGAGAACCTTGTCTTTCAAGAAAGACAATTAGATAGATATCATAATTCTAGATTACCATTTACCATTGGTCCATTATAGTTACCATTATAGTTACCTGTTGCTTCAAGAGTATTGATTGATAAATGCATCCTAAAAATGGTAACTAACATGGTAACTATGACCATCTTTTGTAGTTACTTTTTTCTAATACAAAAACTTCATAATTTCTTGCTATAACCTTCTTCTATATATTGTTTTGTACTTTTAATCTCATGATAAAAAGCTAAAATCAAAACTTAAAGCTTCTTGAATTTTGATGATGGCATTTCATTCCTTTCTAAACAAAAGGTTATGGAGTAGTCTAAGTAGACATTTTATGCATGATATACATTTATATCAGATTTATGCATAGATGGGTTTAGTCAAAAAAACCACCCATGCCTAGTCTAGAGGTTGGTCTTTACCTCAAAGACCAACCTAGACCAAAGACCAGCTTGGTATAGAAATTTTGAGCAAAGACTAACCTAGACCAGACCAATGGACACCCTAATCACATCCTAAACACATGCCCTTTGCTTTAATATGTCCTTATGGTTCATTTCAGCCACAATGACAGTAATTACAAAGGCCCAGTTTCTAAGTTTCCAACATGAGCAATGTACAACAAAGGGAGATGATTTAGAAACTCACCAGCAACAAGTCTACTCCTGCCAGAACATCTACCTCCCAGGCAGCATAACCTGTTCTGCAAGGTTTTTTACCATCAGGCCAAGGGATCCTATCAGGTGCCTCACGTGATGGAATCTTACAGAGGTCAACAATTTTTGCACCATCCAGGTAAACAGCAAAAGCCAAGTGCCTGTAGGTGAGTGCTTGCATTTCAAGAGTAGTCTGCTTGCCCTTGGCAGTGCCTGGTACCACCATATTGTTCAAGGTAACATTGAAGTTGTTCCAACCCTTCCACACCACTGTAGCAGAGAGTGAGCTGCTGACATCTTCTTCATCACTAGCACTACTAGAAGGAAACTTGAGATAAAAGTGTTCCTTGATGTTAAAGAACTGCCTCCAGAGTTTGAACAGCAAAGTGCCATTATTGGGGTCAATGAAATTGTAGTGCTTGCTGTTGCTAAAATGTTTCCTGTTGACATGGAAAAGAACACTTGAGTTGGCATGAAAACAGGTAAAATCTTTCCACATGTTGTGTTGTTTAATGATAATCATAGTAGGTGATGTGGTGATGTACTCGGGGCATATTGCAACTGGTTTGGCACGGCTCTCCAATGGCTTGTTTTCTGCTTGTTTCGCAGGCATATTGTGCAAGAATAAGGTGCATGTACTTTTCAGTAGTGAAAAAATGGAGGAGGCCTGACTTAAAAAAAGGGAGAAAGGATTGATAGTTAAATAATGAGATGACCTCGGACCGTCATGGGGAACTTGAGTCTTGACAGGAGACGCTACGCGACCGTGGACCCTCTTGGCCAAAGCCAAATGCTCCGAGCTGTCTGGTCTGTGCAAGGGTTTGAATGCTAAACAATAACCAAGTGGATCTCCATTCACCGAGGCAGACCCGTTCTTATTACTGGCACTGGCCATATCCACAAGCCTCCTGGCAGCTGATTTCTCTCAGCACTCTCGCTTTCAAGCTTGGCAGCGTCATCGTCAACTTCTCTCCTCAGGGCAGCCCTTGGTAAGTCAAGTGTCCCCAAGGAGTATCCTTCCACCCGGTGACATGGCCAGCCCCGACATTATGCCAATGTCCGTTCAACGCTAGAGAAACTCTGAGTCGTCTGGCCAATAATTAAGGTCCATTTTACGATGACGATGACGTCGTGCAAGGGCAAGGAACGTCTTTTAAAAGATGACCCTCAAGGGCAGGTCGCAGTGAAGTGAAGTAGCATACGGAGGTAAACGCCCAACTCCCTCCTTTATACATACAGGCACCTTTAGTTAAAAATTCAAGGTCTGTGGACCTTTGTACGAAGTAACTTACAGTGTTTAATAATGTCTGTCATGTCATGCATTATCACAATGTACCAAAAGGACTGCGCACAATCATGTTCGTCTTGTCTTGAACACTTGGACACTTGGACTCTTGGCAATTTCAGCAATTCTGGACATGGCTGCATATGCTTTTCCTCCTATCCCGCCCTTCGCGGCAAATAGCGGCAGGCAGCCGGGGGGAAGGGACCGCAACCGCCCGGTCTCCACTGCTCCCTCCCGCTAAACACACGACCCACTGGTTCGTGCGGCGTGCACTCGGTAGTAGGCTTTGCTCATTTTCTGGTCCTGTTCCTCGTCCTGGTCCTCGTCCCCTCCGCTCCACATTAATTGTGCACTACAATACTTTTTATAAAATAGTATGATTGGCCCCCTTTTGACTTTTTGACGGTTCTTAATTACCTCTGCCAGTCTTAATTACCTTTACCAATTTCAATTACTTCGGACAGTTGTAATTACAGTGTACGGAGGTATGGAGGTACGGAGTATTCTCGGAGAAGTAACAACTCTGGCGTGTGGCAGGGGTCTTGACTTCTGGATCAACACAGTGTACCGTAGCACTTTGAAGAGAGTACCAACTTCCCAAGTTTGTCTTTCCGTGCTCTAACTTCAAATATTAACCATGTCTATTACTGAGACGGGAGGTCTTAATGGTCCAAAGGTGTTGCACGTTGCAATCATTTTTTTTTTTCTTCATTTTATTTTATTTTTATTTATTTGTTTGTTTGTACTTTTCAGAAACACATTCCTATCCTTGAATATAGTTGTTTGTTGGTAATACTAGATATTAAATAATCCCAATTCTTACTGCTGGAGTATTAACTTGTTAAGTTCTAAAAAGTCTAAAAAAAAAAAAAAACTATCTGCTATCTACAAACAGTAGACTTCTAGCAGATGGCTATCTTTTATAGTTTACTACATTGTTATACAGAAACAGTAAACCTTGTACTGTATATATATATATTCTATGTCTTTACTGTACTAGACTCTAGTATACTATATACTATATACATAATACATAATACAAAAGTCTATTACTTATAATTTGTAAACTCGTGGACCATAGCACACTAGTATTGAAATAAAGCTTTTACGTCTGGGTTGCTTGATTTAATCAAATTTTATTTTGAACAGGCCAACAGTACTATGCTCAGTAGCTGTTCTACCTTCAAAGCCTTGGCTGAATTCTAGTCTCTTTACCGTATAATATCTAAGGTAGGTTCAATAGTTGAAGTACTCGCTAAGAAATCACCGAGCCAGGCATTAGCTGCTTCTAACAGTGGAATTCGTTACTTGTGTATTTTATCTTTTTAACCCGAGTCCCCGACACCATGACTACGGTCCATGGTCCATGGTCCATGTATTACCTGATTCGCCGAGCCATTGAGTTGTTGAGTTGTTGAGTTGTTGATGTAAGGGCCGAGGAAGAAGAGGAGCAGGTTTTAGATAACTCAAGTTGTATATAGTATACTACTAAATTAATAAATTACTTGTATAGTTTATAAGTAAAGTAGAATGAGAACGAGCCAGATTATTTTTACTGTTCTATAATAAAAGTATTGGATCATTGATGTTATAGATGTTTTCCTTCATCTATATTTACTCTGTACACCCTGCCGTTCAAGGTCGGATCGGCTCGGATTTATATACAGAATATAGGAATATTGATTATTGCAACTAAAGTACGAGCGAGTCACGAGAACTCTCAATTCTCTGTTCACCTTGATTCTAGAATTCTAGTGAGAACTGAGCATGTAGTATAGTTCCGGGATATTCAATACTTCCAGGTTTGAGGCTTGGCTTGTTCCATATCAGCGACTCTGCGATTTAGCATTGCTGGTCATTCTACATGTCCTCAACATTGTACTTCTTACATTTACGGTTTACCCATTTCATACTGTCATGCCGTCATGCTGTCACACATGGAGCTATCTACACGCAGTACACTACATAATGCTTTTGCATTAATAAAAAGAAGACCCTAAATTATTTCTTATACAAGCTTTAATCTTAATGGCTGGCTAATTTATTAGATGGCTAGCAAGTTTATTTCAGGAAAATATGCCCTAGTGTACCGAAATTGTAGAGTTCTGGTCTATATTGGGAAGTGCTTTAACCATTTATAATGGCGAGCCGCGCGTTATCCTTTTTTAACGCACCTGTTTTGTTAATCCGCGATGGGCAAAGTAATGGCAGACTGTAGACCTGTTTTATTAATATTCATGATAGGTGTACGGTGTACTGTGTGTTCCTACTAAACTGAAGAAAAGATATGGTCCCATGGATGCTTGTAGACAGTAGACCTGCTTTAGTCAATCTCCAAGGACCAAGTTCGATGCCTTTCACTCAGACTAAAACTAAAGTAGAGATGGACGCTGGCTCTGGCAAAGTATGTAGAACTAAGAATATAAGATCCGAGAAAAGCTTTAAATTTTAATCTAGGTCTAAAGAATGACTTGGTTTAGATAAATTAAATCAACAACCCGGAGTTCACAAATCCATAAATCAACCAGTCTACAAGTCGAACTATGAAAACAGACTAACAGTAAACATGATAACAGATATAACTAAACTACTCAATGAAAAATCACTCACTCAGAGTCATAGTCTCATGGACAATATAAACTACTTTCCTTGAGTCTTGGCATACCCTGCTCTCAACTACACGTCGCTGTCTGGGAAAGATGCGTTCGAAGGGCACGCCGCACTATTGATGCTATTAGAGTTTTACCCAAGATTTCTATCAAACTTCACGGATTGCGCATTGAAGATATGGACAGCCTGATTGAAAGTTAGATCAGATTGAGTTGGTACAGTACACAGAGTACTACCAAGGTATGCAGCCCGCAGGAACATGGACAGCGCCTAGATTGTTAATTGTTAAGGAAATTTTAGTCGATATAGGAATCATTCGATATGAAAATCATGATTCATGGGAATCATTATGGTTGGCGGGTTATGGTCAGAGCTACGGTTAATCAATAAATGATAGCTCTACAATGCTTATACAGCTGCAATAGGGCTCCCCATCCCCCCTTTAGGGGCCTCGGGGTTTTCAGGGGGATGCTAAAAGCCCTTTGTTGAAATTTCATTACTCGAATTAGGTATACAAAGGTACTGCTGTTTTTTGAGGTTGTGACACATCCTATGCTGTAGACTCCTCAAACGCCTTTTACTCGTCCAGCCTGAGTCGAGGAGTCTGTTTTAGCGTAGCTTCGTAGCCGCGTGTCTTGGAGCCCTCGGAGTCTAGTTTGTTAGGCGCCAGGGCGCGTTGCCTGCAGATCCCGCTTGCAGAACCATACCTACCTACCTAAAGCACATCACGCCATTATTTCCATGGAACATGTATCATTGTCGCGTGATTGATCGGCTGGTTCTTATCATGACTCAGGATTGTGTTCACGTACTATTGTGAACATCTATGAACATGAGAATTTCCGAAGTGTTATTGCAGAAGATTTAATAAAATTTCGTTGGATTCATTAGGGTATATCGTCTAGTCTAAATGCGTAGAGAATTGAAATGAGTCTATATCTAAGGAACCAGTGATGCCAAGTCTATTCTGTCTATACCGATATGCATCGCTGAAAGAAAAGCGAAAGGAATCTAAAAAGGGCGCGTCTAATGGTATTGTGCGCCATGGGAAAAGTCGATGCAGATAGAGGAAACGCAAAATTGGAAGATGAAGAGGGGGAAGGGGTAAATGGAATGAAATGCAAAAGACGGAAAACGCAAAAAAAAGAAAAGAGGACAAATTTTGATTTTGCATGAGGTCAATGCCAGATTGACCAACCTTGTAACTCCATCCCAAATGCTTTTGACTCTAATGGTTGCGATTTTCCGTGACTAGGTCATCCTCCAAATGATGTCGTTGTAATGTAGTTTTTTTGCACAATATGCAATCATTCCTCTAGAGAAGATCACCCTTGAGCAAGGCCCAGGTATGGCAGGTTCCGACAAATAGCCACATGGCGACTTGAATGACGGTAAGGACGCTGCCTACCCAGAGAATTGCTGGGCTGCCGAGACCGTGGCCGATTTGGATGGTGGCAATGATGAAGCCGGTGTTGGGGAAGACGAAGCTCCACCAGCTGAGCTGAAAGCTCATTTCGCGGACCTTTGACAGGACGGCGACGGCACCGAGACAGATGAACCAAAAGGATACCGACCAGAGGAAGACGCCTGTAAAGACGGCCATGATCTTGAGTACGTCGGCAGTCAACACAGAGGTCGTACCCGCGACGTAGTGGTCTGGCATCACGATTTTGGCGGCATCAGCCATGCCAATGAGTGCGAGGGCTGTGAAAGATGGTGGACCGACGGCAATGAACATGGCCGGCCGAACGCTTGGCGGAGGTAAACCGTAGAGGAAGAGGCGGCCCATCCAGTTGGCATATCCAAAGACAGCAACCAGCATACCAAGGCCCTGAAACGTGACACCACAGATGATGATTGGAATAGCTTGCTTGGGTGGCTGCCCTGCGGCAATGGCAGAGGCAATGGTACCTGCAATCATGGCCGGAAAGATGGGCAGCAGCCACGCCGGAGTCATGTTCTGCATGGTTAACGGTTTGCCGGTAAAGAGGATTTGATACTGAACAATGGCCAGTAAAAATGTGCAAGCAGCATAGATCCAAAAGAGTATTCGTACAACCACCACCAGCCAGTAACCCGTGTGCGGGACACCATAATGCTGCATACAGCTGATGATGGTCGACAAGGAAAGACCAAAAGTGCTGACGAACAGAGACTCATGTGGGGAGGTAAACGACCGAATGAAACTGCCCTTGCAGAGAATGAAACGGCACATCATGGTCGTGCAGAGAGCAGAGAAGAGGACCAAGTCGAAAATGTAAACAATGACGCCGATAGTATTGAGTCCGCGGAATTGATGAGGTGTTACGCCTAGGAGTAAAGCAACTCCACCTGTACCCATGGTGCTGGTAAACCAGGCCCAGGTAAACTTCTCCAGGCGTTGGCGTAAAGAAACCTTCTTCTGGACGTCATTTTCAGATGAGCTATCCTCAAAGTCCTTTTCTGGGTCTTGGTTATTTGACGTCATGATAGCCATGTCGTTGGCGATTGAGTGTCTGTCGGAAGAGACTGTGTCTTGATTCGTTCAATAATATATTGGAATAGAAATTTCAATCGCCTTTCCATCAATGCATTATATGTATCAGTCAAATATCGTGCTTTTTAGAACTTTTTTTTGCTTGTCGTGGCTGAAGTGAAGTCAATCCACACCACAAAGGGGGGGCCGTCCACGAGACATATATGGACCGGGCCGTCCGATATCATCAGACCTTGTCGCCATGCTGTAATTCGATTTTTTTCGAATCGATCGATTCCCTGCCGAGTCAGAATGGACAATAAACGAGCTGCCCCTGCATGGTTCCTGGCGCCCCTGTCGGTGCGTTCCAGCTTCACGTTTTTTTTGTCGGGTTCTTCCCGAATCATTGAAAATAGCAGTCCTGGTCCGGATTATCTTCGTGGACGAATGATGGCACCGGAAAGCAGCCGAGATCTGCCCACCAACACGGAATCAAGTCACTTTGCAGTCACCTTACCCTTGACCCGCCTTGCCAGTCACAGTTACTCTTCTGAGCCGTCAGTCCCGACTCGGAACCTGTACCGCTGGCACCAGGTGGCCCAGGTGGCACCGTCGCTGCGCCGTTTTTGCGACCGTGCCGAGTTTTGTCCACTGCTACACTGCATCCTCCTCCTGTTCCGTCATCGTGTAGCGCATAGCAGCTGCATCGCATCACAGTGCTCATGACAAACATTTCAAATGCGCAGCGGATCATCCTCTGCTTATTCTGTTGATCGGGCTGTCGCGCGGATATTCCTTTCTCCTCAGCCAATAGCCCATGGAACTATAGCCTGGCACCCTATCCCAAGGATATTGTGCCATCCTGCCTTTGTCTGACATACTATGTTCACAACCAAGCTATCCTACTTCGCCTGGTAGCTTTCCTTCTCACTATCGCGCTGGTTATCGCAAACGACCCTAGCTTCCCAGCATACCCTTGTCTCTTTATTCATGCCACTCACCCTTTAAGTCCAACGGCACAGCAGATAGCCAACTATACCCAGTCCCGACAGGACTGTTTCTGACCATCTGTCGATATGAACATGGGCGAGCCTGCAACAGCTGAACAGCTCGAGCATCATCCCAGCCGTCATGTTCACTATCATTCTACGAGCACGTCAAATTCTCTCGTTTCTCAACCTGTTCTGGTCCGTACCTACTCTGGCAGTTCTTCTCGTCCTCCATCACAGCCCCGCTCTCCAGCCCGACCACATTTCCACCATGAGCGGAGAGAAGATGCCAAGCTGCCGGCGCTGAATCAGTTTGAGTTTGATCAGATCTTGGCTGCTGTTCAAAATGATGTTGGAAAATCTCTCGAGGCTATTGCCGCAATCTGGGCCTCAAACAAGATGAGCTTGGCAAGTGAATACGCGGCCCACCTTCCACCACAGGGCGACGTAGGCCGCCTTGGCCATGGCCTCCATTCAGCACGCCACGGCAACGGCCCGGACACTACCTTGACTGCCGTCTCAGAAGCTTCATCAAGCACCGAGAGACTTGCTTCTTCAGCACCTGGTGCAGTTCTGCCAAACCATGAAGATGAATACCACAGCAAACTGCCTGCGAACCATGAGAACGGCAGAGACTCAAAGCGACATTTACTTCGCAATGATATCACTGGAACGGCGCAACGATCACAGAACAATTCTCTGGACTCTGATGGATCGCACTCTGACCTTCTGAAGGACATTCCTGGGGGAAATCCACGGTTCCGTTCGACGCTCGATACGAACCCGCTGCAACGAGTAGTTTCGCCGGCGAAACCGATATTTGCCAATGAGAATAGCCGCTCTCGAAACCCTGAAGGGCCGTCGGCCACTGTACAGCATCTGGCATTGGGCTCTGGGCGGTTTGGATTGGTATCACCTTCGTCACTCCGGAGTGGGTCCGGCTCAAACCGTCTGGATACTCCTCGCCTACCCCAGTCAGCGGGTGCTCCAGCCCAAGTCTCGCTGGCGAACGTTGATTGCGTCGTCTCGTCGTCCATTTCTCAACGCCCAGGGACAGCAGTTGATGATAGTGATCTTAATTCAATGCCGCTTGTCCTCGAAAGCACAACGACACTGCCAGCTGACCTTGGCGTATCAGAGAGGTCCTCAATAACTGGGATTAATTCAACAGGTAACATTCCATCATCTTTGCCGTTACTCATGGGTTCGACCCACAGTCGCCGCCCCTCTGCCTTAGAGTCCATGGTGTCTTGGATTTACTCGTGCACGGGCCACACTCCTCCCGAGTCTTCCCGAGATCCACCGCTCACTGGCCGTGAAGCTATAGAGCATTCATTGAGACAGCTCCTCTCCACGGCGTCAACAAAGGCCTCGCAGCATTGAAATTGGTCCATGCTTCATCGACACAGGGATCTTTTGCCTCTTCCTTGCATGCGTCTGATTTCGCGGATGATCGGTAAATGCTCTTATCTGGAATCTTTCAACCGAAGTAAAGATTGATTAATTTCTCTGATCCCCTTTGGCTCGCGGGGCTCGAAGCCCGTGATGACCAACCTCTTCTATTGATACGATTCATGAAATCTCCTCATCCCCTGTCTGGAGCGACTGCGTATACTGCCAAGCCGGGCTGGCGGCGCCTTTTTTTTTTTGTCTGGCTAACCATCCATTATTCTCTTGGGGTACCCTTTTTTTTTTGCTTATTTCGATCACTTGAACTCCCTACTCATTCAACCTGGGCTTTTCAGCCAAGGCGGGAAGTGGCCGCCAAGAGAGCGCAATTGAGCTCCAACTTGGCTCAATGTCTTGTTGAAATAGAGTCTGCAGAATAAGTGCCAACTTATTTCGTCAAGGGCAGCAATGCTCTGCATGGGAGTTGCGACCTGGCAATATCCTAAACAATTCCGTTGTTCCCAGAAAGCTGTGGCTCATTTGGAAGAATCTTCTTCTTCATCGTGAAGCCTGCTCCCATGTTGGCAATTACCTGACCCGGCTCAACCCTTTTCAGGCACCGTCCGCTAAACGGCCTGAAATATCAGCGTATATTTTCCATGGCGCTACCAGACATCGGTCAACGGCTTTCAACAAACTGCTCAATCTCAATGCGCTCTCCGGCAAAAAATGAAATTGGTCCTCACCCTTGCTGATAACGATTAATGATTCCACCATTTCGGAAACGATCCAACGACTACGTAACGAACTTATGACCTTCTGCTACCCAACACAGCGTCTGCACATTTGTTCATACTCCTTATTGCTTGGTAATCTTTTCGAGAATACGTGTTAGGACTATGGACCTTGGTCCTTATTTTCGGATAGCTTGTCAATTTCTTCCATAGTATAGTCAAGTAGAGCTGTAGAATAGTCAGCACATATCTTTCTATTCAGCCGTACCATCAAATGTCCAGAATGACCTGTTAATTTAACAAGTTCAGGTCAAATATACGTGTTGAAGCTAGGAGAGCCATTCTGTCCACAGCTTCTGGATTATGAAGCTCTGAGTGATTCTTGATAGTACAGATAAAATATCCATCACTCCCGGTACCATTATGGGCCAATCCTGTGCCGTGGTTTTGCCCAGAGAGTGGGTATCTCGAAAATATTGTGGCGGAAAGCATGCTGTGTCTTGCCCTTAACGACGGAGGCAATAAGCTAGGGTTCTGATGACGACAGAGCGGGCTGCAAACTCAACCAAAGTGCAGAGCAAGATGGATTTTCAATTGACTCATGTTGCTGAATGACTTGGGATAAGGAGACAGATGAAGTGTATGTGTGTATTGTAGTGGGCGTGCTCTAGGCCAAAGGTTGAAAGGAGCAACCAGCCGAGGCTCGAAAGAGCTGTAGAAGCTGCTGGTCACTGCAGGCAAATGCAGAAAGCTACAGTTTACACAGTGGTAACTCCAATCAATTTTGTGTAGCGATTTGATTCTCAAGGATGAATCTAGATTGGTGACCATATAAGAAAAAAAACACGACAAAGCTTTACTTAAGAATAAGGCTCTATATACTAAAACAGAAAAAATATATTTCCCTTCCCAAAATCACGCCGGTTATGGTACTTGTACATATACTCTGCAATCCCTCTTGCTCATTTCATTTTACCTCTTCTTGCCTTTGCGCTTGCCAGAGTTGGCGTCTCGGCCCCTGACCTCGCCTCCGGACCGCAAAACGGCGCTCCGGCGCTGGTACTGGAGGACAATGTTCTGTACGGAGCCAACATCGTGCTTGGGTTGTCTGGAAAAAAATAATCGTTAGAAAGCATTCAAGACACCAACGTTAGATCTTTCAGACATCAAAAACGTCTGCATAGGATTATGCAATAGGCGCAAGGCGTGTGGAAAAAATGGCATTCTGGACATGGATCTGCCTGGAAAGCGTAATGGGAAGCATTGAGAAAACTACTAACCTCATGTAATACAATCGTGCCCTTCTAGCACGCTTTTCTCTTCTTTGAACCACTTCAATACCCTCCACATTGGGAGAGTAGATCTTGAACCACATCTCCACGCCAACACGCGTGAGCTGGTTTCGCAGCAGAATACCAGTATCCACACCTCGACGGCGGATGTTCAGGCAGACACCAGCAAAGGGGTCACCATTGCGCTGACGAACCAGAAGGATATCACCGACCTTGGCGGCATCGGAGTTGTCACGGGCGAACATGCGAGTGCGGGCACCGGTGGGGTCAAGCGTGGTCAATTGCGCCGCTGTAACGTCTGAAATAGGCTCTTTGAAGTGCACGCGAGCAGAAGGCGGAGGGGGATAGGTCTTGATCTTTTTAGGACCTAATAATTCAAAGTGTTAAAGTCAGTAATGATTCGCATTAGATGTACTATCTAGGCTGAAATATCTGATTGGGAAAGTATCATGAATAGAAAACCTTTGAGAGGCCTTATTCATGAAGATCAAGGGGCGAAATCTGCGGATCGAGAGAGCGTACCAGCAGAGAGACTTCTTTCAGCAAGCGCAGAGATCCCAATCCGCGGAGGAATCGTTGATGCTGAGGGGGGAGTCGCGGTCGTCAATTGCCGCACACATCTCGTTGATCGGAAGATAGACTTCCAGCAGCTCAGGGGCCGCATTGTCGAAGAAAGGTTCAGGGCCATTATGGCGGCCTTGGAGAGCGCGAGTTGGCGACGAGTGGAGGTGAAGTGATGATGGTACTCCGAACCTCCGTCGATGTTGATTGCCCTGCATGCACGGCATCGCCAAAAAAAGTTCGCTAAATTCCGTCGCAACCCATCTTGTCCATATCCGACCTGCCTGCTGCACCTACATTTTTGGACTTCTATATACTTCCGCAATTAACCTTCTTGATAGTGTTTTAAGGCAAATTGGCTTAAATAATCCTGCTGATTTGAGAGAAGGCTTGATCAAAATGGCCGGCAGAGGTTTGGAGCAGGGTCTTCGGAGCTGGAGGTGCTCCATTACCCCGGGTCAGGTGCGGTCCTTTAGCAGCACGCCGAGATGCCAGAAACACGGTAAGTAGAAACTCCCATTGGAGGGAGCAATCTCTACACTTGAAGAATGTGGTATTTGAGCACCCATGTGTGGCTAATGCAGTTGTCCATTAGGTGCAATTCCCTCCTTCTCTCCGACATCCTCTCCCGAGCTGGACGCTCTTCTTGCCCAATTCCGCTCGAAAGTCTTTCTCCCATCGCATCTTCTAAAGCGACAGCGCGACCTAGTGTACAAGGAAAAATATCGATCATTGGTCAGCAACGATCCTGTGATGGTTACAATTGGCGACGAAAAGTTCCAGCTGGAGCATATCGACCGGACAAAGGATGAGCCTAGCTCACAACAAGGTTTTGCTCAACTCCTTGATCTGATGAAGGAGCCTGGTGACTGGAAGAATCTTCCGGGATTCCTTGAAGGCATGCATACGGCGAAGAGAAAGTTGAAGAAGCACCAGATGGAGAAGATGGTGCGAAGGGCAAACATGATTGGCAGGCAAGGTGTCATTGTGGATTGTGTTCAACGGGTGGGAACCACGGGACTTGCGCTGACAAGCGCCAATGTCGTCCGGGAGATTATGCTGGGAACTCATCTGGAGGCTCAGGAATCCGAGTGGGATGAGCAAGCTACGCTCAAGGCGTTGACCCATGCGGAACAGATTGTTAGCGCACTGGAGGACCCTAAACATATCGGCAAGCAGCCCTTCAAGACTGCGCATATTCGGTCCCAGCCTGCGATCATTGGGGTTGTTCTTGAGCTTGCGGCTGTGCGCGCAGTCAAGCACCTTGACGGGAAAGACGTAGACGGCAAGGTGGCTACCTATGCGGGACGTTTGATGGCAACATGGAATGATGCGAACCTCACCCCTCGCGAGACTTGGCAAGATGCGAACAGGCAACTGCTTGCCTGGGTTCCTGTGCAGAATGCGCTTAAGGCGACTCTAAAGGTGTTGGATTCGAACAGTGAGGTTGCGGTGTGGGCACAGAAAGTGCTTCCTCAAGTGAACCAAGCTCTGGAGCAAGCCGCGGAGATGGTACGCCAAAAGGAGGACACGCCCAGACGAGGTCTCAATGTGTACGAGGCTGTTGAAAGAACAGTTTAAACCTGTTCACAAGCGCTTTTCTCATGTATTATATACTTTGTAGATTTTTTATTCCCGTTCTTTGAAGGCTACATCATGAATCTGTAATCTGGAGGTTTCTGCGCTGACTTTTTCATTTTCGTGAGAAGCCTAATCCCAGGATTCAGAGCGTCATGTCACTGTGACGGAATTTGGAAATATGGGATTTCTGTCAAGTATTCGCAGTGCCTCGCACAACGTTAATTTCGAAATGGTATCGAACGAGCTGAGGTGAATATATGCAATGCAAACTAAATCTAGCTAAATGGACAATCCAACCATCGCTATATGCCTAATGAAGCGCTAAATAGACTAATAGAAGTTTTTGTTACTTTGGAAGATGCGGCAGAGTAAACATTATGCCTTTGCGGAATTGCAGCATCCGGAAGATTTAAATGCTGTAGTCAAACATATGCAAGGGTATGGTCATCCCGGAAGACACCATTCACCCCGAGTGATGCCTCGCCGCCAAAGACAGCAGGACCGCGGACAACAATCTGAACCTTGTCAGCACAATCATCAAAAATTCTCCAAGTAGACAATTTGACATACCTCTCCCTGGGGCTGGCCCTGGTCAAGAGTCTTATGCGAGGGGGTATCCACTACTTTCACCTCAACGGAACTGAGCGGTCCGCCGAAGTGGCTTTGATTGCGAGTGGGACCATTTTCACGTCGGTAGTCATAAAGATTCGTCTGTGCCACCGCGCCCGCGACTTTCTCAGCAGTTAGAGCATAGACAATGCGAGCACCAGTGAAAACCCGTAAGTCATTTAGGTCGCTTGAGCTCAAAGGAGGCGAGTCTGTTCCAGCACGCTCAGCAACGTACATAATACGCAGTTTGCCGGGAGTTTCCCCGACAGATGGACGAGATGTAGCGTTGAAACTGCTCAAAAGGCCAGGTCTTGGCATGACACCTGCTTTGAGAGAACGTATTTGCAGCCAGTGAGAATACTTCCGTAAAAGGGTACTCGATGAACCTTTGGCCAATCTGTGTGCCGCCGCAGCAGTTTCGGCAGATACCGCAATGACTGTGGGCGAGATATTCCTGGTGGCCAACGCCAAATCTATCCCCTTCCCGGCAACGGAATTGAGTGCCACCGAAGCATGGGAATAGAGGGCTGCGAGAGTTAGACTCAACGGATAGCTAGAGCAAAGAGAGTCGACAGGCAGGAAAAGATCCTTGGGATTCAGTCGCTCACGGGCCGGGAGCGAAGTAATAAGGGCGGCGACAGCTGCTGCTAAATTCTACAGCGGATTGTGAGTTGATTTGACTTATATTCGGAGCAAGAAACTGAGAAACTCTACCTTTTGGGAGAATTCTACCAAGCGCTCCTCACTGTTTTTGCCTTCCCAGACCGTTACAATTTTCGTTTCAGAAGCTTCGGGGAGATTATCTGGCAGAGGCAAGTCCTTAGGACCGTTCTCAACCAATTCGTGCCAAATGGAAACCGAAAGCTTCCCCTTCGTCTCTTCGGCCGAAGGATTCCAGTCAATGTGCCTGCTGGTAGCTTCAACCACTAAAAAAACGCTCTTTAAACTTGGACATCTTTCCACAAGGTCAGATAAGGGGACAACGCCGGCTTCAGACACCAGTGTGTCGGCTCCAGTTTGCGCAAGGAGCTTGAACAGCGAAGATGGGCTCTGGTGGTGTGGTATCAAGATAACGGTAAACCCATAAAAAGATCCCGCTTTTACGCCATATTAGCCTTGACTTCCTTCTCGCCCGTAACAGTCTCAAATGATTCACCTACCAAAAATCGTCGTGAGAAGCTCAAGAGAGTTGGGAAGATGAATAGCAACGCGTTTTCCATTGGACGTTTGGACTGAGCTACCAACGATGCTGATGGAACGAGAGATATCGGCAAGATTGTGCTCGATGACCTCTTCTTTCCCAAGTACCGTGAGAATTTTGCCAGGTTGACCAGTTGACTGCCCGGTCTGATCCAGAGGATCCCGGGCCGCTTGCTTCCAGATGTCGCGGAGATCACCATCTCTGCCACGAGCCCATCTTGGAGCTCCTGGATCCTTCACACCCAGGCCCGATTTGAGCGGAAATCCATATGGAGTCTCAACTGAGCGATATGTTGCAGATTCTCCGGCATTTCGGACCGGAGCGGGGGTCGCCTGGCGCGATAAGAGGATAGGATGAAGGTCAGGGTCTTTCGAGAACCACCAAGGCAGTACCACATAGGCAGATATTAGGATGACCAGAATCGTTGTATAAATGCTCCACCCCGAAAGGAGCTCAGCAAACTGAGCGTCTAGCTGCTCTATCTTATTAGGAACTTGAGACATGATAGCCTAGCTTGTGTAGACGTGGATACGATATGCGTGACAATCAATGAAACATGTCTTTCAACGGAGTAAACGAAGCAGTATTAGGCCGTGTATAAATGAAGACTCGCTTGCACAACAAACGCAAGGGCAAAAAAATTGTACAATAATGGGATATGCTGCGGGGCAGAGAAATAACAGACAAGGTCGAGCTTCCGAATCACTTTTCAGCTGTTGTATACGAAGTAAGCTGTGACATCGTACGGGGGGAATTTATATCAGGCGGTGTGCCCGAAAGGTGGCTGTGCTCTGTGGCACAGCAACTCGGTACTCGTACTGTAGTAGGTGGGACGTCAACGGCCAGCAGCGCTAATCATCACCGAGGAAGGCATGCATGGCACAGACCACGAACACACAGCGAAGAAGGACCTCTCGCCCAAAACAATCATCTGTCCCAAGGGACAACAGGGCAATCACGGCCATCGCCTTCCATTCCGGCACAATGCTATAGACGATAATATCGATTCGATTTGGATTTGCATGAGTAGATCTCGTTCCCTCAACAGGTAAGTACGGTAAGTATTTAAAGGAAAAAGTTCCAATCCGGCATTATTTGAGAAAGGTACGTGACATTCGAACTTCCTTGTCCCTCCACTCTGTGCACTTATTTTCCTGCCCGTTTCAAACACGTTCATTGGAAAAGTACGGCCCAGTCCTTCGAAGCGTGTTTATCCACCCAACCTTGTCGCCTTCCCTCTCAGCTGGTCATCTTCGTTGAGACTCAGATACACTGACTCCCTAAAGAATTCAAAATGGCCCCGCTCGCAGCAGCTAGCCCTGCGACCCCTCAAGCCTACCGCTCGCCAGGCTCGGAATCAAAAAACACTCCCACTGGGACATGGAGACATCCTCGATTCGATGAAATTACGCGCCGGCAGAATGCTTCGACGTTCAACGACAAGAGCGTGGCGAGACTTCTTTACAATGGACTAGTTTTCCTAGGGACATTTCTCTTGACTGCCTTGCCTGAAATTTTGTACGTGCCTGTTTGCGCAGATTCATGAACATATCATGCTTACAAGGACATCCAGCCCCCGCGCGTTTCATGCGTTGAGCTTCTTGTCGCCGTATTATTGGTACGCCCTTCTGCTCACGCGACTATTGTTACTCTTCAACATATCCGTTGCAGTCTACCCACTCTTTCGCCGCAAAGATGAATTGGCCGATATACCTTTGACCCCGTCGCAGCGGGCCCTTCTCGGCTTGAACCCCAATTCTGGATCCCCCGCTACGACTCCGGATCAGTACATTACTCCACCTCGTTATCGTCGCTCTTCGACTCCGAGGAGCGGATCTCCTGTGAGTGGCAGCAGCACATATTCTAGTTCACCTCTGTCCGGTCGAGCCAGCTTGAATGCCGCCGGTTCCTCTTATTCGCCATCGCCTAGCCCGCTTTTGCAAAAGGCAGTGAGCAGTGGACAGAGGAATCTCAATCGGCGCTCTAGTTATGGAACTGGATCTCCCTTCGGTGTAAGCTTCAATGGAAAGGAGAGTCTTGGATTTGGGGTTTCGAGTTCACCGAGTCCGACCATTGGCAAGGGAGCCAGCGTGCCGTTGAATAGCCGCTGGTTGTATGAGCGAGGCCGAGCCAGCCCGGCGGGTTATAGAGATCTTTATTCATGAAGTTGACAGTATGCGACGACGCCCATTTTGTATTTCAATTGCTTTCATGTTACACTCTGGCGTCAACTGGCTCATGTTGTAAAAGCACGCGCTCGGGCATGCCTTAGTCTGCTTCCTTACTTTTTTTCTTCTCTCCCTTCCCTTTTCGCTTTGCATGCCACTGGTGTACGGCACGATCTTGCATTTCTACGGATGGGTCCGCCAGAGGCGCTGACCTATATATTGGTAGTGGTAGCATCGTTTATTATTATTATACCTAGATAGAACAATAAACTCACTGGTGATTTTAGCCAAACAGTTTCCCGTCTGGTTTTAGCGATAGCTTGTGATGGTTATGATGCTACCGGCTTCTAACTACAAATTGGGCCAGGGGCTTAGTCACGGAAAATCCCGGACAGCTGGGGACCATGACGAATGGGTCAATGACGCTCGTGCAATAATAGTGAGACATCTTTACAAGCACAACGGTAACTTTATTTTTAAAAACAGTGATATTTTCATTTTAGGAACATTCGGTACTTTGTTGCGTTCCTTCCCTTTCTCACGCTCGTGAGCTCTCGAGCTCAGAATGGGCGCATCGGATTCCAAGCTCGTCTTCAAACAGGGCATCTTCAAATTATCAGAGCCGAAAGTGATCCCCGAGGATGACCCATATTGGACTTCGGTAATTGGGAACTTTGACATGCTTGCCAGAGTACAGTGATCGCTGATGTCTTCTATAGTATTGGGATCTTCCAGAGTCAGCGGAGGATGTATTCAGCTTGTTTGCTCCTGCCGACATTCGGCGTACAAGAGACAACAACTTTGTGAATCTCGAAACCCTCATTCGTGCCGTCTGCACACGGATCTTCCTGCTACGAAATCACCCGTCTTTCCCTGATCCCGAGATCGCCCCAGAAAAGCACATTCTAAATTGCATTCGTGTTCTCACTCGCGTACTTCCATTCATTTATGAGTGCGACCGCTTGGAAGAATGGCAAGATCAGTTCTTTTGGGCTCCACGTAAGCGGCGGAGTCGAAGAGGAGAGCTTGTCAAGGCGGAGGTATTGTTCGACGAAGCAAAACCGGGTGGAGAGAGCCCTGTATCGACAGACCCGCCCGAGAATTTCGAAGAAGCAAAACCTCTAGCTGAGGAGCTGCTAGATACTTTGACTGATTTGTTGTTTTTCTCCGGCTTCACGCTACCACAAGTCCAATCAGGCAAGAATAGGGTCACTTATTCAATATGGCAGAGCGGAGTTGGTTGCAATATGCCAGTTGCGTCGACCAAAGAGTACGAAAGCAATCGGAGTGAGATACTGCGCTTACTGTTGGCCATCACCGGAAAGTCCATGTACACACCTCCAAGTAAGATTTTCCCGGGACATCTCTCAACCATAGATACTTATATTGTTAGACATTCTGCCAGTAAAGGGAGTCAAAGCGATCACATATTTTGCGACCTGTCCGGATAAGCAGGTAGTGTTATCAGTCCTGTGTTCACTACTCAACACAGTAAGTCCATCTCAGCTCTTACTCTACAGACAAAGATTAATTCGCCGTGTGATAGACTCTCAAATACAATCCAGCAAATTGGCGTGTTCCATATGACCATGTTGTCTATCGAGATCCAAAGCAAATCCTAGTCACCTATTGCCTACAATTCTTGCTTGTACTGCTCCTTTACCCAGTGCCGGACCCTGAAAATGGACAAACTCCCAAGAATTTCTACCGTCACTTTTTTGGTCGCCTTCATCGTCCTCAGGATTTTCAGTTCCTTACAGATGGGATGGCAAGAGTGCTCAAACAACCTGTACCTTCCCCACCTTTTTCTTCCCCTTTCTTTGCTAATTAGCTATAGGTTCAAGTTCATTCATCCTATCTTCCCGGAAGCCAAAAGTCGCTAAAGTGGGCCCCGGAGATGATCATGCTCTACTGGGAAGCGCTGCAATGCAACAAGCGCTTTCGGTCTTTTGTCATCGATACTGACAGGGCACATGACTTTGTCATTCTCATCCTATTCTACGCACTGGAGAACAAGAACGACCCTTCAAAACAGGGCATTGTCAGGATGTGCGTCTTCGTGCTTCAGACAATGAGCGTAGAGCCAAATTTTGGTCGCAGCCTGAAGAAGGCGTTTGAGGGTCAGGAGTCTTTGCCCAATAGTGTGCGGGTTCCCAATTTTGTCGGGACATATGCAGACTATCTCGTAATTGTAAGTGCAGATTGTGCAACTAAGAGTCCAAGTGCTAATTGCTCCTTCAGTCCATCTTCAATCTGATCACGGGCAGCAAAGGAAAACTAGACACTATCTATCCAGCGCTGATGGCAATTATCAACAACATTGCGCCATATATTGAGAACCTCAGTCTGTCTGCGAGCTCGAAGCTTCTCCAGTTATTTAATTCCATATCATCTCCGAGCTTTCTCTTAGCCAACGAGACCAACCATGCGCTTTTGCAATCATTGCTTGAGTCTATGAACGCGATTATCGAACACCGATACAAGGGTAAGTAAAGCCACAGCGGATATCAATCCCGAATTACAAATTACTAAGTCACAATACCAGAAAATCCAAAGTTCATCTACGCAGTGATTCGTTCGAAACATCGTTTTGAAGCTTTGCGAACATTTACCCTGGAAAGTGCGCAAGAGGAAATTGGTCGCCTTAACCAAGCTCGAAAAGATCATCGCGACGATCTCACTTCGGACTTTAACGTACGGAATTCTAGACATGGCAACTCGCCGGAAACTATTCGCAGCTTGAATGGCAATAATCAACGTCAAAGTTCTCCCCTAAGCGATGTGCCAGAAGACAGCAACGCATTTGCCATTGGCGATGACGAAGATTTTGACGAAGACAATGAGGCTCATCCACCGCGCTCTCAGGCCTCAGCTCAAGGCTCCCGGACGGCATCGCTTTCCTCTTCAATCGACGACGCCGTACCATTGCAACTGCGTGGAATGTCGGAAAAGGCTCGTGGGAAAATGCCCGTCGGTCAGCCATCATTTTCTCGTCAAAATAGTACGACTAGTATCAATAGTTATTGGACTGCCTCTCACCAACCGACAGGCAATTTTATGCCTTCGGCGGAATGGGTAAGAATCAAGAGTCCCCTGAAATACCGAAAGAAATGAGATATTAACAAACCCATTAGGTTGAAACTTGGTTAGCCGAACTTCCACTTCACACCATCATGACAGTCATCTCAGAAGTTTCTCCACGGCTTCCAGCCCGAGATACCCAGAATTCTTCGGCTGCAAACTCTTCTCTTTCTGTCATTCATGATACTCAAATTCACGGAATCGAACCTTCACCTATCAGAGTTCAGCTATTCGAATGGTCTCCTCTTTCTTTGGGGTGGTATGAATCCTTACTCTGGGGTTTTATCTTCGCTGCCGAGATGGTGGTCTCCAAGGGAACTGTCGGGGTATGGAATGGGACAAGTATCAAGCTTTTCCGAGTCCAAGAAGCACCTGCTGAAGGTCCAACACTGCTCGCGCCACGGGGGGCAGTGGATGCAGTGGGGACCAGTATTGTCCAACGGATTGGCAGTCTCAATCTTGGCTCCACCCAGCCACAGTCTGAGCAAGGCGGAGCGAATGAAAGTACTGGAACGATCAGAAACCCCGCGTCTCGCGAGGCCTGATAAGGGCTTGTCATTGAAATGTTTTGGGCATCTGCACAGCACCTTTTTCTGATTTTATGATTTGATGGAGCATGCATGCATGGCGTAACACGATATCCCATTATCGTCTGAGGATCCGCATATGATTTCTTTTCTATCTTTCTTTTCTTCTTTCAAGTTTTTTTCGCGAAGCTATTTCCACCATAGACATGCAATACAGAAGGAACTGGATTTGGCGATTGTTTATCTGTTCTCGAGTTTTACATTTTGACGCAAATGATTTTCTGGTTCAGTTAAAGTACTTGCACGTGTAGTCCGTCTTGAGATCTGGTTGCGTAAGGAGTAGCTCATAGCGTTTCCAATTTTCTGTCATTTCAGCAATTTTCTTTTGCCAATCATGGCAGGTCGTCCCGTAAATATGGGTAGAGCTGTGCCCGCATTGTTCCCTCCCTCCACGAGCTGTAGATGCCGTGTATGGTCATTATAGAGCTCTGCCCTGATCAACAGTACGGCCGCAACGTTTGCAACCTCCTTCCCTCCATTGAATCGTCGCTATATTCTAGAAGAATAAATCCGAGAGTTGAAGCGCTCAACCTTGATGAAGCATTGTGATGAAAATAAATGATGAGGATCCTTGTCACTGGGAAATCCTTTGTCTCTTTTCTCTTTCTCTTTTCTCTTTTTCATTTTTATCATTTAATATTATTTTCTTTTGTTTATGTTTATTTATAGTTTTTCCTCCCTTTCTCCTTCAATTAGCATTCTGGAGCTAGATATATCAAGTCCTTACCTATCTCGTATAATTGTATGTTTATTTCTATGGCACCGAATAATTTTCCTTGCTTCGAAGTCGAGTCACTATACGTGAATAGATGACTATATTCACTTGCGAAGACCTGACAGGTATGACTCACTACTAGAGCAATCTTATGGATTCACTGATACGTTCCGCCACATATAAATATCATACGATTGTAGGCTTTTCCTTCCTTGTCCAGAATACAGCTTGAGTCGTTCATAACGGTGACGTTGGTCTTTTACTTTGGTCGTTTACAAGTACAGGTTGACACATTTAACCTCGGCTTGACCCCAGACAAAAGCCCCAGCCGAGGCATCTATAGTTCCCCGGATTTGACTAAACCCACCCTGGACGCTCTCCATAACCTGCCACTGGGCCTTTACCTGAATCAACTCCGGCCGTTGTGCCTCGGATGCACCACTATGAGACCCTGGATTACCTACAACTCCGACAAGTCGTTCCGATCACGAGCGCAGGCCTCCCCCGGGCTTACTCTTGACGTCCAACGGGTCATGGCATCCTCTTCTGATCAAATTTCCAACAATCAGCAAGAGATATACGCTCGAAGAGAACAATATTTGCGAATTATCTTTGGGGCTCTGGTAATCACCTCGTCTGCCGTGATCCTGTACTTGATTCCTTGGGGTCACTAGAGCTGCGTCGAGGAAACACTCATACGCTGGGCCAGTATTTTGTCCTTGCATAGCCCGGCTACGATTCCATATTATCTGTTTCGCTTTTTTTTTATATTTTGTCGTGACGATTGTTTATTCAGAATTATCTCAAAGAATATTATTCCTGTCAGCATCGATCTTGATCTCCATTGTTTATCATTCTGCTAGATTGTACGAGCTGGGTTATTCTGTTACATTTGACGAAAAAAGGAAAAGATTTACAAAATGCCGTTCAATACTCTTCTTACTCGGAAACTAGGGATTAAAAGTATGTTTCCCTCTCTCCGGTTCCATATTTTCTACGTCCGGCCTGCAGAATGCGGACGCTACGATAAACGTGTATAATGCAGGCAGAGCACAAAGTGATTCTATGATTCTGGAGCTAATGTCATCGTTCACAGTCCCTGTGGTACAGGGTGGTATGCAATGGGTCGGATTTGCTGAACTGGCGAGTGCAGTTAGCAATGCAGGAGGTCTGGGCATCGTAAGACCTGCCTTAACATTTCCCCTTCTGTGTTTTGTCTCTAGTAGGACTAACGGTGCAATCTTCCTCAAGCTTACTGCCCTTACTCAACCCACGCCTGAAGACCTGCGCAAAGAGATTCGAAAATGTCGCGCAATGACGACGAATCCGTTCGGTGTCAACATCACACTATTACCAGCTCTGTCTCCACCAGACTATGGCGCCTATGCTCGTGTCATTATTGAAGAGGGTATCCGCATCGTTGAGACAGCAGGAAACAGTCCTGGACCAGTCATAAAGACACTGAAAGAAGCCGGCTGCATCATAATCCATAAATGCACTACCATTCGTCATGCTCAGTCGGCCATTAAGCTCGGGGTAGACTTTCTTTCTATTGACGGATTCGAATGCGCAGGCCACGTCGGCGAATCAGATATCACCAACTTCATCTTACTAAGTCGGGCAAGGCAATCTATCAGCATCCCTTTTATTGCGTCTGGTGGATTTGCCGATGGTCAGGGACTGGCTGCTGCATTAAGCCTTGGTGCCGAAGGCATTAATATGGGTACAAGATTCATGTGCACTGTTGAGGCACCGGTGCATCACAAAGTCAAGGAGGCAATTGTAGCTGCGGACGAGACGGACACACAACTAGTGCTTCGTAGGTGGAAGAACACGACAAGACTTTATGGAAACAAAGTTGCCAAAGAAGCCGCCAGAGTTGAACAGGAGTCCACGTCCGGAAAATTTGAGGACGTGGCACCCTTTGTGAGCGGCAAGCGGGGTCGAGAAGTGTTCATCAATGGAGACGTTGACTACGGGGTACGTTTACGCCTCAATGGCCGCTTGTTTCCCTAGATATCTGATTCACTAACAAAGTAAAAATAGGTCTGGACAGCAGGACAAGTCATTGGCCTCATTCATGACATTCCCACTTGCGACGAACTTGTGAAGCGCATCGAGCGCGAAGCCGAGGAAACCATCTCGCGGGCTGCCTCGTTGATGTACGATGGCCACCAACATCTCAAGTCAAAAGAGGGAACAGTGGGTGACAAGACGAACAATCCAACAGCTGAAGTATGGGGTGTAGGCAAGAGCAAGTTGTAGAAGGTGGTTGCAGCTAGACTTCACATCTAGACTCAAAGATTTGATTCGATTTCATTTGCTGTTTCGACTTTTTTGTGAAAAACACTCTCAAGATGTCATGGCACAATTTTGTTAAGGCATCAAGCTCTAGAACAGTCCTCTGCAGTATAAACTTTTCTTTCTCATCTGCCATTTTTTAAATAATAATAGGATACAAAGAGTGTAGATGTGACCCTGATATGAAACGCACCGAATCACGGGAGACGATTAAAATGCGCGATTAACGACGGGTTCAGGTATGAATTCCCTTTCTCTTCGGGAACCTTGAAGAGCCTATATCACTTGACAGAATGCCAAGCAACGACTCACACATGCACTTCGAATATCCCCGAAAGGATCGAAATACATGCTTGAGTTCCCGTGAAGAAGGAAAAAAGAGAAGGGAAGCTGAAAATCAACACGAGAAAAAGCTTGTCTCGTCTGTTCTTGTGTTATGTAATTCATTAGTCATTCCGCATGAAAGTTGCTTCGGAATTACTCCCTTCTAATTGGCCAGATGATGCTAAGCAACCACTGCGCTGAAGGAAAGCTACTTTGAGAGTACTTTACCAAGACGTGTAATTAGAGGAGAGTCAAAGTACACAGGAGTACCGCATGACATAGCCGAAAGTCCGATGGACATCCCATTCCCCAAGATGGATCGTGCAAGGTCCCTCTTCGTTCGAATCTATTTCCTCGTGCCGTGTCGTTGATCGTTGATCGTTGATCGATTGTCGTCGTACTGTCGGGCTTTACGGTATGTTAGCTTCTTCAGCAATTGATCTATTGTCATGTCAATCCCCTTGGTCAAGGGAAGCACTGAGTTGAGCTGACTGGACTGTGACCGACCAGAAACCAAATTCGAGAGGTTGATTGATTGATCAATTGATCGGAGGCCACGAGCGGAAACGAAGCTACTTGAATTGAAATACCGACAAGATGCTGGCCCAAAGAATCGCGCAGCAGTCCCTTCGGCGGAGTGAGTGATTCTATATTTCCTCTCTCTCTCTCTAAATTCCTTTTTGTCAATCATGGAGGAAAGTCGTGGGGATCGAGGTTCAAGGTTTCAGGCTCCCGGAAGGTCATCTGCAGCAAAATAGCGACAGAGCAGGTTTGCGAGACAATATCGGCAAGAAAAAACGGCAGTGGAAAGAGATGACCTAGTGAAAGCTCTGCAGCAGTGGAAGGCACAAATAGGATCTACGGTGGAATAGCATGAGGCATTTCATCTCGGAGAAGATGTCAGGGACACGAAAACCAAACGCCCGCGACGCTGCACGTCTTGACAAACCGAGTACCTGCAAATCATTCAATTGGCGTGCTACATGCACATACGGCCTGCGTACGCCGAGAGAACTTGAAGTCGTCGAAAATTCTACGGACAGTCGCAGCTTGAAGCCATGGCCCAAGCTCGAAAGCCTGAACTCGATCTATGCGACATAATTGGCAAACTGGAAAGAGAGATATATTGATGGGAATATCTGCTAACATGCATGCAAATACAGTGGCCGTTCAGCGCCCTCTTGCCACCTCCATGGCCAAGTTTGCCAGCCCTGCCGCCATCGCAACCAACCAGTTCATTCAGACTAGGTTAGTCTTCACCCTGAAGCTCCCTCAATGGACCCTTTCCCGCTCCCGTCATGCGGAGTGTGTGCCTCAACATATTGCGACTTTTATATGACTGTAACGTGATGCTAACGGCATTCTGACAGACCGGTTGCCACGCAAAACATGAAGCCCAACGAAGCCTACAACATTCTCGTTGAGCAGCGCAAGCACCGCCCCGTCTCTCCCCACTTGGGCATCTACCAGCCCCAGATCACCTGGTACGGCTCTGCTCTCAACCGTATCACCGGCGCCATCTGCAGCGGTGGCCTCTACGTCTTCGGCGCTGCCTACCTTGTTGCTCCCCTCATTGGCTGGCACCTCGAGTCTGCCAGCCTTGCTGCCGCTTTCGGCTCTCTTCCCCTCATCGCCAAGGTCCTGATCAAGAGCAGCCTCGCTTTCCCTTTTACTTACCACTGCGTCAACGGCATCCGACACTTGGTCTGGGACTTTGGCAAGTGGTTCACCAACAAGCAGATCCAGGTCAGCGGCTGGGCTGCCTTTGCTGTTTCCGGTCTTAGCACAGCCTACCTCGCGCTCGCCTGGTAAGGCAGCCGTTCGAAGGGGGTGTATATATTGGTGGATGGTGTGTGATTGATTGAAGAAGTGCTGGACGAGGCGTAGATATATATAGTATCTTTTTTCTTCTCTCGGATTAACGATCCTCTTTTTCTTATTACCAAAGTTCCAAGGAACTATTGCGGGCTGTACGTTATTTAGCTAGCAATGAATAATTATATTCGTTTGGCATTTCAATTCGGTACAGCAATGCCATTTTAACGTGAATAGATGATGAACGAGGGAGTAGTCAAAAGATGAATAGTGGGAAGAATTAATAGATGGGAAAATACTGCATTTCTAAAGGAAGATGGGGTTTTATCGAAACCGCTTTATACAACAACACATGGTAGTCAACATGATAAATGAGATTTGACGAGAAAAACAACGCCCAAAACACCCTTGCAATGCAAATACGTAGTTGCGCACCGCGGCCCATGGCTTGAAAAACAAAACGACTAGACCATTGGCGAGTCATCCATGAGTTGAAAATCCACCACGACACTGGTGGTTTCAATGGCAGAAAACGAGGAAATCGGGGGAAACGGGGAGACGGAGGACCGGATGAAAGAAGAAGCACAAAAGGGACAAGAATTATCTCCTGCCTCTTCCACCGCCGCCCATTCCGCCCATTCCACCCATCATACCGCCCATTTGCTTCATCAAGCTCTGCATATCCATACCCGCCGGCAGGGAGGGCATGCCACCACCTGCACCAGCGCCACCGCCGCCACCGAGCATCTTCATCATAGCGCCGATATCCATACCGCCTGGACCAGCACCGGGCCCCGCACCTCCGGCACCGCCACCCAGGCTCTGCATGCGTTTCTGCATGGCGGCCATCTGCTGCTGTCTGTTGCCGCCGCCCATGGCGCCCTGGGCGCGCTGCATGTTTGCCATGTTTCCCTTCATCTTCTTGGCCATGTGAGCCATCATGCGGTGCTGGCTGAGGAGGTCTTCGACTTCGCGGACGGAGGTGCCGGAGCCGTGGGCGACACGGGTGATGCGCGTGGGCTGCTCGACGAAGACTTTGCCGTCGGAGTCAAGTTCCTTAATGGTCATGCTGTCGCAAATGTAGATCATGCGGCGCAGCTTCATGCTGCCTTCTTCGTCGTCCATGCTGCCCATCATTTGACTCAGGCCGGGGACCATGCCGGCCATTTTGGAGAGGGGGCCCATTTTCATAATGTTGGATAGTTGGTCGCGCAGGTCGCGGACAGTGAAGACGCCTTCGGCAATGTGCTTCATTGTGTCTTTGTGGTCGAGTTTCAGGGATTGCACGTGGTCCACGAGTCCTTGCATGTCGCCCATTCCGAGTAACTTGCTGATGAATGCTTGTGGAGCGAAACGCTCGAGGTCCAGCATGTGTTCGCCTGTACCGATGAAGACGATGGGCGTGTGTGTAGCTGCGACACTGTGGTAATTGTTAGTATTGATGGAAGAGAGGAGAGAGTAGGAGGAGGAAGCAGGAATGAGGAAGAGCAGACATACGCAGAGATAGCACCTCCTCCGCTGGCGTTGCCGTCGGTTTTGGTAATGATAATGGCTCCAAAGTCGGCAGATGCTTTAAATGCTTTGCTCTGTGCTTCGGCTTGCTGTCCGATACTCGAGTCCAGGACCATGATTGTCTGATCGGGCTTCACGGCTCCTTGGATCTGAACCATTTCGTCAAAGAGCTCTTGTTCTTGCCGGTGCCGACCACTGGTATCTACAATGATGATCTCGAAGCGCTCCTTTTTGAACTTTTCCACACCGTCCCGTGCAACGATGACGGGATCTGTCTGCGTGAGCGAACCATAGTAGGGGATTTTGGCCTTGGTTGCGTTCTGCTTGAGCTGGTCGAATGCTCCGGCTCGGAAAGTGTCGGCGCAGACTAGGCATGCTTTAAATCCACGGGTCTGATACCATCGTGCTAACTTTGTACATGTTGTTGTTTTTCCAGAACCTTGCAGACCGACAAACATGATCACGTTGGCTCGGCCTTTTTTGGGCTTGAATGGCTCAGCGTGAGGATCCACGAGCTTGACAAGTTCATCGAAGACGGCCTTGAAAAGTTAGTATGAATAATCGTATTGCCAGTTGTGCTTGAGATGAAGCACTTGAATACCTTTTGGATTATGCGCTTCTTGTTGACTCCAGCGGGGAGCTCTTTGAAATTGACAGACTGCTTGATAGACTTGCGCAGGGTGCCTACAAGCTTCACGTTCACGTCGGCTTCGAGGAGAGCGGAACAAATCTCTTTGATCATATTATCAAAGGCCTGCACACACAATACAGTTAGTAGAGCACTCATAATGCATCATTGCGTGCATATATTCTTGCCTTCTCGTCCAGCGTGGCCGATCTTGTGAGATCGGACACGGCGGAGTTGATCCGCCGCCCCAAGTCTTGAAGAACCATGCTGGCAGTGGGCGCACAGTCTGAAAAGGTAAATTGTTGTCTCCGGGAATAAGACCAAGGATATTAATGAGGAGATAGATTGATTTATTGTTCCATATGTGTTGCTTGGAGTGTCTGGACCTCGAGGGGCGATGTGGGATGCAGAATGATGGATTGTCATTGGTCACCGGCATCTGCCGCTCCCCAAGACAAAAAGTTCCCAAGAGAATCATAACTGGACGATACAGCAACTACAACAAAACAGAAATCTATACCCTGCGCAAATTCATACATAATGGCTCCCACAGCCGCATACAAGAAGCGCAAGGTCGACGAGGGCATGAAGGGCAGAGTGACCTCACGCCCGTCAAAGAAATTTAAGAAGCAAAAACGCTACGAAAGCGATTCCGACGACAGCGAAGAGGAAGAACCTGAAAACACCGACTTCAAGCCCGTGACCTTGGAGGATTCGGACGATGAAGTGAACGATGACGCTCCGGCTGATGAGTCTGATGGCGCCGATGATGCTGCAGGAGAGTCGGAAGGCGATGATGAAAGTGATGCGGAAGAGGAGGGTTCAGAATCCGAAGCCAGCGATGCCTCCTCCGATTCGGAATCTTCACGAATTCAGTCCAAGAAGCGCAAGCGGAATGATCCCGAGGCTTTCGCAAACTCCATGACCAAGATTTTGGGCTCGAAACTTTCCACCTCAAAGCGTGCCGACCCTGTCTTAGCCCGGAGCAGGACTGCTGCGGATGCCGCCCATGAACTCTCGAACTCTCGACTGGAAGCCAAAGCGAAGCATAAGATGCGCGAGGAGAAAAAGGCTCAATTGGACCGTGGCCGTGTTAAGGATGTGTTGGGACTGGAGTCGGCTCCCGCAGAGGGCGGAGAAGTGTCTGTTGCCGAAACAATCGAGTTGGAGAGACGCCTAAAGAAGACTGCCCAGCGTGGTGTCGTGAAGCTTTTCAACGCTGTTCGAGCAGCACAGGTCAAAGCGGAGGAGATCGCCAAGCAGATGCAGAAGGATGGCACTGTCGGCGTGGCAAAAAGAGAGGAAAAGGTCAATGAGATGAGCAGAAAAGGTTTCTTGGATCTTATCGCCAGCGGAGGAAAGAAGGGCTTGGGCGCCGATATTGAGGAAGCCCGGTAATGAAGAGGATGCACATTTTCGCATCATAAAAAGTTTCATTTTTTTTGCGTTTGTCGCTTGGGAAAAAGGTTATGGTTGGAGGTGTTATATGTCGCATATCGCATGGCTCCTTTTGTCTTGGTCATTGTACAGTACGGATCATTTTATCACAAGCAATACCCTCATAGAATGAAATGTCCGAACGACGGGCAGCAATTCCTCATGCCATATCAAGACCGCAGATTGAACTTTTGATCATGTCTCATTCCGCCTAGTCGCTATAATGTCTAACAAAATATGCTGCAAAATGCTCCAGATCACGCCAGGCAGCAGAAAGAGGCGCCATCCAACAGATTAAATATTATACAGTGACTCAATCACATACTGTCCCCGTCAACCGTAATTGCAGGGCTTAGGTCTTGCTGAAATCGCTGGCCTGCAAGTTCCGAGTCATGCTGGGCAGCTTGACTCGAAGCCCGTCGTACTCAGGCTTCATTATAACTTGGCATCCCAGCCTCGAGGTCTCAGTCAGACCGAAAGCGAGGTCGAGCATGTCGTTCTCGTCGTCGTCAGGCTCGGGCATCTTATCAAACATCTCCGGGTCTTCGATGATAACGTGGCACGTCGAGCAGGCGCAAGATCCACCGCATGCACCTAATAAATGTTAAAAAGATGCTTTCAATAACTAGGGTGAGAGAAAAAGGCTTTTTGCAAACCTTCCATTTCCAGGTCATTGGCCTGCGCAATGTCGAGGAGGTTATCTCCCTCGGCCACCTCAAAGTTGTGCTCGTCACCGTCCTTGTCGACAAAAGTTACATGGATCCTGTAGAAGTAAACTAGGTCAGCAATTAAATGTATTAAGGCTCGAAAGTCAATGGCATACTCTTCGCCAGGCTTGGGCGGAGTGACATGGCCGTGTGCTGCGGCAGTTGTGGCCGAGAAGCTGCGGCGCCCTGCCGCCTCCTTCAAACCAGCATTGCGCGGAAATCTCAAGACATTCAATCGCGCAGAGGCATTCTTTGCCACCTGATGATATCTCCGGTGCGAAAAAGAGGAGGAAATTGAGGTGCGATCCAGCGCAATAGATCCCCGGATGTAAGATGACGTCCGTAAACCGCCCCGCAGAGATGAAATTCCCGCTCTTGACAACGACATGCCGACAAAAGGAATAGACGCCCCAAATCACAGAAAGAACCAATTAGTCTTGCTTCCAAAGGATTGAGAAGCAAGCTATGCGCAAGGTGAGATCACCGGGGGAGTGGTAGCAACAGCAATCGTCACAAGAAAAAGTCGAGTGTTATGGATTTAGGCGGACGATGATTTGACCAGAGAGAGTCAAGCGAGAGAGAAAGGAAGAAAGAGAAGAAACATCTCGGACTTTACACCTTCTCTCTCTCCGAAATCACCGAATTTCACCTACTTTCTCGCCACAACTCTTCAACATTTGGTCGAAGCAGATAATTTAACACTCTGCTGCTATCGCCATGGCTTCTTCTTCACAAAGAGAAGGCCCCAATCCTCTACGGCCATATTACATTCCTCCATCGCTGGGACTGCCACCGGGAGCTTCAATCTCACAATCACCTTCTGGGAATATTCCAGGAAAGAATGGCGCCGCAGCTCCACCAGCCAGCTTTGGCACTTCTGCACGAGACATTCTCTCCGACCTTGACTACTCAGAGTATCTTTCCGACTCGTCGCCGTCCGCTGGTGAGATGGCACGGGACATCTTAGATCAAGCTTTATGGAAATACACGAGCATCCTTCTCGCACAACCTTTTGATGTCGCAAAGACGGTGCTTCAATGTCACCTTGCATCATCAGGAGCAAGACCATTAGTTTCTGGACGTGGATTTTCAAAAAGCGATGCGGAGGACATTGGGCTCATGCCAGACGTATGTTTGCATTTCAATTATCGCAGAGCTCATCCGGGCGTCGGCTAACCAAGTTTTTGTTGATGATGATGTAGTCAGGTGCAGAAGCATCTGATGCAGAGGAAGACAGCGACGAGGAACCTTCTTATTTCAGCTCTACCACACCAGACACATTACAAACATCTTCATCTCGCCGCCGAAGACATGTTACCGACCGAGCGGGCTATGTCATTCCGCCCGCCTCTCAACGACTCCCCCACAAGCTCGAATTACGACGCACAGATGCCCTCCTCGAAGTGATTTCTCAGCTGTGGTCAAAGGAAGGCGCATGGGGTGTCTGGAAGGGTACAAATGCGACGTTCATCTACAGCGTGCTCGTCAGGACCATTGAAAGTTGGACGCGCAGCCTTCTCTCCGCTTTATTCAACGTCCCAGACCCAGGTCTGCTTTTCGGAGCCGACGTAGGTGGTCTGGACGTGCTCGATAGTCCATATCCGCTTGCTTCCCTCGGTGTAGCCATTGCAGCAGCCGGCCTAGCTGGCGTGATACTGGCACCTCTTGATATCGTGCGCACGAGGTATGAAAGCCCTCTACAGCCTTTTTCAAATCACAACACCGCTAACTCAACCCCAGATTGATTCTCACCCCCACAACACATGCTCCTCGAGCACTTCTTCCCTCTCTGCGCTCTCTACCGTCGCTTTCCTGCCCACCCAATCTCCTTCCCATTACTCTCCTCACATCCACCATCCCCACCTTCATCACGACATCCGCCCCGCTCTTCCTCCGCTCCAGAATGGGCATCGACCCCATCCTTACTCCCACAACATACGGAGTCGCTACATTCTTCACTTCCGCCGTCGAGCTCTTTGTGCGACTACCCCTCGAGACCGTCCTGCGGCGCGGCCAAATGTCCGTACCTCTGGGCGGCAAGCGGCCTGCCGCCAGTGAAGCAGTCGTCGACGTTGGCCCCTACCGCGGCGTCATTGGCACCATGTGGTCCATCGTCAAAGAGGAGGGAGGTGCCCCGCAGGAAATCGTCCCCGGTCCTGCCGGCGGCCCTGCTATCCGCCGTGACCGAGCCGGCCAACGTCGCGGCCAGGGCGTCGAAGGTCTCTGGCGCGGCTGGAGAGTAGGCATGTGGGGTCTTGTCGGTGTCTGGGGCGCTGCGGCCCTTGGAAGCGTGGGTGCGCGCGCCGACGAATTTTAAGAGTACTGTGTTAGCCTCTCAATTTCTTCTCTCTCTCTGTGGTGTCTTGGTATCAACACAATTTCTCCCACAATTCTCTCTTTTTTAACCCCCTTTCCCCACTCTTTCATCCCTCACATTTTTCACCTCTCGCACTTCCCTTTCCGCTCGACTCCTCGCTCTTCTCTTTTTATCCCATCCGAAAATCATAGCATCTACTCGTATTCCTTTCCCCTCCTTTTTTTGCGTTTCCTTGTCTCATCACGCACGCTATACCTAATTGTGCACACGGCGTAATTGAATTTCCGGAGGGCGTTTCACCGGCGTTTGTTGTTTTTTCCCTCAATTTATTTCTTTTCCCTCAATCTATAAGTTATCTTTTACTTAAAGTACCTGTGACTTGTTACTTGTTACTTGTTACTTGTTCTATATTATGACTCTCTCCAACCAATGTATAATTGTATATCATAACCATGACACATCTCTGAACCTCTACACATTATCGAATATCATACCTCTGTATTACTCCATGTCTTTTCTCTATCGTAGATGATATTATTCGTATTTTTCATTGGATCCATCATCCATCATCCATCATACATCATGGGCGCCATCAGTTCCCTCCATCCCCAACAAGAATGATTGTGATAATGTGCATGGCTGTATGGGAAGCTGCAACACGTACTGTGTCCTGTGCATTAAATCTGAGACATTTGGGGTGGGGGGCAGGCCAAGAGAGCACGGGGGGCAGTTTCAATCTATTTTCCAGTCTATTTGACCACGGCTCTTCTCATATAGCTTGTAATTGTGTAGTTTCAGTTAATGCATTTATAGCTTGTACTTCATATTCACGTTTTATGTTTTGTGTTTTATGTCTCATGTTTCATACATATAAGTTGTTATTTTATTTTATTTTGTTTGGTTTTAGTTTTATTAGTTTTACTTATTTATTTTTCTTTTTAAATATCTTTTTCCTGTATGAAAGCGCTTGCAACAATCAATGATCAAAAATCACAGTACTACAATATTGTACACACACCTATCCAAAATATTTTCAAGAAATCTTGTCCTGTTGATATAAATCATCTCTTGAAAATGTAATGTAAACCAGCTCAACTCCACGGGACCACGTCCCAAAATCCAATATCACTATATCACATCGTCAGAAATATCACAATATCATAACATCACAACATCAGACAGTAAGACAATATCACAGCGCACGAGTAACATAAAAATTATAGAAAAAGATGTGAAATAGAGAAAAGCATTGTATTTCTACTTTTGACATACACTCATTACCTCCAGCCTCGAGTCCTCGAGTGCCTAACAATAAAATTTTCTTTTTGAAACAAACGGACTTTCTTTTCTGTTTGAACATGAGAAATTGAAACAGAAAGAAGATAAACAGAAGAAAAGGTGACATCACCTACCCTCTTCCCACCCGAAAAGGCAAGGAGGATAATCAGAAGATACAAATGGAAAAGGAAGAGAATTGGAAAGGAAAAAAATTAAATAGAAAAGTACAAAGAAGAAAAAGGAAAGAAAAGAAGAAAGGATATATGTGCAAAGCGCAATGTATAGCGGCTATGGGAATAATAGTAGACAAAAAGGATAATAGTAAACAGTAAGAAAAAGGGCAAGGTATGAACAAAGTGCCTCCATGATAGTGGAAAGAGAAAGGTAGAAAATGACAGGACCACCGAATGATAGAAATGAAGAAAGGAAAGGGATGAAAAAAAAAAAGGAAAAAGAAGAAAGAAAAAGCTTTTGAAAGCGCCTGGTAAACACCCCAAACCTCATCAGTCTATTTTCCGGCTCAAGGGAAAGAATCAAAAGTCATTTACTAGGAAAGTCTCGATTGCTCGATCTCAATTCTCATCGAAAATGAGAAAAAGAGCAAAGACAAGAGAGTTTCCTATGCATCTTTCATGTGCTCGTAATTATAATTATCACGTCGTTTGCCTAATGAAACGCAACTTTGGAACACCAATCACAGATGCGTGTATTCATTCCCTGCCGAATCGCCTGTCAAAGTACTTGAGCACACCCATGACGCTGGCAGCTTCGACCTCTAGCGCTGGACGGGTCTGTGGCGGGTTGCTGTTTCGACTCGTATTTGACGAAGAAGGAGGGGGAGGAACCGCCGTGGTATGGAGCTTGCCAATCCATGAATTCAACTCATCGGTGGCACGGTCAAAGTGCGCGTGTCGGGCAAGGGTGGTATATGCATCGGCACAGGACAGTGAGATATCACGAGCAGCTGGGTTTTCAGGCGCGGGCGGTGGTGCAGGACGGGTGTTGGTGGCGGTGGTAGGGGGGCCTTTGGAACGGCAGCATCCGCCACTGGCACCGCCGCCTCCGCAGCAGCCTCCTCCGGGAGGACCGAGCCCTGCAGCTCGAGAAGCAGCAAGAGATTTGCAGAAGAGGGTGCTGTTGGGATCCGCTCGGCACTGAGCACAAGTTCCTGGACCGTTGGCACAGGGATTGCTGCTCTTGCCGCTGCTAATGGGAGCAGCTAGGTGGCGGGAACTCGGCTCAAGGGTGGCTGGCTTCAAGGACTGGGGCAGGCCAGAAGAGGAGATGGACTGGCGGTGGGCATTGCTGATATCGGTGTCAGAGGGAGGAGGTGTGAAAGGTGCCAGAAGAGGAGCGAGGCGGTTATTCTCGAGTTCTCGCTCTCGGTCGTGCTCGTTTTCGACATTGGTGAACTGGTTATTCGCGTTCTCCAGCTCTGCACACACGCAGGGCGTGCCGTCTTGACAGAAGCCGCATGGATCTGGAATTGCCATGGGCGAAACAGTGGCTGAAGGGCTGGGAACCTCAATGATATCTGGAGAAAGACTTGTCCTGGCTCGAAGCGATGTGAAACGGGAGGTAAAGTCGATTTCTAATTCGACTGGCTCTGCCTTGACGGGCTCGCTCGTGCGACGAGTACGCTTGGAGACGCGGTTCTGTGGCGAGTGAGGTCGTTTAGGAGCAACTGGCGAGGTGGTGGTCTCGGGATATGTAATGTGAGAAATATTAAAGGCTTGCTCGATGCATGCACAACGAGCGTTGGTGCTGCATCCTCCACAGCCCATAGGGGCAGCCGCGTGCTCGGATTGCAGATGTTGAGTTTCGTGATGATGGGTTGGGTGGTGATGAGTCTGCTGAGGTACAGTTGCTGAGACGGCAGGCTTGCGAGTAGCATTCCGTCTGGGTGGAAGAGGAACAGCATCCGTGCTGGTTGTTTGGCCACGTCTCAGATATTCAACCTCTTTCTCCGCTCTCTCTTTTAGTTCTCTCTCGTGGTTGAGAGCTTGTTCGAGCCCTTCTGCTCGACTTCGCCACGCTACGAGTTCGCCATTAAATCGATCCACTTCTTCCTGCAGCTGCGATATTTGAGCTTGCATTTCAGCCTGCTCTCGGTCTGCTTCATCTTCAATCTGCTTCATTTGTTCCTCAAGCTCGCCAACTCTGGCAGCTCGACGCTCGCGAAAGGCTCGCTGAGCGGCTCGGTTCTGGGCCTTGCGTTTGGTTGGAGGGATATCAGTTGCAGGCTTTCGACCTGGTTTTGGCCGAGGAGGTATCACCCATTCTTTGCTCGTGACAATGCCGGACGGTGGGAGAGAGTGAACAGCCGGAGAAGCAGCTCTACTTGGAGCAGGTGAGAGCTTAACCGCCAGCGCTGGTGCTGGGGCTAGCATTGGGGTGGGTGCAATTGACGTGGTCATTGTCGATGTGTATTTGAGACGCCAAAGCTGTTGAAAATGTCAGTATATCTTCTCAAAAAGACAAAAGACAATGCCATCTGCATATTAATCCACAAAAGATGATGAATATCCTTTTCATAGGCTCGAAAGCGAGATATCTCCGACGACGAATTACTATGAGGGACTTATGCCCTCGCCAAAGAAAAAAAGTCCTTACCTGCCGCACATCTGCTTGAATGGAGTCAAAACGATTAGAGATTCAATTGATAGATGAAGGGAGAGAAAAAGAAATATTTGCAAGGGCCCTTCAAGGTGCCCAGTCAGGGTCTAAATGAGGAGTTAGGGTAAATGGAGAGGGAGGAGGGAGGGGAGCGAGTATCCGAAGGTTGATCAAATCATCAGATAACTCCACTTAGAGTTATCTGATCCTGCACTGCCAAGCCACTAAACCGCAAATGGTGTAATGACCACGTCCTCGGCCGGTCTCGGAGGAATTTGTGACCAATCATGTTACACAGTGGTTTGGCAGTCACGACCCGCAATTCTCTCTCGACCAACCACCATTCGAGCTTAGAATTTCGATTTATCAGATCCTTTCTGTGCCGTCCTCGAGCTTGCTAGCTCAACCCGGTTGATTATCTCCCTCTCCACTCCTTGCATTCCATCATTATTGTGGGGATTGGAATTGCTCCGGCCTCTGGCGATACTTCACCTAAGGAGAAACTCAGAAGCATTTTACTAAAGTCTGGACGTTTCCTTTTGCTGGTAAACCTCACGGTCATAGGGGAGATGATGCCCGCCAACTAGTAACACTTGTTTCTAGGCCCCCCGCCCTCTCTGCAGCCCTTGAGAAGCGTTGATCACCATGAGCCGGTTCTACGTGCGTACTTTCTAGTCTTTTCCTAATCCAAATGCTCTTACCTCATCGCCCGATGGCTTTTACTTTTCTGACTCATTACATTACAGTTCGGTGATACGGATAGCTCATCGGGGCTTGAGGACGACGACTTGCCCTATCCTGCCCCCCTTGCTCGCGCCGACTTCCTCCAACCGGATTTCAGCCCGGCGGAATACTTGTCAACTTTACGCAATAGACATCAGACCCTAGAAGATCTTCGCGGAGATCTCCGTAGCCGCTCTCAACTTGTATCAAAAGAACTCCTCGATCTAGTCAACAGCAATTATACCGATTTCTTATCCCTAGGTGGTAGCCTGAGGGGCGGCGATGAAAAGGTTGAAGAGGTTCGGGTGGGATTGCTCGGGTTCAAACGGGACATAGAAGATGTCCGGAAACGGGTCGAAAAGCGGGGAAAGGAGGTGGAGGATCTGATTCGCGAGCGAACAGGCCTACGGAGGCAAATAAATGTCGGCCGGGCGCTCCTCGAGGTTGACAGTCGGTTGACAGAATTGGAGGGTCGGCTTATGGTGAAATATGCTGGACAGTCTTCCCTTGACGACGAAACGGCAGAGGCAGGGTTTACCAGTGAGAGCGAAGAGGACTCCGATGAAGAGGAATATTCCGAAGATAATAACGGTTCTCTATCTATAGCCAAGCTCAAGGGGCTTGTGCAGCGGTATCTATATGTTACCCAGCTCATTGACCACATTGGCTCAGAGCACCCGTTTTTAATAGCCCAAGAATCTCGCTTGATGCGGGTGCGCAACACTATTTTGTTGGACTTGGGGACAGCGCTCAAGCACGCCAAAACATCTCACACCAAAAGCCCTGATCGATTGATGAAAATCATGGCGGTGTATAGAGAGATGGGCGAAGCCAAGGAAGCAGTTCAAGCCCTGAAAGATTTGAAGCTTAAGGCTTAAGTATCATGTTATGTATACCGGCATGGCTCTGGCGTCTTGGAATTGGAATTGGCGTGGCGTTCGCGGAGCAAAGTAGCATCAAACCTGGAGAATTCTCTTGCTTAGCCGATGAAAGTTATAATTTTAATAGTTTGATACGTCTGTCCATGTCGAGGTACCGCTATATATCAATTTGAACTCATCCTGAAACTCGAATGATTTCATAAATGTTTGCAGGATTGCTTCAACGCCTTATCGAAAATAGAAAAAGCTCAAAATCTCCTGTTCGGAGAACAATAATATAATGAAGAGGAACCTGCCCGAAAATGCCAATCATGCATGATTGGTTTTAGACTGCTTAGATAGTTGATGAAACATTTCCAAACAATTATCACGATAATTCCGCTACTTGTCAATGAGATGCTTGAGCTTGGGATCCAATTTGGGGTAGCAGTTTTTGACTGTGCTGAAAAGGGCTATTTCGGAACCCCACCAAACATCGAAACTGGGGTGCTGGTTATCTGTCCAGAGCTGTCTTTCAATCTGCTTCCAAAAAGAGTAATTGTGAAGTCTCGTTGAACGTCGTATGCAAGCCAGCCTTGGCATCCAAAGGAGTGCCGCCAATGATAATAGCCTAACGGCAAGGTTAGCCCAAAAGAGGAAATTAAATTGTTCATTGGACGTCGTGACATTGAGTAGTTGGCAGCCCGTTCGCGGAGACAAGTTGATTCACAAACGCCCCATGACGTCTGTAGAGATTGACGATTCAGACACAATAAAAATAAGCATAACCCTGCTTGAACAGCGCACTCCGGACAACATGTGTGTACCAAAAGATCTTTGAAAAAAGTAAAATTTACTTCAAATATGCTTCTATTTAATACAGTCCGAAGAAATGATGCTCCATGGAAACCTTGATATTTGAGAATTACAAAACGGAAAGATCCCTCGTCGAGGGAGAGTTGGCGCTTCTGAAGTCGCCATTGAGACTGAAGCCTGGGGCATTGGTAGAGCTGAGGACCTAAATTGAAACATCAGTGAATAGTGCGCCAGAAGATGGGAAGTTGTGCAAAGCCTACCACTTCATAGAGCTCCTTGTGGATCTTGTCGCTCATGGCCGACATGTCTTTCTTGACATGATCAATGAAATAACGGATATTCTTCTGCATCTCCTCAGGAGTGAATCCCAACTGACCAACCGCCATCCGAATTACTCCCAGTCTCTCTCGGTATTCACTTCCTCCGACCATTTCTTTGACGGTAGCGCCGACATCCTTGACTACCGTACCAGTCTTTGCGCTGGGCATGAGGCCTCGCGGTCCCAATACTCTTCCCAGAGCAGCTTTATTCAGCTTTGCCAGTGAATCCACATGACATAGACAGCGGTCGAATTCTATCCGACCGGCCTTGACGGCTTCGAAGATGGCCTCTTCGCCAACGAGAACGGCGCCGTGTTTCTTGGCTGCCTCGGCGGCCTTAGAGTCGGGCGGACAGATGACGCAAATACGGATATCGGTCTTGACGGGGTGGGGAAGCTGAAGACGGCTTCGAATGACGGGGCCGTTCTTGAGGGTTTTGAGCCTTAGGTGCATTTCATATTTGGCAGATGTAGGGGGTCGGCCGACTTCGAATGCGCGGATGTACCTGTTGGCTGTTAAGAACCAGTTCTCTTTTCGGTAATAGAGAAGGGATCCAACCTCATAGCATCGCAAAGAGAGAACTGCTCCGCATCCTTAAGACTGTATTGAATAAATGATGATCTTGTCGTTTTCTTCTTCTTTTTCGTATCCTTCTTCTTATACTTCGGGTTCGCTTTGGTCGAGGCACAACGCAATTGATCAGCAGCACCCGAGAAGACGAAAGGTAGCCTTGGCTGCGATCGAACCGCTGGACCTATCGTTAATCTGCTCAATTGAGCAATTGGCATCTTGAGGGACGCCATTGCAGGTCGAATGTGATCTTGAAAGCTTGACCGAATTCCCAAAGTTGTCGCCAATCGTAGGATTATTTCCGAACTCTTCTCCGTGGTTACCCGGCGAATTAAATCCGTGTGACAGAGGCATAAATTATGCACCTTTATGCCAACCACGGATTATTCGCTGAGTCATCCTATCAGCAACACCGAACCCCACCATATCCCAACTTTTGAAAGTGGGCTGTCGACCGTTGTTCCTCTACGCAATTGCACAGTCTACCAGTTAACAATGGCCACTCTTACTTTGGCCGTTCGGGCGAGTCACGCCTTGCTCGCTCCCCCTCTTCTCGTTGCCCATCTTATCAATGAGAAGAAGACTGAATCTCTAGTTACTATTAAGCTCGAGGACGTAGAGACCATCAAGACGACCCACGGTGAAGGCGTTGTCGAGCTCACTGCGGGCTCGTCCACACCTGTTTATGGTGACAGCGCCGTGCTCAAGAAGCTCCTTGCGGACTATCCAATTCCCTCGCAGCAGCAAAAGGCGGTTAGTCATAGCCACACGGCTTTTGGACATGTGAGCTTTCTGACATTGGATATTTAGGAGGAGGAATGGCTCGAACGCGCCGTTGCTTTCACAAACCCCACCTTTAAAGCCTTTGAGGCTGCACTCGGAGAGCTCGATGCTCATCTGACTCTGCGATCATTCATTGTCGGATACAGTCTCACTCCAGCCGATCTTGCAGCCTGGGGTGCTCTCCGCGGAAACAAGGCGGCTTTCGCTTTTGTCCGCCGAAACACGCTCGCGAACGTGGGACGTTGGTTCCGCTACGTCGACGAGATCATTCCTTGGGCTGGCAAGGCTGTTGAGTCGCTGAGTGCTTCGGCAAAGGAGAAGAAATCAGCAAAGAGCCGAGAGGGTGCCAGCTACGACATTGCTCTGCCGGACGTCGAAAAGGGTGTTATTACCCGTTTCCCTCCGGAGCCTTCGTAAGATAACACTCATCCAGTAGCATAATCTATAGTCATAAAGTACTTATGATTGTTTAGGGGCTATCTCCACATCGGACATGCCAAGGCGGCTTTGTTGAACGACTACTTCGCCCACGAGCAATACAAAGGAACGCTTCTTCTTCGATTCGATGACACCAACCCCTCCAAGGAAAAGCAGGAGTACCAAGATGCAATTATCGAGGACCTATCTCTTATGGCCATCTACCCTAACAAGACCTCGTACACTAGTGACTACTTTGATGAGCTGTACGATTACTGTGTCCAGATGATCAAGGAGGGCAATGCCTACGCCGACAACACTGACCAGGAAACCATGCGGTACCAGAGAATGCACGGTATCCCCAGCAACTGCCGCGACAACAGCGCTGAGGAGAACCTGGCTCATTTCGAGGAAATGAAGAAGGGCTCCGAGGAAGGACTTACCTGGTGCATTCGGGCCAAGATTTCTGTCGATAATCCAAACAAGGCCATGCGCGATCCCGTCATCTATCGTTGCAACCCGCTCCCTCATCACCGCACCGGCAGCAAGTGGAAGATCTACCCCACCTACGACTTCTGTTGCCCAATTGTCGACTCCATTGAGGGAGTCACTCACGCTCTCAGAACTATTGAGTACCGTGACCGTAACCCTCAGTACCACTGGATGCTGAAGGCACTTCACCTTCGTGATGTCCACATCTGGGACTTTGCCCGCATGAACTTTGTTCGCACTCTGCTTTCCAAGCGTAAGCTGACCAAGTTCGTCGATGACGGTGTTGTCTGGGGCTGGGATGACCCGCGTTTCCCCACTATCCGTGGTATCCGCCGCCGGGGTATGACCATTGGCGCTCTGCGCGAGTTCATCCTCAAGCAAGGACCGAGCCGGAACATTGTCAACCTTGACTGGACCCTCTTCTGGGCCACCAACAAGAAGTACATTGACCCGATCGCTCCTCGTCACGTCGCCGTGGTCAAGGAGAACGCTGTCCCCTGTACAATTGTCGGTGCCCGCGCAGCTCCTTACTCCGAGGACAAGCCCAAGCACGCCAAGAACGCCGAGGTTGGTCTCCGGAAGATCTGGTACAGTGGCTCGATCTTGATCGATCAGGAAGATGCCCAGTCCTTCAAGCAGGACGAGGAGATTACCCTTATGCAATGGGGCAATGCCATTGTTCGCAAGATCTCCCACTCGATCAACCCCTTGAACAAGAACGTGACTGGCTTGGAGCTTGAGTTACACCTCCAGGGTGATGTCAAGAAGACTGAGAAGAAGGTCACCTGGCTGTCGACCGAAGGCCAGGAGCTTGTTCCCGTTGAGCTCGTCGACTTTGACTACTTGATCACCAAGGATAAGCTCGAGGAAGACGACAAGGTGGACGACTTCTTGACCCCCAACACTGAGTTCCGCACCAGCGCTGTTGCGGATTGCAATGTTGCCGACCTTAAGGCCGATGATATTATTCAGTTTGAGCGTAAGGGCTACTACAGAGTGGACAAGCCCTTCCAGCATGGACAGCCAGCCGTCCTGTTCAACATTCCCACTGGCAAGACCAAATAGAGAAGAGGATAGATTAGAGTCTGAGGGCCTATACTGAGGGCCCATACACGGCAATCTAGCGGCCATATATGAGTATAGTACTTTATGAAATCATGTTAAAATAAAATTTGTTTTCCTATTTCGTCCTTTGTCGGCTGCAGAGATGACCTTTTACTTCTCTTTCGAACTCCACCTATGTTCTTTCTTGATCTTTTGATTGATGATCACCCAACAAATGAGGTATACATAGATGCATCGTGAAGAACAGAAGAAAGATAAATAAATAAGATAGTCGAGATGACATAACACCCGTCCCGTCAAATATGATCCGCATGCATCGGGCCCTAAAACACCATCTACGCCCCAAGCTCCATTACCCAAACTAGAAATACACCAACCCAAAGGAAAAGAATGAAGAAGAAACTCGAGACTTTTATCCATCACACCGCATATATCAATGCATCCTGTTGCTCAGCGCGTGAGACCAACCAAGGACAGTTTCGGCAGACCCAGCGTGAGAACAACTAGGATAGACTTGACAGATCCAGCGTGTGAAACATCAAGGAAAGGAGAATTCCCTCCCTAGACAAAAACACTTAAGCAGCAAGCCTGTCCTCGAGCACCGCACGAACCAAGCCCGGTCTTCGTGTCTCCCAGACACGCATTCCAACAATATCACCCACTTTCTCGACAAGTCTCTGCTTGATTTCTTCACTGAGATCCGATGTATCTGTGGGCCCCGACACCGGGCGGCCCAGCGAATCAACCTCTAGCCTCTCCAGCGCAGAAAGAATCGCATCCACGACTTTCTCGGCCTCGATTTTCTTCGAGCTTGTTCCTGGCGGCTGCTGCTGGGAACCTTGGTCCTCGGCAATACGGTCTTGGAGAATGCCATCGTAGGGCTTCAGATTCGGCAGGATCAAGACGCGGACAATATCGGCTCCGCCAATAGCGGTCAGGCCGTGAATTGCGCCATAGTGCACGCCGAATGACCGGTGTGGGTCAAGAAAGTGTTTCAGACAGGTACGTGCGAGTCGTGGGTTGAGCGTGTGGCTGGCTTTGGCGTATTTGGTGGAGATTTTGGCGATGAGAGAGGCAGCGATATCGCGCAGGGCGAAGTGTGCGAGGGGAGATGGTCCGCTGGCGTTGTTGGAGTCGACGCCCCCTCCTCCTGCACCTCCTCCTCCGCCGCCGAGACGGCGCCCGATGAGGCATGTGAGGATGGGAGGGATGATTGATGCGACCTGTTTGTAGAGTTGTGAGTATAAGAGGGTTACAGTGTTGAAGGGAGATAACAAAAGTGCCGAGGGAGAGAGAGGGGCGAGGAAAGATGAGGTGTTAAGGACAGTTGAAATGATAAGGACATACGTAAGGATCGACGTAAAGGCTTGAATTGTCAAGCATGGCCGAAGTAAGCTGCATCATCTGCGTCAAGATAAAGAGGCTGTTTAAGCTATGCGTGACCTTCTCGGCGACGAATTGCACAAAGTACGGCACGAGCTGGTGCAGGCCAGGATCACTGCGTAAGCTGGCCAGTGCAGCCACGCGGTATTCGTCGTTGTTTTCGTCAAGCACAGCGCCGCAGACTCGCTCAAAGTACAGCTGTAACTCTTTGGACAAGATGTGTTTTACTAGCGGCTTGACAGCGAAATTGTCTTCTCCTCCGGCGGCACCTAGGCTGGCATTTGCTCCTGGACCCTTGGGTACCAGCTCTTGGTTGCGCGAGTCGGCTGATGTAGGATTCTGTGGGATTGACGGTTGGACGCCTTCGACGGCAAGCCAGTGGGCTGTTTTTGTGGGGAAAGGTTAGTATAGAGTATATTTGAAGCGGGATAGTCTGAGAGGAGGAGGAGCAGACCTGTGAATGAAATCTCCCGAGGAACTTTCGGAAGCGGTGCATTGATGAGCTTCTCAAAGTCGACTTCCTCGTCTTCAACGTAGAACAATGGTTGGCCTGGGCCAATGGACGCTTCGCCGAATCGAAGAGGTCGCGTCGATTCATATCCATACAAGGGCTCGACATCAAGGACTCGTAATGCTTGGGCAATGTCTTGTGTGGACAGGGTTGTGCGCTTGCTGTGTCTCATGAATTTGAGCGCTTCTTCGAGCACTTGCGACAGACGGTACTCTACATCGCGGGAAAGGTTCTCGACTACATCGTTGTTCAACGCGGAGATGCCTACTGACTCGGCGACGTCCTTGATGTTTTCCGGGTTCCACACCGACATTGTGAAGGCGTAATGACTGAGCCGAGTAGCGCCGTCTTAGGGAATAGCTGAGGTTCGGAGAAGGTGGTTGCCCTCACGCGATGATTGTAATTTGTCGAGCTCGGCTTCTGGCAGGAAATGCCACGTTGTTTTTGAGCGGTCGGGTGAAACGGACAGAGCGGCGGTCAGACAAGCTTGGGATCCTGTTTCCTTCTCGATTGCCTCTTTGCTTGTTCTTTGAGGCACTTCCTTCGGGTCCTCGCATAAGGTTGCGGAGAGATTGGGCGCAACTTTCCGCCAGGCAACGGGGACGCCGCTGCTCTCTCGCTGTCAAGTTGATCTTTGTATTACCAAAGTCGCGTGGAGATTGTATCCGCCAGAAAATTTGGATTGCGACAGGATATTGTCAAAGTAGAGCAACAGAGCTCGGGCAATGGAAACGGAGACCTCTCTAAGAGATGCGATTCTAAGCGCGAAATAGACGGCTCTCATATACAGTGGTAAGCGCAGAGCTCGCTTATTGCGTCTATTTGAATGGGCTATAGCTCAGCGACAACTTCAGACATGACAGAACAATTGTTTGCCTATAAAAAACAAAGGAATACGAATATGCACCCCGCATTTCTGCATCATGCAAATTCTCAGGGTAGTGTCTGTGGATCAATTTCCCACCCAATTGTGGCTGCCGGTTTCCCGTATGAAGGCCACTTTTTTCAGTCTTCTAGCCGTTTTTCTCCCAAAGAAAAGTCAGCGATAACTCCATTTGAACCAACGTCAATTCTGGAGATTGAGACTTTGGTCATCACAAGCTCAGAATATCACATGGATCATTTATGGACAGATTACTGACGTGGATGTACACCGTCATGATCTGCGCAAGGGGTTCCAGCCCTTTCTCCAGCTTACGAGGTACATGGGACCTAGGATTTGGGTTCACATAGTTGCACAAATTTCAACTGAAAGATCAAAGACGCCACTTCCCTCTCCTCATTCGCCTTGACATGATTGAAAGAGTTGATTTCAGGGTCTGGCTCAAGCCAATGCTTCCTTGAGCGGCACGATGGGCACTGTGACAGGCTCTCTTGGTCTGCAGGGTCCTCTCACCGCTCATTCCCGAAAGCTTGGAGATACCTCCACCACCTGGTGACTTTGGTTTGCTGGCAGTAACGGAAGATTTCTTATCGTTCCACAGCAGCATTCTAGTCAACTAATGTCCGATGAAGCATTAGGGATCTTGCAGTTGTTTTGTCCAAAATTTGGGGATTGCAGCTCCCCCATGTCGTCTTTCCGCGCTTCCACATGAGCCATGCATTGCAAAGCTTGGCATGCCGTGGAAATGTCTCCGGGCCGCTCCCTGCTTTATATCTACCTTTTACATTAGTCACTTCACTAATCCTTTTTGTACTGTACCCTTCAAGGGAGTCTCGGGACGCTTCACCGGTGGCGCTGTGGCGCCCCTTGCGGGCCCTTTCAAGATGCAGCGTCACATTTCTGCCCTCAGATATCAATTTCCCCTCTGCAAAAACCCCCCTGTACACCCGTCATCCCAACATTTCTCTCACCGATATATGCGCAACGAGCCTCTTCTATCCTCTTTCGCCTTGGTCCTGCTTTCCCAAGAAACGTATAAGCACTCGTTTTGTAAAATCTTGCCGCTTGACGAAGAACCAGCTCACGTATGTTGAAAATTTCCACGTTGACAATTTGCATAAACTACTGCATAGCCGCATTTCTTTCTAACCATTCCCGCTGAGTCACGAAGGCGTGAAGTGACTAAATTCTGTTTGCTGAATGTTGGGAGTTTTAATTGTTTGTCCTTTTGACCAGTGAAAGTCTGCTTCGTCTGCCATAAAAGTTCATCCTCTTCCGCCACCGATCTTCATCACACCCAAAAGTTACGTCTTCCCTGAGCAACGTGGTCTGCTATTCATAATTGGAAACTTCTTCTCTTTCACTGAATAGTTTGTTTGTGCTTCTATCATCGATCCTATCACCGTTCCTTCACAGCTGCCGTGATGATTTCGCACTCAGTTTCCTCCTCTTGGAGCCGTATAAATACCCCTACTCAAACCGCTCAAAGACGACCACAAAAATCCAACAGCTTCAGAAATTCTACTACAATGCCGGAATATCTAGCTTCTTTTTCTGACTACTCGAGAACTGATCCTCCCTCACCGCCCCCGCAGCCCCCGCCAAGTCCTGAGCCTGGACCATATCGTGTGCTGCCCGCGGAGCAGAATGCTCGCCAGTACAGAGAGTTGGAGCAGCAGCTTACAGCTGGCCTGTGAGTTATGTGAAAACATACATCTGGATATGGAGCTGACGACTTGTCAAAGCCAATTAGCCAGCAACCATTGAGCCAGACAGAATGCGCGGAAAGGAGATAGCTCTGGTAAGCTTTCATGGCCATCATTTATGGTTTCCATTATGTTCCTTCAATCAGATCTAATGATTCCAATTATGTTAGGAGCGTGGCATACGATCGTTGCTCTTCAACTTTCGGAAATTTCCTCCGTCCTATAATCAAAATTTCACTCTGACGCAACGGGAGCTGCTGTTCGCGCTCTTTAATATTCCTCCTTCCCAACAAAAAAATTTCTTTTGGTTCTCTCTATGGAGGTATAATGGGTAATGTGGCATTTGTCCCGTTGGTAGATCATATTTCGGTTTAATTGAGCTCAATTGTCTGGGGCTCTTCGAGGACGTTAATGTTATCGGCGGCATTTTTTCTTTTAAATTGATGAAAGCAAGGGAAGGAGTCGAACTTTATGCTACATTGCATAAAAACCGATAGTTACTTTTCATTCCACTCAATACATCGAATAGCTGCAGCATAGGTTGACTGTGACTATGTCTTGTGCATTATTTGTATTGGTGCAATGATGGTCGTAGTATTAAGTTTGTAACACAGAAACTGAGCCAGATCCAAGAAGTAGTCAGTATCAAATATTCATGTACGAAATGGCCGTGAACAAAATTGCCGTGAAAGATGTAACATTTACTGGTTCAATTGGTTAGCTAATTCATGCTAGAAGCGTACCTACCGTCAATTATAACACCACAGCTATAGCTCCATGTTTGCTTATCGATAAGAAGCGTCAATAATTCCGCTTTCGGCCCCGCCGAGGGGCACGTAATTCTTAGTCCTCCCCTCTCCCCATTCACCTCTACAACATTCATTCTCCATTTCTAAGTGGTTTTTCTCATTTTTAGATTTAATTCTATTTCAATTCGACAATCTTAGAGTTTGCCTTTCTGTACCTTATCTACGTCAAACAACTTTATAGACCTCACCATGTCTTCACAGCTCCGGATTGGCTTTGTGCCTGGTTAGCTCCTATGCCCCTCTTTCTCTTCTTGCATTTCCAAACTCTCAACTCCGATCCCTGTTATAAAAACAACAGACTAATGTCATGGCAAAATTCGCGTAGAGCACTTCTCGACACCGCTGCACTTTGCGCAGAAATACTTTGGCCTCAATGCGACCTTGGTCCCGTTCCCATCCGGCACGGGCCACATGATCCAATCGCTCAAGGCCAAGGAGATTGATATCGGCATTGGTCTCACAGAAGGATGGATCGCAGGGCTCGGCAAAGAGGGCGAGAAGGCCGGATATAAGCTTGTCGGAACCTATGTCGAGACGCCTTTATGTATGCCTTGATTCCATTGTTTCCCTTCCACCGGGGCCGTTGCTCTTTTCACCCCGCCTGGAGAGACACAATTACTGACAATAATTTACTAGGCTGGGCTATTAGCACTGGTGCAAACCGCGACTTGAAAGACGTGACGCAGCTCAAGGGCGCCAACGTCGGAGTTAGCCGGATAGGCAGGTACGTTTGCCCACGATATGATCAACATTTCATACTCTCTCCAAACTCACAAACAAAATGAAATCGAAAACTAATTGAAATAATGCAGTGGATCATACGTCATGTCATTCGTGCTCGCGGACCAACAAGGCTGGCTGGAACCCTCGCAGCCTGCGCCATTTACATTTCTCCCCTTACAAACATTTGCTTCGCTCCGTCAGGGTGTGAATGAGGGCACTGCGGATTTTTTCATGTGGGAGCACTTTACGTCGAAGCGGTACTATGACAATGGCGAAATCAAGCGGATCGGGGAGATTTATACGCCGTGGAGCTCTTGGAAGATTGTCGTTGCGGATGCAGTCGCGGGCGACGAGGCGCGATTGGGTTCCATGTTTGAGGCGATCAATAAGGGAGTCAAGTATTTCCAGGAACACCTGGACGAGGCGGTGCAATATATCAGCACAAACTTGGATTACTCAGAGGAAGATGCGCGCGAGTGGCTCAAGACTGTGCGGTTTGCAGATAATGTGAAGGGTGTGGATGTAGAGGTTGTGAAGCGGACAAAGGATATTTTGCTCAAGGCGGGCGTCATTGAGAGCGGTGTACAAAGTCTGAGTCCTGAAGCCATGATTTCAGTCTCGAGAAAATAGATACACGACAGATGAAAGAATTGCATGACACTTCTAGAAGATCTTGAAAAATGGGTTCGGATACGATATCCTCCAGCACAAGTGATAATTAAGGAATAAAGGGGGCATGATACTACCATAAATGTTGACTAGATTGTCTAAAATGACTGATATAATTTTCGAACAATGTATATAAATACGAAATGACAAATGACACTCTAAGAAAAATCAATGGTCCAGCCATGGCCAATAGCAACCTTGGGATTCCGAATGATTGCCCAGGCAGCCTTGGATCCTTCAGGAGGAGTATAGCTCAACTCAGCAGTGGAAGACTGAGCGCCATCCTCCGTGACCGTGACGGTAGACTTTGACGCCCACCCAGCCGGGGCGCCGACAACGACAACCTTCTCGACGCCAACCTTGGCCATGGTCTTGAGGTACGCTGCAGTCTTGCTTCCCTTGACTGCGAGGTCTTCTGACACGAGTGACGAGGAAGACTTGTCAAAGACAAAGCGGCGATGGATATAAGCGCCGGCCTGGTAATCAAAAGTTTCTCCATCGTCAAGGTAAAGGTGACCCTCGGCGTGACCGTTTTCGTCGAGTACGACGACCAGGGTGAAGGGATCCCACCTCATCAGGCCACTGCTGCGACGCGGTCTGTCCCGACGAGGAATGATGTGGCCGCCTTGCATGAGAATGGGAATTTTCTCGAGCGGTGCTGCAATGGTCTTGCTACCCTTTCCCCGGTAGACAGTGAAATCAAAATAGTCATAGTACGGCCGATCGTCAGAAATGTAGATGTCGACGCTGGTAGCATCCTCCTTGACTACAGGCTTGGCTAAGATACCAGTACTGCCAAGGTAAAACTGGTCGTCAAGAGCGAAGCCCTTCTCATCCGAAGGATGAACAAAGTAGTTGGGACGGATGATGGGGCTGCCTTCCGTGCTGGCTTCGTAAAAGGCGGTATACCAGGCGGGCAGAAGCTGGTAACGGAGACGAAGTGCCTGGGTGATGATACCCTTGTACGGGTCACCGGCCATGTACGGCTCGCGTCTCCGGGTGTCGAGATGAGCGTGGCCACGGAAGAAAGGATAGAACGCTCCGGCTTGGTACCATCGGGTAAGAAGCTCCTTGCTGGGGTTGCCGAAGAAGCCACCAACATCTGCACCCGCAAATGGGAATCCCGCAATACCATTGTTCAGAATCATAGGAAAGGCGGCAGCAAGGTGGTCCCAGTTGGCTTGGTTGTCACCCGTCCACATGGCGCCAAGGCGCTGAGTGCCGGCATAGAACGACCGGGTCAGGACAAAAGGTCGACGGATCTCGCCCTTCTTTCGCTCAAGGAGAGCCTGGTAAGTCGCATTGACAAGGGTCATGCCGTTGATATTGTGAATGTCACGGTGTTCCCAGTTTCCGTAATGAAGGTTGTCTTTCGGCATGGTCACTTCTGGGCCGTTGAATACGGAAGGCTCATTCATATCGTTCCAAAGGAAGGTGTTGGGTGCGGATCCCTTCCATGCATCATACTTGAACAGCGTCTTCCACCATGCAATCGCTGCTGGATTGAAACAATCCACCCAATTTGAAGATCCGGGCCAGCACCAACCCTCGTAAATGTTTCCATCTTTGTTCATAACTGCCAAGTTCTTGCCCTTGAGCTCCTCGCTGATGCGGAAGCCTTTCTCGTTTTTTATGTGGGGATCGATAATAGCAACCAGCTTCCGATCGCGAAGGTCGAGTTGCTTCTGCATTCCAATTGAATCCCCAAATGTCATTGGATCCCACGTAAAATATTTCTTCCCCTCTGTGTATTCAATGTCGAGCCAAATCACGTCATAGGGAATATTATGTTTGTCAAACTTGCGATCGACATCCCGAACATCTTCATCGGTAACATAGTTCCATCGGCACTGGTGATAGCCAACAGAAAATTGCTGCGGTAGTTGCGTATACCCAGTCAACTCTGAATAAGTCTTCATTATGTCCTTGGATGTAGGTCCAAGAAACACGAATACATCAAGTAATCCACTTTCCGAGATCCAGTGAGTCTTAGTATCAACGGATCCAGCAAGACCCAGACTCAGAGGATTCAGCGGAGATTTTGATTTGATGATGTCAATCCAGGTTTCTGCGGCGTTCAGCCAGAAGACACCGACGGTCGAATCCTTCTTGTGGGCCTGCATAAAGGGGATGGCGCCGTACAAGGTCATCGGGCTGTCCATCTCATATTCGAATACATCGCTGTTGTACAATCGATAAGGATCCTTGTGGTTTCCATCACCGCCCCTGCTTGATATCAGTAAAACGATTAATTCAATAAATGTCTTCGTGAACCCACCGAGTCTCGCGCAACGAGAGAGGACCAGCATGCTCGGGAATACCAAAGACATGTTCATAGCCAGGAAACGAGATGTCCAATGCAACACTCTCGGGGCCACGGGGCTTTGAGTCGGTGTTTCCGCCGAATGTTTCTTCCCACCATGTGCTCTCGTCTTCCACGGGCTCCTTGTTGGCTTCTTCGCCTTCTTTCGGCTCCTTGTCTACCTTTGGTCTCCAATGCTCGACATTTAAAAGGCCTCGGTCGTTGAACTGGACCTGAGTTTCGGCGTCGCGTTTGAAGTCTACGGAAAAAGGGGCATGACGAATAACAGCTTCAAAGCCTTTGGTAGGGCCGTATTCTACTTTTGTGAAGCCATTGTCCTGTTGACTGCTCAAAGCAGCAGTCGTGGATGATTTTAGACCTCCAACAACTGCCCAAGAAGCAGCTTCATTATATCTTTCTTTCTTTGCCTTGCTGTTGTGCCTCAATTCAATCTCGCCCTTTTGGCGTTTCTCTTCGTCGACAGTCACGCGTGCAGCTCCTGATTCTAAGAACGTTATGGTGAGAGGAAGTCGTACGGGCTCGTTTGATCCTGCGATGGATTTGAGCACAACACCGTGCAATTGGCTCTTGCTAAAGACTATGGACTGAGGATCGAGAGCATAGGGTGACTCCCAGGAGCTCTGCGTTACCGCGTTGTCGGCATAAGCTCTATTGCGCTTGCAGAATCCTGACTGGTCACATGTTTTGAACGATTCATGCTTTACCATTTCTGAAAAGGGATTATCATAATCAGCATAGAAGCAGAAAAGCATAGTTTGGGCATTGACCTACCTGCAGGTTGAATGAGCAGAAAGAGGGTGAGGAGGGTGAGCAGCAAAACTGCCCTACCGGGCGTGCGGTAGGAGACCATTGTCTCCCAAACAACAGCTCTCTCGGATGAAGCTTAAGGTAACATGGAACTGATAGTTAATGAAATGGGAAATGTGCTCTCCCGTATGGAGACAATCCACTCGGTCGATGATTAGGGGCTCTTTAGAGATGAGCTGAGGTTTGGTCCAATTGAAACACTGAGACCATGTAGGACAATTTACACCTAATCAGGAACCAAGAGGCCAAGCCCGCCTTGGAGCTTGAGGCCAACAGGCACAAACACGGAACATGATGCACTATTACGGAGAGTCACAACCTCCGACTATGAAAGGTGTACTCGTCTGCCGTACAATTTACCGGGTAATGAAGAGTGGTTGAATGCCAGTACCACACATACCACGCAGAGGTGTAGGATTTGTCACCTGGGAAACCCCCTCCTGCAGGGTCCCCGCCGTCCCCTGAGTCCCCCACTATTGTCCTCGTTTGCCCTTGATGCGGTGAGCTGGAGCAGTCTTATTCGTCCACCAAAAGGTCAGTCCAGCCCCGTCAATCAATAAACTTACCAAATCGAGGTGATCCACGGCATTTACTGCCCCACCATCTTCAAGCCGTCCGCTAAAACAATAATGAGCACTCAGACCCAACCCGAAGAGGATCCTCCCATTTTTAAGCACCTCAACCCCAAGACTCAAGGACTTCTCAGACAAGTGATCAAGTCAAAGCAGCAGCACGATCATCAAGACACAATGGCCTCCGAGCAGACGTAAGTGATTCAGAAAGCAGAAGAGTTCCATCCGGCGAGATAGCTGACAGCTGTCATTCTAGTTTCATTGCCATCAAGCCCGACGGCGTTCAGGTAGGATTCTCTACCGCGAAATGCAATTGCTTCAGGCAAACGACAGATTGCTGATCAACAATAACAGCGCGGTCTCGTCGGCCCCATCATCAGCCGCTTTGAGAGCCGTGGGTATGTTTATCCTCTTTCCAAGCGCTCCTTGCAAGGAAACGATTGGAACTGACAATCTCTTCAGCTACAAGCTTGCCGCCATCAAGCTTGTCACCCCCTCCAAGGCTCACCTCGAGCAGCACTATGGCGACCTGAAGGAGAAGCCTTTCTTCCCCGGTCTCATCACCTGTACGTTTAACCATCCTTTTCTGCTTTGTCCTGAATGCTAACACTGACTCTGTCAGACATGCTTAGCGGTCCCATCTGCGCCATGGTCTGGGAGGGCCGTGACGCCGTCAAGACCGGCCGAAGTGAGTTTACAAAATTTTCATGCTAAATCTGGTCGAAATATTGACTTTGACTGCTTCAGCTCTCCTCGGTGCCACCAACCCCCTTGCCTCTGCCCCCGGCACTATCCGTGGTGACTTCGCCATTGTAAGTTACTGACAGCAAGACTTCCGTAAGAGAGAGAGCTCTTTCTAACATCAATTAGGACGTTGGCCGTAACGTCTGCCACGGCTCCGACAGCGTCGAGACCGCCAAGAAGGAGATTGCCCTCTGGTTCAAGGACGAGGAGGTCGTCTCATACAAGTCCTCCCAGTTCGACTGGATCTACGAGAAGCCTTAAATAGGTCATTCAGGTAGTCGTATTCCGTTGGCTTTTGGGTTATTAAATTAGGCAAATCCATCGGATGTGAAAATAATAGAATAAATATCAAAATACTGCATGTCCTGCCCCGCACTTGTGCAATGTTGTTATAGTTTACCGTTTACCGTTTACCAAGAGAATAAAGAACTCCATTTGAATTTACCGCTGTATTCCTAATGTCATATCTACCCTGAAACTTCCATCCGTTTCCAGATTGAATTCATTTGAAAGCGCTCGGAGATTTTAAAGATCCCCCTCGTTCATGGTTCTAGAGCGTTTGAGTTGGCCATAAATATAGCCGAAGTCGATTGTTGTTCTGCCGAATGGGCTGAGGGTGTCTTTCCAAAACGGGTAAGCGCTGTCTCCATGATTTTGTCCGCCGTGGAAATAATATGGGTCATATCCAACGTTATTTTGTGGCCTCTGCATTTTAGATCATCTTCACATGGGTTTGTCAATCATATAGAGCTGATTTCTGGTCATCTTTTCTTTTTCCGCGCTTTTGCATCTTGTTGTTATACTTTTTCTTCTGTTGGTACCACGACGAAATGGCCGTTTTAGAAGACTCGAATATAGTCGAACCTGCGGCCGAGATGTTGTCCTTCAACATTTTAAAGGCACAGAAGCATGACCGCGCCGGACTTAGACTGGGGAGACTTTTGCTGTCTGATCGTACTCCTATTGAAACGCCTCATTTTATAAGCATCACTTCGAGAGGCGCAATTCCACATATCACCCAAGATACGATGAAAAAGCATACAAAAACCAACAGCGTATATGTCGCGTTGGAAGATTGTGAGCGAAGCAATTCTCTGCCTTACGTTTCCATTCGTTATGCTAATTCGGATGCTCGTATTCGAGCATAGAAGTCATAGAAAAGGCTCCACGCGAAACTCCTCCCGTATATTCTATGCCCGCTCAACATGATACCTCTGCACTGCGCCAGTTCACCTCCCTGGGTCAGAACACAACAATGATAATGGGCGCTCGTCGTATCGATCCGATTGCATGCCCGGCAGCGAATTCAAACTCAGCCGTGTCGATCTTAACCTCTGTCGGCTTTCGACAACTCGAATCAGAAGACTACGCAGAAGCTGCACGGAAATTGCAGCCTGATATTGTCATTGGACTTGCAGATATTGTATTTGGCCAAAAGCCAGGATTAAAACGCATGCAGAAGATGGGCGACCGGACCGGCTGGTGGATGGAGCACCTGGTGGCTGCGTGCTCCGAGCAGCCGGAGATGTCTGAGCACAAGCAGAAGCACAACAAAAAGCCAGCCATCTTTGCGCCAGTCCTGCCCATGTCTCAGGGGCAACAGCATTTCTACCTTAATCAGCTGGAGGAAGAACTACGAGGCCACATTGCTGGTCTGACACTATACGATCCCACATCTGTCACGGAGATTCCGCCTGGCCTCGCTTCGCTTCCTCGCATGTCCCTAGATGGACCGAAATCGCCATCAGACATCTTATACCGCATATCACTCGGCATAGATCTGTTCGCTATTCCTTTTATCTGCGAAGCCACCGACGCCGGCATCGCGCTGGACTTTACGTTCCCAGCTCCCAAAGGCGTCGCAACGAGCGAACCCAAACAGCTTGGAACAGACATGTGGAGCTCGGAATTCGCCGGTGATATCTCTCCTCTTCAGGACGGATGTACCTGCTATACATGCACCCGGCATCACAAGGCGTATATTCAGCATTTATTAGTAGCAAAGGAAATGTTGGGCTGGACTTTGTTACAAATCCACAATGAGCGCGTCATGAATGAGTTTTTTGCGGGCATCCGCGCAACTATTGCGGAAGACACGTTCGAAACAGAGCGCAAGATATTTGAGAATGCATATCATAGTGAATTGCCAGAAAAGACTGGTCAGGGTCCTAGGTAAGACAACCTTTTGTATTGTCTATCTGTTAGGGTGTTGGGCCGTAGGCCGTTAGACCATTATGCTTTTAGGCCGTTATGCTATTAGGGTATCAGGGTGTAAGGCTGTGTTATGCAGTTCAAGCTAACCTTTTCTTTTTTTTTCTCTCGAATAGAGTACGAGGCTACCAATTCAAAGTTAATGGGCCGAACGAACCAAAGAAGAACCAAGCATCATATACGACCCTCGACGACTCCAGGCAGTGCATAGAAGAAGCAGCGGCAGCGGCAGCGATACCAAGCCCCGGTGAAGATGCAGATGATCTTGCGGCAAAGGGCTTTGCGGAGAAGGCTGAATAGATTAGATCTTTCTTTCCTTCCTTCTTTATATTTTCCCCTTTTGCTTTTCCAATTCCTTGTCTTTCTCGTTCTCTTTCTTTGTCCCTATCCCTATCCATTTCTTTCTCCTACCGTTTTTCTTCTCTTTTTCTTTTCATGTTCATTTATAAATTTTTATCTGTGCACTTTTATTCCTGGGATATCCTTTTGACCCACGATTTTTTTTCCCCTTTGTTTGGGGGGGTGGTTTTAGGGAGGGTGATTTCTTAGGGGTTTTTCGTTGTTCAAATAAATCTGTTTCCTGGACGGGATCAGCATACAATGTACAATATCATTAGCATTGCTCGGACGGCATGGCACGATAGCGTCTCCAGACTTTTTTGTTATATAATTCAGATAACGTGCCCATTTCTCACTATCTTATTCATAGGAGAGCAAAATAAAGTAACTAACTGAAGATCTTTAATATATTGCTTGGCTTTCAAAGTGCAGAAATGCTAACTTTCTATTTGGAAAGAGAGGGAAAGATAAAGAAACAAGACGCAAGGGAAAAAGGGAAAAGATGAAAAACGCTGAAACAAAATACTTTTATTTTTCGCCCGCCTTTTTTTTGTTCAGGTTGTTGAAGAGTGTACATGAAAGTTGATGTTGAGACCGTAAATATTTTTTTCGAGCACACGAGAGAGACAATCCCGAGAAGCTTCCGAAATTGAAAGAAAGGAAGAAAAAAAGAAAGAAAAAAAGAAAAAAAGATCTACAATGAATCAAGAGAAAGGAAGAGAAGGAAAAAAAGGGTATAGAATATGACAGCGTTCGTGACCATAAGTTGAGTAGATCATGCATGCTAGTATGCAACAATTTTTGCTGAGCCAATACAAAATTTAGAATAGGAAAAAATTGTAAAGCTAAAGCAAAGGCAAAAGCACAAGCAAAAGCTAAAGAGCTAAAAAAAAGCTTCTAGTACTGTCCCCGTCTAGTCTTCGAGTAATAGATCCCAGAGAGCGTTCGGCTGCACGTAGGCGTGGTGGGTGATGCTGATGAGCCAGGAGTCGTCGCGGGTCTCGCGGAGCAGCTTGGCGGAAGGTGATCGGGGAGGGTAGACGCGCTGCCATTCTTCCCAGATGGTGTATGCTTCTTCGAGCCAGGCCTTGAAGGATTCTTTCTCGATGATGGTGGGGGTGGTTATTCTGGAATGTTTTAGTAATGGGATACTTGAAAGTCTAAATTGGAGGGGGGAAAAAGGAAGAAAAGAAAAGAAAAGATTTGGAACGGAGTGCGTAGCCATTAAAGTGAACAAGGGCAAAGAGTGGCTTGAACAGACGGGTGTGAACTCACTCTTTAGCAGCAAAGACACCCCAAGTCACTGCGTTCACGGCATCTTCATCCGAGGAAACAAAGTCGCCAGCGGCATTTCCTGCAAAGTAAGAGACCTCGTCGAGGGCGGAAATCTTCTTTTGCAGCTTAGCCCAGTCGGCAGAAGGGAGGAAGATTTCTACAAAGGCCTACAAAACGTATATTAGCTTCCATGGATACAAGCACCAGATGATGGTCCTGGAATTATCGAACCTTTTGGAACACGAAACCGTTTCTCGGGCCCCAACCAAAGTCTTTGTGGTCGCTGCGAACGCCGTCGACGGCGGGCTGACTGGCAACAGTCCACCATCCTTTTTGATGGAGCTTTAGTAATTCGTTACGAATGGTCTGGGTCTCTTCACTGAGAGCCTCCTCGCTCCAAGGGATAGCATCGAGCTCGCCCGTAATGTGACGACTAAAGATTTGGGAGATGTCGTCTCTCGTGACAGGATATCCCCAGAGTTTGGTGGCCTGGGCAGTGGAGACGTGGAGAGAGGGCCCGTAACCGTCAATTTCACCATACGCTAAAGGTTTCGTCAATAATCAGGAAGAGGGATAATCGATATTAAACAAGATACTAACCAGGTGATCTTGAGTCTCCCCATCGACCGTTGGGAAAGTCGTCCCACGTTGCTTCTCTGCCAAGAGCACCCTCGCCCTCGGAAATAGCCAGTGTAGTTGCGCGAGAACTGACTAGATCTCTGGGAACGCCAACCTCAGATTCAGGAGCTTCGAACGGCCTGTTCCCAGTCCCAGAGGAATGTTCCACCACGACGCGGTTTCGGGGCATGGAGTTAGTGGAGGAATACCGACGGCGCTCCTTCTTTTTCTGTTCGTCTAGCTGGAAGCTGTCTCCATCCTCAACCACGGAGAAATCATCAGCTGGCGTCATTGGTGTAGAAGGGGGTATCAGGTGGCATCGCTCAAGAATAAAGGCGACCGCCTTTTCTAGATTTAATGTGTAAAAGTGAAAGCCTCGAGCGCCAGGAGAGGGTGATCTCTTGATCGTCTCTACAATCTCGCTGATGATATCCACGCCGACCCTCTTGACAGCCTCGTCATCTCCCCTGACTTCGTCGAGCCTAGCTGTGACGTCCTCGGGAAGAGTTGCATGACTCAGCTTTGTCGTCCGTTTCAGGATGGCATAACTTTGTACAGGCATCAGTCCCGGAATGATGGGAATCGTCTTGAATGCCCCAGACGGATGATTTCTCAGCGTACTCTCAAACTTCTGGAAAGACGTTATATCGAAGAAGAGCTGAGTCAAAATAAAGTCGGCGCCAGCCTCGACCTTCTCGACGAGGTAAGGTATATCCTTTGCCGCATCCAGATATTCGGGGTACGACTCATCCGTGTGGCCTTCTGGGTAAGCTGCCACACCAATGGCAAAGTAATCTCCGTACTGCTTTCGGATGTATCGTACCAAGTCAACGGCATACTTGAATTCGACATTGCTGTCCTGGGTCGCGGGGAGTGTCTCGTCCTCATGATATTCGTTGCTCCGAGGAGGGTCGCCACGCAGGGCCAAAATATTTCTAATTCCAAGAGCTTTAGCACTCTCCAATGCTTGATCAATGAGCGGCCGGCTCATATTAGTGCAGGTAAGATGGAGGCAAGTTGTCAATCCAAGTTGTCGTTGGCATGTCGCAGCCAATTCAAGAGATCTTTCGGATGTGCTGCCACCGGCACCCCATGTTACGGTTACGAATAGCGGACGCAATGCTCGAGCCATACGCTCCAGACGTGCCTGGAGGTTGGACAAACCCTATAAGTGAAGAAATATCATAAGCTCAGTTCAAGTGACTCCAACGAAGCTTCGTGAGTGGACAAACCGTTGCCGTCTTTGGCGGGAAGAACTCCAGAGAGAAATAGTATGCATCATCAGGTAGCGCCGCAACCTTTTCCGAGATTTTCTCCATTTTGGTCGTGCAATTGAATCCTCAGGGTTCTATCTGTATGGAGGGGAAATGGCGGGGCAGTAGGAGAGGATGTGGATAATATGCTCTTCCACCCGCTGCCGCCCGCACTAGGCGATCGGCAGAGAAAAAGACCGAGAGGATCCGAGTTGTTTACACCATTAATGATGACACCATCGTCCATAGTCACTTCATAAAAGTTCAATTTTCAATTGATAGACTGATCGTTGTTATATGATTACAAGATGTATCTATGCCAAGCGGCGAATTTCTATTCAGAATGCAACTGACTCACAAAATTGTAAAATTCTACGGCAGACGAGACCCCACGTCATCGTGCGGCGGTCTGCTATTCGTACTCTTACTACCAGTGCCTTTTGCAACAGCTCCCCCTTCAACAGCTCCCGTGCCAGCAGCAGCTGATGGAAGGGCCTTCTTCTTTCCAAATCTAAAAATCTTCGAAAATCTGGTTGTAATTGGGAGCACGGCAATTCGAGCGAACCACGGCGTGGCCGATGCGCTGATGATCAATCTAATGGGCAACAGTGCCTTCGTGATAGCGTATGCAGTTGCAACCCTGCCACATTGTTAGCATATTTGCCATCATCGTAGTCTTGCTTCATATTCTTAGCATACTCGACCACTATGCGAACGCCTCCCTCTCCCCGGCCCCACCAGCGGTCTCGAAACGTCCGTTTCCCGTCATCTCCAACATCTCCCAGCCAGCCCTTCTTCCTAAAGTAGCCCCCAAATTTCTCCACACCATCACTCACCCACTTGCCTTCACTGACATAAGGTGGCAGATAATTTGTGTAGTGGAAAGTAGCAGCAAGGCCGACGAGCGGGACGATGGCGGTCAACTCATGTAGAATAAGGAACGACGTTATGTGCGAAACGGGCGCCGACCGCAAGGGATCGATGTATTTGTGCAAAAACCGAGGGACTGCAAATCGTAAACGCAACCGGTCAATCAGGATGGTTGCCATTCCACAGAGGAATAGGTGTACCACGTACAGCGGGAAAATAAACGGTCTACTCGAGACTTCGCCCTATGGGTTTCCTCTTGGCTCTTGGTAGAATAGCATTGGTGACGAGAAGGGCGAATAATGTTCAAAGCCCGACGCGCGGTCAATACGCGCTGCATATACTGGCGCATTACTTCATGGCAGAATATTGATATAAGTTGTGAAACGCAGCAGCTTCAGAGTCAGGCCATTGAATTAACTTCCCGACGATAAGATCTGCCCTAGATGCGTAACGCATCCACGTGATTAAGGTTCTGGGGACGTTGAGAAACCAAGAGCACCACTTGCTTTCTGTTAAAAATACTAGACATTTATCATTTTTTTTATTGATGTAAAACAGAGTTTTCGACATCTAATCAAAAAATTTGTGGAAAAGTGACGAATCTTGCTGACGTTCATCATTGGGGATGGACATGCCTGGAACATCCTATATCAAGGTCAATATGAGGTTGCATCCTCACAAGGAAAAAGGGACAAATTGCTGTACCATGGCACCTATACTGCTCAGGTCTACTACAAGTATTAACTTCGATCACCCTTTAGGAGTATCGGACATTATGGAATGTATGTGCTTGCTCTAAAACACTTCCACATTTGTCAATAGGAGATATAAGACGCTGTCCTCCAAGCGTCTCCCCTTACCACTTGAACCTTGAGAAGACATTTATCAGCACATTGACCTAGAGACAAGGACAAAGTTTGCACACGCTTTTGGATCACATTTATTGGTCTTGCATTTCAGAATTACACGGAGTTAAGATCACTGGGCTTCCGTCTGAGAGATGGAACTCAGTACGCACAATAGCGAAAGAGGACCTGTAAGTCAGCTGGAGCTAACACCGACTACAAGAATACTTGCTTCCTTTGCTATTTTTCCAAGAAATGTTTCCTGGCTTGGCAAATATGAACAGCTTGGACGCGCCTTGAACTCGCACAGATGATCTGCGGAGCATTCTGGCCGAGTCAAAAATGCTGTCGATATCCTTGTGCTGATGAGTTCTCGTCTAACAAGCAAAATAGAGGGTCCGTCTTGCTAAGATATATAAGGAAAGGTTGCCAGTTACTCGATATGGCATGCATGCGACGAGAGAAACCGCGCTCGGATTTCTCTGACCTGGTTTCGACTTGATCTCAGTGAGAAATGTCAGAGATTTAAGGTATTTCCCTCCTTCTTCGGTCCAGTCAGCGGTTTTCCCATACATACAGGCCGTAGAAGGTGTCAGCACAGACTTTCAATCTATACTATATATGACAGGGGGGTGTTTGGCGCCAGTTCCAGGCCACCCCTCAATCATAGTGCCACGCTCTGATCGGCAGGGAGTTATCACTTTTCTCACTCTTCGTGCTTTCCTGTCCTTTGCGATATCCCTACTCTTATGGATCTGATCCTGCTTGTAAATTCTTGTACACTCTTCGCATCAGATATAACTGCCATGGTCGCTCAAGCAGGAAAGCCAAAATATAAAGACGCTCCTGCACGTATTCCCACCAACGAGAATACCACCATTTGCGCATGTTATATTCAGTCGTAACATCTCTTGCTAATGCTGCGATTGATGGGTACTGTAAATGCCAGCACTTCCTGATAATATCTTGAAATTGGAGGTTTTCGGTAGATGGGAAGGAGATTTGTTCCATTTTGATATCTTCACCCCTCCATTCCCGCGGAAGGTTGAACTCTTCTGGCTCTTGACCCTGACAGATGGTGTAGATACACCAACCTGCTGCATACTGCTCACTGATATGACTTGCGTAGTCAAAATTCAGCGGACAATATGTGTCTGCACTTGTAATGCGATCTTCGCCCAGGCGTGCGCTACTACCAAAGTCCGCCAACACAACATTATCATCGTGATTGAGAAGAATATTTGGTGGTCGAAGGTCTCCGTGGGCGTAGCCAATACTTTCCAGCCATGCCAAGGCACCGATAAGTTGTTTTACCCAGCGTGCTTTCTTGTCCGATGTAATGGGCGGCTGGTTTTCCAGTTTTATCGGTGGAAAATACTCGTCCTTCTCTCCTCTTGCAGCGAGAAGACGCTTTCGCAGATTGCATTTCATCGGCGGCATAAATATCCCTTCCGGAACACACAAGCAAGGCTGCAAAATGTGCAGATTGGGGTGCCATCTTGATGCCTTTGCAATGTCCATGTAAACATTTTTTTCTCGTGCAAGTCCCTCCTCGGCGTGTAAAGTGTTTGTTTGGTAAATTTGCTTCCATCTGGGATCATAGTCTTCTGGATAATCATACTTGAAAGCGAATTTAAATGCAACCTTGGGATGGAGGCCGAGCACATAGCAGAATGCTGCTCCGAGAATATTGCCTCCAGTGCCGTCGAAATTACAAGCAATGGGGACCAGACCTGGAAACGGCGTAATTCGTTTCCGCGTAGATTTCGTAGGTGGTGGCGTAGACATCTCTCTGATTCACACGAAGAAAATTCGAGACAGGAGAGCAAAGAGAAGGCTAAATGAACCCTTCTATGTGAATATTGGAATATTCGCAACGTCCCTGCACATTTAACATTTGGTCAGAACACGGCTGTTCTATCAGACAAGGACAAGGAACAAGAAAAAACCGCCTAAACCTTTACCAGTTTGTTTAAAAAACGATTCAGATTTATAAGAGCAAATCGTACATTCAGCAAGTGCCTCAATCGAGTGAGATTCGCAAGGGTGAAAGCGGATGGTGATAGTTATACGTAGTAGCGCGGCCTAGCATAACTATCGGAATAGGCGAGCCCAGGGCGAGTTTAGGGGGACGGGAAGCGCCTATAGGGGCGGGAATTAAGCCTTCTCCACTACGTTTAAACCAACTGTAGCTCCAAGAACCTATTCTCCCGGCCGACTGCCTGAGAAGGCGAAGCTTCTTCATTGGGTATCGATTTTACCATCACGCTAGGAATGTCACTGGGGTGGTTTTCCAATCTACAATAAAGATTTATGGAGTGAAACGAAGGAAATCACCTGTGACTAAATTATCTGAGCTCTCAACTAACTAAGGTACCTAGGTCACACCTACCTACCTTACCTAGATACCGTAGGCTCTTTATACCTTGCATGTGAACTGTATGTAACGGTGGTCCACAGACAAATACTCTGGTGATTAGGAACAAGCATACCCCCTGCAAGCTTCCAGTGCCATCTGGTACTGCATACTCTTCTACTCTCATCCGCGTGGTCATCATTCCTCTTATCGTACCCACTGCCGTTACATCGGTTTCCAACTCCACCATTTGGGAAGGATGCAATATATTCTTTATATTGAAAGCATCGGAAGCTGCGCTGGTTAATTTTTTTTTCCCCCCAAAAAAGCTAGAGCTAGTCATTTAGGATAAATTCGTACCTGAAGAGCTACCCAGAGCGCGGTGGAAACTGAAACTGTGGAAGAGGCGGCTTGGGGCCTTGGTTTGCAGGGACCCAGCTATTGTTCTGCTTTACGAACTTCCCCTGCGCTTTACAATCACCACAAGGTTCACGTATCGTTGTAGAGGCAAGATAGGTCGTGGTGACGGTAGCACATTGAGTTCCACGTGAAGTTGCAATGCCGCATTTCTCAATTTCGTTTTCTTTCTCGTCTCGAAGCTGATGACCACATTCGAATTTTGTATACGTCATAGGTATGTAGCACATGATTGGATAAAAATGGGGCGATAGACTGTTGTTGGAAAAAATATGTTAAATTGGAACGGACATTCTGTAACATCTTCGATGGATATCTTGGAAGGCTTTTATAACTCTGTGGCCTTCAATTCTGGATAGACCATCCGAGATCATCGGTTCAGCTGTTATCCATAACAAGCTCCACTATGACATGAGGTAGACTTTGTAAAAAGCAAACGTTGCTTATACTGGCTGTTTTTGCCAGCGGGCATGCAACATCTCTGCATGAAGAATCACAATAGGAACTTGCATTGCGCCGATAACAGAGACTGCCCAATGGGTTTCAGGCGGGGTGGAACGTACTTTATACCTTGCTTGGCGCCAGATCGATATAACCCAAAGAACATTGGCTAAAACCTCCATAATGGGTGCAAGAACTGCATTAGCACCGTTGCCTTGCTGCTCGAGCCCACGGTTGCCTGACTGCCGAAGCCTCGCGCACTTGGCAGCCTCGCAAGATCGACTCCATGTGAAGGGGCTTGCGCAAGCCTCGCAGGACTTACCGTGGGCCCTTCAATAATAATGGCTATTGAACGCCGTATAATTGAACACCCCAATCGTACTTGGCATGGGATGATATCATCCGCTTAGAAGACTAAGAGTTGGATAAAACTGATGCATTTAAATTTTGGTAAGACCGTCAGTAGAAACAGAAAATCGAGGGAATGCAGTCATACCAAGCGAGAATTGATATAAACTCCTCGTTGTAAAATCTGAAGTGTACCTTATAAATAGTCTGCTGAGCTGCGCGAGTACGATCTGATCTGCTCAAAAAGCTCCTATTCGAAAATGACCATCCACCCAGAAGAAAAAGGTCTCTCCCGGTATGTATATGTGGCCCCTCACATAGTGACGTACCAAAATCCCTGTTTTAATTTATTTTTGAAAATTTTTTGTCGGAAAGAAAGCCATTGGTAAGAAGCGTGCATAAATTCAGCAAAACAACCTCCCGTGCGGCTGCTGCCTGGAAAGAATGCGTGTCGGCGCGGTCATGCCAAGGTCGAATTGTTTCATTCTCCGAGAAATCATCTGCAATCATCTTCAGCCATGCATGAAGGGTTTATGTTCTATAACGAAGTTCATAATATTGATAGAGTGACGGTGGCTGATAGGTAGTCAAGCTTTCCCCGCAATCCCACTTTGTGTGGTTGTTCTCCACGCTGTCTGCCAGCTTAAAACGTCAACGCCACAACTTGGTCTGTGCCAACAGAACGTCAAAATTAGTCCTTTGCTCAGTGGACCCAAGGGGAGATGGTGTCGGAGTATCGGCGACAGAGATAGCCGAGATGCTTAAAATCTAAACTAGAAGCGGCTGCGATTAATTATCCACGCGACGCGTCTCTCGTGGGTTGTATTTCTACTGAGGCGAAAACGAACTTGCAGATTGGATCCAGCACGCGCAAAATAAGATCCTATTCACAATGACGACAACTGAAGAAACAACTGGGCGTGGAATGCTCATTGTCGTCGAGGGCTTGGATAGGGCAGGCAAGACCACGCAATGCCAACGACTAGTCGAGAATCTCTCCAATGATGGTCATCGAGTAGAGTTCATGCGATTTCCTAGTAAGATTCTCCGAACAGGCCTTTCAATGTATGATGACAAGGAGCAAGAATTAATTTATTTTTGCGTAAACCTAGATCGAACAACGCCAATTGGACAGATGATTGATGGATACCTGAAAGCAAATTCGGAAGTGCCTATGGAAGATCATGTGATTCACCTATTATTCTCGGCGAACCGATGGGAAGCATCGTATGTCACATGTTATATGCTATTGGAAAGGATATTGTAGAATGCTAATATTTCTACGCTACAGCGAGAATATTCAAAGGCTGATAGCCACTGGTACTACCGTTGTTATTGATCGGTATTACTACTCTGGCTGCGTCTATTCTGCAGCCAAGGACAATCCTAAGCTTAATCTGGCGTGGGCACGACAACCAGATGTGGGCCTCCCTCGGCCTGACGTTTGTGTCTTTTTAGATCTCTCTTCTGAAGCAGCCGCGGAGAGGGGTGGGTTTGGCCAAGAGAGATACGAAACCACTAGGATGCAACAAAGAGTGAGAGAACTCTTTCAGGAAATGGCAAAGTCTCCTGATGCGGACGACTTTGTCATCATTGATGCTGGCGACGCTGTGGAGAAGGTAGAGAAGAAAATTATCGACGCAGTGAGTGGGCGACGACAACTCTCCAATCTCCGTGCTCCCCTGCGAGAAGTACTTCCTTGGAGTTGAGTCGCATCGACGCTGTGCTCCATTCTCAATTCCCTTCAGAAGCAAGTCTTCATTTGATTCTCAAGAGAATCTGGCTCTGAGAGCCATACATTTTGCATCGGTTGGAGTTTTCCATTGGCAAGAAATGCATGCTTAACGCTTGATTCTAGCCTCAAAAGGGTTCGATGTTCTTTGCGACGATAGATTTGTGCTAGCGTTAATTGTACTGAATGTTGAACGTTTCAATTGTATTTCTTCTTTCTTTTGCATCACGAAGTTCATCAGTCAAGTGTTTCCGCATCGTCCCAGTCACTGTCCTCAATGACTATTGGCAGTTTTGAATTCCCTCGAACTCGAGATTTACTGGGACTCTGGGGCATGATGGATTGTGAGCGGGAAGAAGCTTCGCTTGCAATCGACTTGTTGTCGTCATCCTCGCTATCATTTCTTGGTACCCATTCATCTTCCAAATCGAAGCCTTGATTTGGTGCATCATTCTCGGAGAGGCCACCACTATCGCTTACATCCGTCTCAAGGTCACTTAAGACACCAAGTGCTGATGATTCAGTGGCAGCATTAGCCACCGCACCAGTTTTGCTTTGGGCTTCTTTCTTCTTCGATCGTTTGATGACTTTCTCTGCTTCTTTCGGACTGCGCATACGAAGCGTTGCCTCTTTCACCAGGTCAATCCATTGCAATTGGGCTTTGCAGGATGGGCATGTCCCACTGATAGGCAGAACTGTGTCTGGGTCGTCTTCAGTAGAGAGAAAATGCGACGAAAGGCAACTTAAATGTGACGACGCTCGGCAGTGGTCTTTGGGGCAAATGAGAATAAAATCATTGCTTGCTCTCAATTTGCCGCGGCACAGTGCGCAGTGCGCTTCTCCATCATTTTTGAGGACGTTCAAACTCTTGTCTAGGTGGCCTGCCAAAGGGTCATAGTCAACTTGGACAGACTCGAGTTGCTTCTGAAAGCATCTTTCTATAGCAACAGGCTTCTTCCTTGCAGGCCGACTACTTTGCTGGGTTTCTTCGCTCTCCCGAGACGGCGCTTGAGTCTCCAAGGAGACTTTGATACCTTCTCTTAGCTCACCATCTACCCGATCACTCCATCGATTCCATAGATTAAAGACGTCTTCGCAGAAAAAGCGGAGATTGAGCGGCCAACGGCAAAATGTTTGCGCCCGAAGTAGCAAATGGAGATTGGCCAATCGATCAGTGAGCGAGACTTGCGGTCGAGTTGGACGTCGTCTGGTCTTCCCAGTCTTTGGAGACACGCGAACTCTTGTTTGAGGGGCATTGATACGCTCTTCCGTTGGAATATGACGAGTCAGGTGTGGATTTTGCCATGCCCATCTTGATAAATTTTAGCTCCCCATGGGAAAATGGTATTGATGATATAAACGCATGACAAGGGCAGTTGATAGAGGGCTAATACGTGGTATTTAGATGCGGGGAATGTAGATTGGGCATGGCGGATAGATTTTGCTCCCATGAGCAAAAAAAGAGTCTCGTATGATGAGGTGGGTATATGCTCTCAAACCGCAAAACCTGGCCAGCAGGTAGAATTGAGATGGCATGATTGGCCTTGGCCAGGATGACTTGAGCGAGGGCAAACGAAATGCGGAAGAGAAACTTACTCGAATTGCAGGGCGGCAATATTTGATGGGAAACCAGTTACGATACATACCATTTCCCAAGGCCGCAAGGTATTTCTGGAAGTTCTTGCGGCACCTCCTTTAGCAACGCCATTGTGTTGGTTTAGCCGACGAACAGGGTTTGGCGTTGAACCGATGTAGAGGCTTGATGGACGGACGGTGGAGCGCAAAAGGTAACAGCAATAAAACGCGGGGATCGGTTTTGATTCCATAATGAAATTCAGACCACGCCCCTTGGTCCGAGATGAAATTCTAGGATTATTGTGCGCAATGATCAAAACTGATCAATTATTGCGTGGTGCCTCACAAGGGCTGTCGTAGGTTAGAAGGCAGATTAGATCATCCCATAGACTTTAGCTCAGCTCAGGCAGAAACGTTCTCGTGACAGGATCTCGCATGAACAGAAGCGTTTCGTCTAAATGACCGACGTTCCTTCAGGCTTTTCCAGTAGGCTCGTTGATTGGATTCAAGGTACCTACAGGTAGCATTCATCGCTGATAGTAGTGGTAGACGCGGACAAGGATTACTGGATCAAGAATAATGCAAGCCCGCAAGAAGCAGCAACTAACTTAAGTGTAAGGTGCTGCGTACCGCACAGTTACCGCAATCGTCGGGGGATTTGCTCGCCTACGCCACCGGGTGGCCTGAAGAGTGAACACTTTGCAGCTCTCTGATTGGACGAGTGGACGACAATTGTCTCGCACCCCTGCGCGAGGCATGAACTAGTGCAGCACCGGCAGGCAAAGGGCAGGGAAGGACGGAGCGATGGAACGATGAGCTTGAAGGATCTCAATCTCTCATATGGGGAAGGTGCGCCAACGCCATCTCACTCTTTCCACTCTTACTCTCTTTCCGCGCCTTGCATCACATCAATCATTCCACTTCTATACACACATTCCTCTTTTCTTGCAAACGGTTACCCCGCTCCTGCCACACTGTATGGACACGATTCATTACATAGATGTTCTATAAAGGGGCAGGTATCTCTCTGTATAATCAGTTATAGGACTTGAATTACTGCGCAGAACAATCGTTTAATAGGGATTGTTGGAAAGATAATTATGTTTTCTTTTATAATTATATCCGTCGTGAGAGCGACTTCAGAATTGCAGACTGTGCATACTTGCTTCGGAGCTTTCATATCTACTAGAGTAAGCTATACGATTAGACTAGCAATCGTGGTCGCATTAAATTTTCTTTGCTCCGATAGCACGCCGTACACGTAAGCATTGGGAAGCTGGGCTAGTCGTATAACAGTATTATACTGTCTTGATCAGAACATTCGGGTTCCGTTCTTGTCAAGTCTTCGCGACCCACTTGATAATTGATTGATTTCATTAAATGGCTAGGCGACGCTTGGGGATGATAGTAATGGTCAAATTGTAGGTACAGAGTATGATAGTATGAGTGAAGTGCGAGGAAGGTTGTGGGGTACAATGGACTTTGTGCCCGAGAGAGAGGGAGGCTTTTCCCCATTATGAATTGCGTTCCGCCCTCGGTTCGAGGCCCAAAGTACCTGATCCAGCCACTTTGGCTTCACCAGGTACCTTGGATTAACCGTCACGGCCAAATATGACTGGTGGGAAACATGGTCCAAATTAGCTCAACGCTACCTGCTCCGTTCGTGCTCGGTGTCGACAAAAGAAGCTGCCGCTTCGCTGGGCTGCTCTTTCCCTTGACTGGACCTGGTTCCTTCTTGTCTCGCTCTTACCGGGATACCACTATTAACCCTTCTCTGGTCTCTCTCTAATAACTACTCTTTTCGCGTGCCGGCTTCCTGCCCTCCCTCTCATTTTTATACCGGCTCTTGTGTAAGGGTAATTTCCTTTCGGCCATTGGCTCTGTGATTCTTCGACCGAGCAAGCACGACTCTCTCTTCTTCGCTCTTTCCACCATTACTGTGCCTATCTCGGTTTTCTGACATGAACCCTGCTATTAACGTCTGAAGCGGCTAGACCCTCGCGGTGAACCTTGCTGCACTTTCTCGCATACAGCTTACCCTACCCTTGATCCATCAGCCCGCGCATTTCATGTCTGATACTGGAGAGATCGACTCCTTAGAGCCACCTTTCAGGAGATCTGATATCCGAATACGCCCCGTTCAGCTTTGAGTGAAAATTCATCGTCAAACAAACTGGATCCCTCTTCTCCGTCCATACCGATCCACTTTCCGTTTGCTCCTCGAATAATTGTGCTTCACTCAAGATGGTCGTCCCTCCGTCCACTGGAGGGTCGACCACGGCTGGCACGGCCACTCGTTCGACCAACACTCCTAATGGCACATCCCGACCCAAATCGTCCAATGCACCTAACGGACAACATGCGGCACCGAATAATGCGTCCGTTCCTCTGAGCGCGCGCAAGTCGCAGCCCTTGGATATGTCGACGGTGGAACGGAAAGTCTTGTCCTCGATGAGTCGAGAAACGCCCAAGCGATCACGCCCGATGGGCATTCAGGAAGCCCCAACCTACCGCCCGACGTCCGAGGAATTCAAGGATCCGATGGAATATATTCGCAAAATAGTGCCAGAAGGCATGAAGTATGGCATAGTCAAAGTGGTTCCGCCGGATGACTGGAACCCCGAATTCGCAATCGATACTGAGGTGCGTCCCGATGTCCTGTTGACTCTTGTGTCGCCATCCAGAACATTACTCTATATTTTCCCTTTCCCTTACCCTTTCTTCGTTCGCAAAAGGAGACGTTTGCTAAAAAAATTATTTACAGCGCTTCCACTTCCGAACCCGCAAGCAGGAGCTTAATTCGGTCGAGGGCGGTACGCTCTGCATTCCTTTTCTGGCTCCGAAGATTTCCCTGTCTCTGACTGCTTTTTAGGGACTCGCGCGAACCTGAATTATCTAGACCAACTAGCCAAATTCCACAAGCAACATGGTAACAATCTAAATCGATTTCCGAGCGTCGACAAACGTCCTCTCGACTTGTACAAACTCAAAAAGGCCGTGGAGGTTCGCGGCGGATTCGACAAGGTCTGCAAGCTGAAGAAATGGGCCGAAATCGGAAGAGATTTGGGTTACAGTGGCAAGATTATGTCTTCGCTGTCCACTTCATTGAAGAACTCTTACCAGAAATGGTTACATCCCTATGAAGAATATCTGAGAATTGCCAAGCCCGGTGTCCAGCAACAACTGGAGATGGAGTATGGTGGTCCTCTGACCCCATCTCCCGCCACATCACCGATGAAGAAGACAAATCAAGCGTCGCCGTCACGCCCAAAGGAAAACTCGCCCGCCATGCGTGCTACAGCTGCTCTCTACAACCGCCTCAAAGAACCAGATGATGGTGAGAAGAGCTCATCTGAGAATGATGCGCCACCACCACCTTTCAGATCATCTGGATTTACCGCTGTCAATACCGGTGGCTTCACGCCGGTCAATGCCACAAACGGAATCAAGCGCGAACCGGAAATTGAGGCGACGCCGCCTACCCGGTCAAAAGCTACGCCCACCAGCTCGGCTAAGAATACTCCGGATTGTCGCTCCTCCGCCTTGAGCGCGACGCCTGTAACGAATGGGCATTCCTCGAATCGGCTTAAACGACAGTTGGGCGAAGATTCACCTGACCGGGACTCCCCTTCGGACCAGGCGAATGGGGATAGCGATAAGCAGGGTCGCAGGAGCAAGCGACTGAAGAAGGGTATGTGGCTTTTTTTTTTTTTTTTTTTGCCGTCTTGTTCTTGGCCGCCTGCGCCATTGCGAGCAAGCCCTTGAAACGAATATCACCGTCGCTCATCGAATTCTCTTGCTAACTATCTCGCCTAGAATCAACTGCGCCGACTGTTGCCGGATCTTATATGACCTTTCGGCCTTCAACGCCCCGTGTTCCTGGGGAGATGAACGGCAAGCCCGGCGAGGTATGGTTTGAGAGCCTTCTCTCTGCTGCGGACCATCGCTGACGATATAACTAGAAATGCGAAACGTGCGGTAAAGGCGAAGACCCAAAGTCTATTCTCCTCTGTGATAGTTGCGATGTGGGATATCACAAATACTGCTTAGATCCCCCTCTCAAAGCCGTCCCTGATTACGACTGGCATTGCCCGCGCTGCTTAGTTGGCACTGGCGAGTTTGGTTTCGAGGACGGTGGGATATATTCTTTGAAACAGTTCCAGGAAAAAGCGAACAACTTTAAAGAAAATTACTTTCTTCCGAAAATGCCATTCGATCCAGTCCTCAACTCCAAGCGGCCAGTCACAGAAGATGATGTCGAACGGGAGTTCTGGAGGCTTGTGGAAAACCTCACAGAGACCGTTGAGGTCGAATACGGAGCAGATATTCATTCGACAACACATGGAAGCGGCTTCCCAACGATTGAAAAGAATCCCCTGGATCCCTACTCTACGGATCCTTGGAATCTCAACATCCTCCCCCTGCATCCTGAGTCTCTTTTCCGACATATCAAATCCGATATTTCCGGCATGACGGTACCCTGGCTCTATGTGGGAATGTGCTTTTCAACATTTTGCTGGCACAATGAAGACCATTTTGCTTATTCAGCGAATTATCAGCATATCGGCGCTACCAAGACGTGGTATGGCATTCCTGGCGAGGATGCAGAAAAGTTTGAGGATGCCATGCGTGAAGCAGTGCCGGAGCTTTTTGAAACCCAGCCAGATTTATTATTTCAACTTGTGACACTCTTGCCTCCTGACCGACTTCAAAAGGCCGGCGTTAGGGTGTACGCGCTAGATCAGCGAGCGGGTCAATTTGTTCTGACTTTTCCCAAAGCCTATCATGCGGGTTTCAACCATGGCTTCAATGTCAACGAAGCCGTAAATTTTGCCCCGAATGACTGGGAACCCGACGGCGAAGCTGGCGTGGAAAGGCTGCAGGCGTTCAGGAGGCAGCCCTGTTTCTCCCACGACGAGCTATTACTTACAGCCGCGGCACGGGACACCACCATTAAAACCTCAAAATGGCTGGCCCCCGCACTGGAGCGAATGAGGGACCGTGAGCTCGATCAACGCCAAGAGTTTCTGCGCAAACATAAAGAGCCCAACGACCACTACTGCAAGGTCGATGAGCCAGGCGTTGATTCAGGTCCGCGATGTGATCTCGGCTTCGAGATGGATGATCAGGATGTGCCAGAGGAGGAGTATCAGTGCTGTTATTGTAAAGCGTTCAGCTACCTTTCGCGCTTTCAATGCACAAAGACATCCAAGACTCTCTGCTTGTTGCATGCTGGCCAGTATGCCTGCTGCGAGGCTAGCGAAGAAGATCGCTTGACAGGCCCGCATCACACATTGAGGTACCGTATGACTGATGAAGCTCTTGAGAGTTTAGTACAAAAGGTTGTGGACCGAGCAAGAGTGCCAGAAGCATGGGCTGAAAAGCTAGCCAGAACATTGGACGATGACCCGAGACCGTCCCTCAAAGTCTTGAGATCACTCTTGAGCGAAGGCGAAAGAATCCCTTTTGAGCTTCCACAACTTCCTACCCTCAAGGCGTTTGTTGAGAGGTGCAATGACTGGGTAGAAGAAGCGACAAATTACATTACTCGCAAGCAACAAAATCGCCGAAAGAATGAAAAGGCTTGGCGAAAGGGCAATTCTTCTCGCGCGGCGGAAATGGAGGAGCGCGACAAAGAGCTGCGCAAGATTGAAAATGTCCATAAATTGCTTGCTTCGGCTGACGACATTTCTTTTGATTGTCCAGAGATTACGACGCTACGAGAGCGAGCTGAGGCGATTAATGATTTCCAACGAGATGCACAGAACGCTCTCCTCGATCCCCGTCTCCGTACAACGCAAGAGTTTGAAGAGCTTGCCGAGATGGGGAAAGGCTTCAATGTGGACATTCCCGAAGTGGAGAAGCTTGATAAAGTCGTTCAGCAGATGAAGTGGAATGACCGAGCGCAGGAGCTTCGTGTTCATTTCCAGACACTGCAGGAGGTGGAGGATTTTATACAAAAGGGAATCGACCTTGCGATCCCTGAGCACAATGAGCACCTCATCTTCTTCAAGGATCAGAAACAGGCGGGCGAACTCTGGGAAGCAAAGGCAAAGGAGCTCATTTCCGTCGAAGTGGTTCATTATCAGCAATTGGAAGCACTTTCAGGCCAGGCTTCTTCAATTCCCGTCACTCGAGAAACGCTTGCGGCAGTGGATGGCATCTTGACCAAGCAAAGGGAAGCCCACAAGCAGATTGTGTCTCTTTATGAACGAAGCAAGGACCCTATTTTTCGCAAGCGTCCCACCTACAAAGCCGTGAGGGATGTCATGGAATCTTTGGCCGAGCTAAATAGCAAGCCGACCGGCACGATTGATCTCGAAAAGGAGCAGAAGCGTCATGAAGACTGGATGCGAAAGGGCAAGAAGCTTTTTGGAAAAGCAAATGCTCCGCTGCACATTCTCAAAAGTCATATGGAACTAGTGGCTAGCCAAAATGAGGCTTGTTTTAGCCTCTCCGATCGCCCAAGGACCCCGGTTGAGCCTTCTTCGAGGGAGCACACGCCCGACGACTCACAGTCTGTCGATGGCTCAGGCTCAAGTAAAGATGTGTTTTGCATCTGTCGCAAGCCCGAAGCTGGAATGATGATTGAATGCGAGCTTTGCCATGAATGGTATGTTGCCTACTCCCATTAAATGTGATTATTCATGAAATGAAGCCTTGCTCAAATCGATATACAGGTATCACGGAAAGTGTTTGAAGATTGCCCGGGGCAAAGTAAAAGAGGACGATAAATACACTTGCCCCATTTGCGATTGGCGGGTCAAAATACCCCGTGATGCTGCGCGACCAAAATTAGAGGATCTTCAAGACTGGCAGGCCGAGATACCAAACCTGCCTTTTCAGCCAGATGAGGAAGATATTCTTGAAAGCATCATCAATGCAGCTCAGGAGTTTCGGGACTTTATGCGGCCCCTGATCAATCCCATGATGACGACGCCAGAAGAAGTCATGACTCAACGCTTCTATCTCCGGAAAATCGAGGGTGCGGACATACTTCTTGCCTATGAAACGAACTTTTTCCGACAAGAGTTGCACAAGTGGGCCCCGGTAGCTCCTGAACCGCCTCCAATTCTAGAACAGTCATTGTCGACTCGGAAACCTCGTCCAACAAAGCAGCAGAAATTGATGGCTCAGCTCGGTATTGAGAATCCGGAAGATTTACCGCAGCACCTCCGGACAAAACAACACAATTTTAATAAGCGCAAGAGCAGCGAGCCTCATGTGAAACAGCCACCGCCGCTCCAGCCAGCTCCAGGACGTCCCACTACTCCACTGGGACTGCGGCATTCAGCTTCCTCCGGTAATCCACCGCACCCTTCTCTCGTTGGGCAACCTCCTCCAGCAGACCAGCATGGGCCGCAGTTTACTTATGACGGCCACTTCAGCATGTCTGGTCCGCCACCCGATCAGCCAGCTTTTGCGCCGAGCACCTCGTTTATGCCCGGACATCCCCCTGAGCTAGATTCGCCAAACTTTTCTTCCAGCATGCGGAGCGGTTCTGTCCTTGATCCAGCTATTTTCAGTGGGCCTGGTTTTGGCCGAGGCGATCAAGTTGGCAGCCCATTATCAAACCACTATGGCAGTAGCCAGGGTGCCAACCTCGACTCCATATTTGCGGACCTCACGAATCAAGACGCGGACGGCATTGGGAGCAGTCACGCCAATGAGGCACTGGCTGTTTCGGGAGCCGATGACGACCGTACCGACGAGGACGCAGACCAAGAAGATCAGATGCTAGCGGATGAATTTTTAAATTAACAAATTTCCGTCTGGTGACTTTTGATCGGTCTGTGCCTATTGACCTCCAAGCGCTTTGCTTTTTGATTTTTACTTCTCCTCTTTTGCAGACCTTGTAATGTTTGAAGAAGCCAAGTATTGGCTCATTGTTCATATGGCGGCGCTCTTGTGTAGTTATGTGCAATCACGCTGCTTTTCATTCTGCTTTTTTCCTTTGTCTCTTTCGTTCCTTGTTGCATTTTCCCGGTTGTAAACTGTTCGCCTAGCAGAAAAAGAGAAGGCGTCTTCTTGTTTTCTATCTGTTTCTTGGTGATCTATAAGTCGGCCGATATCATGTACAACACGTTCATAATGTCTTTTCATTTTATTGCTCTCATGGTTGGTGCATTCGGCGCTGGCTATGGAATTTTTTTTATTTCCCTTTCCCTTTCCCCAAGACATTGCTATTTGGTTTGCTTTTTCATATATGCTTGATTTCTCTTGTACAGGAAGACGAGCGTGGACGGATGCGAAGATTAAATACCAAAAGTCAGGGTTACGTGTTAATGATGAATTCGGAATATACTGGAATACTATATGATTGTCATGCAATTTGCCTCGTTTGTAGGTTTATTGTATCTTGTTGTGTATCTTGCTATGTATCTTGTCATTAATTGTGTGTCTTGGTTGCCATTGTGCATGTCCAAATAGCAAACATTCAATCCTAAGGTTTGAAGGTTCGTCGTACAAGATGTGACCAAACGCCTGAAAGATACCATCCTGCTTTTGCGGATATGCAAACTATCTTAGTGCTCTGGCTCTCAGGACGTGACTACCATCTCAGAAAATTATATCGAGTCGTTTGTAAGCACGAGGTAGGTTGAACGGTAACTTATGCACAGCCATTTCAAGGCATAGCCAGGCAGCAGGCTACGCTTAAATGTTGAACATGCATCTGTAACTATGGACTTGAAGAAGGGGGGGAGGAGTTTTTGAATTCTTGTTGTAGCCACGATCGTCCCATAATTCGCAATATTTAGATATCCTCTGTGTGTTATGCCTCGTCCGCTCCCTTCATTCCTGCTTGGTCATGTATCGTAGTATAAGGCCTCGTCGTTCTGTAGTAGCTTTAGTCCTCATCTATTTTATCACTTACATTGCATCCACGGTCTTACACTGTGTGCTCTTTTCTTGTCGACAAGCGGCTGTTGCTGCACCTGCTGCCAACCTGCACGCCTGCCATCAGGCTATCCTGCTATGCGGCTGTGCAATACCACACCCCGTAGGCGACTGAGCGACCTCGGACAAGCGATATCGACACCCGACATGCGCCTCGCGCCAACGCTTCGACCCGGCAAAATCGGGCGGTGAGAGCGAGCTTATGATGCCAACATGCGGGATGCGGAGAATTGAGCTCCCGCAATGACGACAACCGCAACCCAACCCGCCAACAGCTTAGCTTAACGGTCCGCAAACCACATCAGAAGAAACTTTTATCATTTATCAAAACAACAACAAACCCTGCACATACGTACAGACATACGTACAGGGGTTTTCAGGGTGTTGGGTTCTTTCTGAAGAATACGAAGCTACATGATATTGTAACATTGTCCGAAGTCCGCGAAACAACACAAGACCCCGAGAGCCCGAGAGCTTTATTAGCGGTTTGAGAGAGGGACATATTTACAGAGGTACAAAACAAAAGGACTGCAAGGGCAATGGCATTCCCGCGGAACTCGATTCGGAATTTCCTGATTCATGCCAAGGCGGCGCTGAAGACGGCGATTGAGAAGAAGGATAAAGTTACGTTGGTGGTGGGGAATGAAAGTGCTGGTATGTTTTTATTTCTTCCTCCATTGAGATTAATGACTTCAATTTAAATGACTCTAAATTGAAACAATAAATATAACAAACCAATAACCACCAATTAACAACCAAAATAAAACCAACGTAACAAACCAATGACTAACAACTACAATAATAACAGACCTCGACTCACTCACCGCCTCCCTTCTCTACGCCTACGTGCGCTCGACCTCCCCGCCCTCATCCGCATTCACTCCGCTGTACATCCCACTCACCAACCTCCCTGCCTCTTCTCTACGTCTGCGGCCCGAGTTCTCCGCGCTCCTTCCCCACGCCAACCTCACCCCCTCGCAGCTCATCACGCTCGACGACCTCCCGCCCTTATCCAAAATCTCCGAGGCTCTGCCGCCGGAAAACACACGCTGGATTCTCGTCGACCACAACGCCCTCCAGGGCCAGCTGGGGGCTATCTATTCCCGCCAAGTCGCAGGGGTGATTGACCACCACGCCGAAGAAAACGCTGTTCCGCAGGAGACAGGGGGCGAGCCACGCATCGTGACAAAAGCAGGCAGCTGCACGAGTTTGGTCACAGAGTACTGCGCCGATGCATGGGAAAGTCTGGCGTCCCTTGCGCCTGACGCGCTTGTATCGTCGTCCTTGGGCGTGGCGGGCTCTGGGCCAGTGCCAGGTCCAGGCGCAGCAGGCGTAAATAGTACCGTCGCGCAGGGCGATACAGCGAGCATCCCTCCCGCAGAGGACGTGAGTCGGACGCGCATCTGGGACGCAGAGGTGGCGCGGCTCGCGCTCGCGGCGGTCTTGATCGATACGTATAACCTCACCGACGAGTTCAAGGTCACGCAGCATGATACGGCGGCGGCGACGTATTTGGAGGCGAAGATTCAACTTGCGCCGTTGTTGCCTGTCTCTGCTGCGGCTATTTCTGCTGGTGCGTCTTCATTTATCGGTGAAAGTGCCGATGGAGCTGCAGCTGCAGCTGGTGGTGCTGTGTTTGACAGAACAGCCTTCTTCAACGAAATCAACACTGCAAAACAAAGCATCGACAGCTTGAGCCTCGCTGAGATTTTCGAAAAGGATTACAAGCAGTGGGCCGTTAAGTCCACCCACGAGACCACAGGCCAACAACAACGAGAAATAAGACTAGGCATAAGCTCCGTAGTCAAGCCTATTCCGTATCTCCTCGAAAAGGCACAGTCCGAGTCCAACCGTGAAACGGACGACAAGGCATCTCAGTCTGCAGGCGTGGAGCACTTTTTAGATTCCATTCGCGCATTCGCGTCCGATCCAGCGCGCAACTTGTCCGTATATGCCATCATGACGGCCTATTCGTCCCCGACCACGGGCGAGTTTGAGCGAGAACTGTTCGTGTGGGCGCTCGACCCGCCTACTGTGCCCGCGGTGGAAAAGTTTGTGCACACTGCGTCTGGTCAGCTGAGGTTAGAGGACTGGAGGAATACTACCGAGACAGGAGGACAGGAGACAACGAGTTTGGAAGAGGTACCCTCGGAGGAATCAGAGGGTACGCAGAAGCAGACGTTGAGAAAGGTGTGGTTCCAGCGGGACTTGAGCAAGAGCCGGAAACAAGTTGCGCCGTTGTTGCGAGATGCGTTGGTTTGAAGCGTATCTTATTTGGTATTCGTCTTCATCTCTCACTATATATTTCATCTTTTATATTTCGTATTTCGTATTTAAATTCCATTTAGTTCTATTTTATCCCTCTTCTTATGAGTATAATATATTTGATTACCCTAGCAGTTATATCTCATCTGAAATAAACGAAAAAAAGAAAAGGAACGCCAAGGTTGCTCTACTCTACAAGGTGCATACAGCAAGATTACTAATTACTACAAATGCGAGGATGTGCAAGTCAAAGATAACATATACAAATTAAAGATAACATATCACAATCTCTTGCCAGTCCCAGCAGCCTGCTCCATAAAAAACCGCTTGAGCGGACCCAACTGGTTGACCGCGCCGAGGCCGAGCGAGCGGAGCGCCACGACGGGCGCGAAGGACGTGGCGTACAGCTTGTGGATCTTGTCGACGACGCCGAGCATGAGGTTGTTCGCGGCGTAGCGCTCGGCGTTGTACGACTCGAGGGACAGCTGCGCGCCAATGTCCTGGCCGTGCTCGACGGCGTAGGTGATGGTGCGTGCGAGGGACTGGATGTCGAGTTGGCCCTGGTTGAGGCCCTGGCCGGCCAGAGGGTGGGTCGTGTGAGCTGCGTCTCTAGATTACGAAGGGACTTGGTTAGCTGGGGCTTGGATACGAGGGGGATGAAAGAGAAGAAAACAAAAAATATGGGTACGGGAGAATGAAAAGGAGTAAAATAAAACAAAAGGTATGAGAGAATGAAAGAATTAAAAAAAATGTGGGTATGACAGAATGAAAAGAATAAAAAGAATTCATCTAATACAAGAAAATGAATAGGAATAAAACAAATACTGAGACTCACCCCACCAAAGCAACTCTCTCCCCCGTATACGTATCCGCATTTCTCATCCTCAGCGGAAAACTCTGGACCGTGCCGTCCTGGACGCCCGTGGCGCGGGCAGGGATCTTGGCGACGTCAAACGCCGTATGTTTCTCGCGCCAGGAAACTTCCTCAAGCTGCCCGCTCGAGAGGGTATGCAGGTACGCCAGATCGACATGGGACAGACGGAACGCCGCATTGACCATGGCGACAAAATCAGTCGGGGACAGCGACTTGAGCAGCGCCGCGTGGGACGGGAGCGTCGACCACACCAGCGTCGCAAAGGGGCCGGGCATGGGCAACAGCGCGACGGGGCCCGTGGGGAGGAACCGCTGATATGCTGTGCGCGTAGCTTTGCCTGCTCCTCCCGGGACGGTATTCGAAAAGTCAGAGAGGTCCAGCTCGAGTCCCTCCAACGAGATTGTCGCCACGACACCGTGTCGTTCGTAGTCCCATCCTCTGCTCTCGATGCCCGCGAACGTTCGGACGGGACTATTCGCGCCGTCTGCGCCAACGAGGAGTCGCGCAGCGAGTTGTTTACCGCTGGATAGCTGAACAATAGGCCATCCGGTAAGATTCAGACTGTTGTCGGCGGAGGAGAAGCTGTATTCTTCGCCGGTTTCAATCTTCTCGACGCGCGAGTTGTCCAAGAGCGTGAACCCGCCGAGTTCGTCGAGATGGGCGAGGAGACCCCGTGTCAGATTGAGGTTCTCGCACATGTAGGCAATGGTCTTGCTGGTCGAGCCCGTGGGCCAGTCGAAGGAGATGTTCGACCCCGTGATGCCGTCCCATACTTGCATCTCGTCGTACGCTTGCACGCGCGCGGTGTCGATGTGTTTCCATGCTCCGATGTCTTTGTAGTCTGTTAGCTTTATTTCGTCCTATGCCCGTGTTTCCCCTTTTCCCATCAAGGCCAACTATATTATCTTCTTTCTACCAAGTCTAACTGGAATCCATATCGAACGAAGAGCTCAGAGAAGGATGAACCCACCCTTTAAGAATCCCACCGACGCAGGCGTCAACGAACTGACCCGATTCGAAAACTGGTCCCGCGGAAGCTGCCACGTTCGCGTCCGACTCAGATCCTGGCCTTCGACCAGCGCGACTTTCAGACCTGATGTCACTTTGGAGGATCCTGTATCATTTGCATCCAATTAAATCAGCCCAGTGCTCCGAAGCAAAACGTCATATCCAATATAATGGTCGGAGGTGAAGGGCCGTACGGAGCGCAGAAAGTAAACTCAGTCCTGCCGGTCCACCGCCCACGCACACGACATCGTAGATTTCCGGGGCTTCAATTGCGCTGCCCGTTGGTGCTGACGTCGACGCATATCGTTTTCCTAGAGACCGAATGCACGCATGGCAGATGAAGGTTGTTCTGGGCCGGGGCCGAAGAGAGACTGATGCCAGACTCGAAGCTGGGCGTATCGTGCGCATATTCCCCAGTGCGAGAAGTATGAATGCGGATTTGTCTATGCTGTTGATATCAGTGCAGGTTGTCGTGGTCTGTAGGCGCAACAAATCGTCCAAGGGTCCGATGCGAGCTCCGAGAGGTCCGCACCGATGGGAGTCGAAGCTACGGGCAAGCGAAGGGACATGTGTGCGCAGCTGTCGAGCAGATATCATGTCATGGTCAGACAACCACCAGGTTCTTTTACTCGCGAGATACAGGGAGGAATTGTTACTTAGAAGACTGGCTCCAGATGAAAACATATAACTGATCGAGAACATACCATGAAAATGAGATTTAAGGCCATAAGCATATTAATCTCAGAGATCTTCATTACTTGATATGCAGAACTGCTAAGGCGCCTTCGGGAATGATATTTTGCTCTGACCATATTTTCCTATTCAGCATGTCGTGTACAATCTGTCTATGAGTTGGTTTCAATTATAGGCAACACTGGCTGAATACATGCATTTCGATACCCAAGCCATTCATCAGATTCATCACAGATAGAAGCAAACATTTAACAGACAATGGAAATTTAGATAATGCCTTTTCAATTACATCTACCAAAACCTGATCTCTCTAATGCTTATGCTGCAAATGCCGTGCCTCTCGTGAGTGCGGACATAAATTCAATCGGCCGTTCTTCGTCGTGCATTCATTTGGCAGAGTAAGATGCGGATGTTAAATATAGATAAAACATGTAAAAGGAAAGATGAGGCACAAATGCTTGAAAAGAACAAATCGAATCTTCGCATAAAAATGCTAGACAACGCATGCGAAAGCAGAGACAAATAGAATGAAATGAAATGCAGCTGAAGGAAATGGGCGATAAAAAATGCAAATGGGTATGTAAGCGCATGCACGCCGGTAAAGATACATCGTTATGTTACACTCTGCTTGGTAAGATGATAAATGTTGAATTGGGCCTCGGAGAAAGTGTCATATGACACCCTCTGTGGCTTTGTGCTAAAGGATAGCACTGTGTGACTCTGGTGACGCAGGTTGTTGGAATCTTCTGATAGTAGTCGCTGCGCTTTCTGCAAAGATAAATCCAGACTCCGGTAAAAATATGTTTTTCGTAGAGCAGGATAGAGAAAATAAGAGCCGAAAAGATAATGATATCATGGCCAAAGCAAGCCGTGATACTTCTGGAAATGCAAGTAGATTTTCTATGCTGTAAAATGCCATTATAATTCAAGTCGAGAGTGGAGCTCTTCATCGGCGCGGCTGTTGTTCGAGGTGAAATTATGATTTTTTAAAGGCGCGAATGAATCAGATGCAGTTCCACTCGGCAAAGACGCACCATCTGGCGCTCCGGTCAGCAAGGACCAGTCCTCTCCAGACGCCCCGCTCGCCAATCTTGATAATGGTTTCCCACATGGTGCCATCGGCAGCGCTATTCATGGGGGTGGTTGAATGATCGCTCTTACGCATGAGGCGTAAGATCTTCCCGGAGGGCGCTTGAATGGCCAGCTTAGCAGCTTTGACGCCATTGATTACCGCTCCAGACGAAGTAGATGTGGACATAGCTGAGCTTGGACGGGCATCTTGTTGAGGAGTGGGCGAAGAAAGCCCAGGAAAAGACGAAGGGTGTTGCCGCACGCAAAAAACAAAAGTATTATTGACGGCCAGACGAGCGCATTGAGGCTGCATCACGTAAATGTCGTGACGTTGAGCGTGGGGGGTGGGATGGCGAGTAAAGAAGTCGTAGGGTGGATTCTCTCCCCTATGAACAATGGGAACAGCAAAAGCAAGTGCATGCGGGTTATCTTTGATGGAATGCTAGAATGATGGCTGAGTTAGTATCAAATCCCTTTCAAATTCGGCATCGAAAGCAGGTGGAGGAGTTCATACCATAAGGCCCCTTTTGCCGGCAAATACCTTTAGCACACCCTGTCTTTCGTCGCCTGGAAGCAGTCCCTTGATCGTGTACTGCTTCTGACCGGAATACCATTCGGCCTGTGCAAGGGCAGGTTTCTTTATGACCTCGCCACTTTCAAACAAGTCACCATCCACATCTTGATTGAATGCTTGAGTTTCAACCTCGGCAACACATTCGATATCTGATGGAACGGTAATCTGGAGCTGCACCATCTCCAAGTCTGAAAGCTGGAGAAGACTGGTGTCAAAATCTTGTAACTGAAGCCCGTTCTTGAAATAGGGTGGGCAAGCACATGGTAGCGCAAGTAACACCTCAGGCGGCACAGGAGGGCAAATATGCTGATGCTCTGGCATGAGAGGTACATGGGTATAACAAATCTCCATCGGCCGCGCAAGAAAGTACCAATTTTCGGCCGCCTGTGATCCTGCGCTTGAGAAAAGACCCCTGCGCGGATTTGTGGGATTTGCCAACGAACAGTCCATGATGCGCCATTCACCATCAGCTATGACAGCATTCCACCAATGATTTGGTTCAGCTACAGTATCTGGCTCATAAGCTTCACCAGGATGTTTGAGATGCCCTCTAACTACCTCAGCGTGGAGACCAACTGCGGCGCACATTTCAGTCACCAAAACGGCAATCTCCTCAGAGCATCCTCTCTTGGTCTGAACAACCCGCCTTGCATCAATCTCTCCTTCAAAGTCTTCTTCCCAGACAATTTTCTCGCTGACCCATGTGAAGATAGCACGTAGTCGCTGCACATCGCTCTTGTATGGTCGACAAATATACCCTTGTGCAAGACTTATCGGGTTGGTCATCGGTGGAAGACTACTGACGAACCGGGCATTCCGGTCCACAAGTGACAGGTTCAGTTTGAGAAAGTTTGTCGGTTCTTCAATCGGTAGCCCATCGAGCCCTTCATCACCCTCAGCTGAGTCATATAACGCCCCGATCGGATCAATGACCGGGATGTCCAGCATTTGACACCTTTCGGCGCGCTCGTCCCGTTCGTTTCGGCTCAGCGTGTTGGATCGATTGACGTCTCTACGAACTTGCACCCAGTCAGCTCCTCCACCGATACCGGTTTCCTTGTTCGGTGAGGTTGACGGTGTCGGGCCTATGCCCGTCGAGCTCGTGTGCTTGTGAGGCGTAAGCGGACGTCCGACTTGGCTTGATGCAATACTGCTCCTAGCACTTGCGGCACCTGTCTTCGCCGACTCGATAATCTTCTTGAAAAATCCGCTCTTCTTGGCCTTGGGAGAAGTTAAGCCACCCAAGACCGCATTGGATTCGGAAACACTTCCAGCCCAATCCGATTGAGAGAGGGGGGGAGATCGTTGGTCTGAATGATATGTAACGCCTCTCATGGGAGTTTGTGGTCTCGTCTCTGGGATAGCAAACGGCTTCCCGGTGTTACCAATTCCAAGATGGCTCTTCGCACGGGAATGCAACACATTTGGTGGTTGCTCGTCGCCACGTCTCCGGGCTAAACTACCTGCACTGGTCGCGCTGAACCCTCCAGCAGAAAACCCACTCATTGCGCTCTGGCTCGTCAACTGCGTACTGTTGCTGTCATTGGTTGTCGTACTCTGAACGCCGCTAGAGGAGTTTGTAGCGCTTGAGCGCATTGTAAAAGTACGCCCAAGCATTTCTTTCCCAATATCGTATGCTGATTTGCGACGTTTCAATCGTCGTCTAGAATCCACGCTATCATGCCTGCTTTTCCCGAGAGAAGAATGCGACCTGTTTTCGTGGGTCGTTTGCTTAGGAGGAGGTGCTGGAGCGTAGTCGTCAGCAATACTCGGTTGAGCATTCGTAAAGCCAGTTGGAAGAAACAGTTCATCTTGAGGACCCGAAGTTTGCTCCTGCATCTTTTCGAGATGGCTCTCCATGCGCGCCACGTAATTGGAAACCTCGGGCGGTCCGCCATCATCTTCATACTCATATCGTGGCTGGATCCTACTCTGCGGCCTAGCAGGGCTTGGATAACCGATTTCATCAACATCCCCAAAGGCGCTCAGTGAGGTGCCCGGCCTCTGCTGTTGACTGAGACTTGGCCGAGCATAGAGTTGGTCAAACGCCTCGGGCGACCAAGGGTTTAGAGGAGACCTGGGTCGCTGTTGTAGGGGGCTCTCCTGAGAGATTCCCATGTCCTGCAGGGATGACATGACGTCTTCCATGGCGTTTCTAAGCGGAGACGGTGTATGGCCTGTAGCAGATGGGGTCGGAGACGGGCCCCGCGAAACACCTTGTCCGAGGTACTGCTGCCTTGTGAATGACGGCGCCGGGGAAGGCGTCCGTCGACCATCGTAAACCACCCTATGCGGCGGTGGAGCGGGTGGTGGCGGGGATGGTTCATAGCTTTGATACGGGTTCGGCGACGGCTGCCGCGGTTGCGGACTGCGACTGATAGGTGGTGCCGGAGAGGATGCGCGAACTAAATAGGGTAGGTTTGCGGCTGAGGAAGTGGGACGCTGAAGTCGACTTGGCGCTCGACTTGTGGGAGGTGCTGGTGACGGTGCGCGAGACGGAATTGGGGAGGGTCCGCGGAGCTTTTCGTCAATCTCGCGCTGAGCAGCTGCAGGATTGGGTGATCCCGCAGCAGCGTATGCCTGGAAAGGTTTGCGAAATGTGCTTTTGGCCTTCTTCGGCGAAGGTGCTGCTCCGCGCATGCTTCCTCCGCCAGGCATTTGGCTCGAGGCTCTATTTACTGGCCGAAAGTCGTCGTCCAGGACTTTGACGAAGTTTGAGGGGAAGAGACCGACCATGCGCCGGTCTCGCCGCAGACGCCCTGTCCACCAAGAGCCATCTCCGGCGTTGAGACATTCAATCAGATCTCCCTCGATAAATCCCAGGTCTTGTTTCGTCTATGGTGATGTCAGTCATCAGAGTCACCCCGATGACACGCGCGACAAGAGCCGCAGTGTGAAACACTCTGGTTTTAAAACAATGGCAGACTTACTTCTCCGCCCCACGAATAGATTGCTCTGCACCAACACGGAAAGCGGGTTGGTAAGGCAGGCGAGTTGGGCATCATCTTCACGCGGTTTCTGTCGCAATGACTCCCCGTCAACCCCGTCAATGTTCGACGGCGACTCTCAAGAGCGATGAAGCAATGGGTGCAAGTATTCAATAAGGATCAAGAGTGCGAAAGTCGCAATCGCGCTGCACGGCTTGCGATGTTGAATGGCCTATCGAATGGCGGGCTAGTGAGCAAAGTGGATTATGCAAGCAGGTTTCCGGTAGCGGGCGAATCGGGCGGGTGATTGACGATTGATCGGAGTCGAAGGCTGGGCGACGGGGTGGAAGGCGCGACTGGGGTAAGGTGGAGGTGATTGGAGGAGCGGCCCGTGTTTGTTTACCTCCTAAGCTGTCGATCCTTCCGTTTCAGGGTGTCGGCTGGGAGATTGAGATCTTATCGATAATCTCCTGACCGCCGTCACGTCAGCCCCCAACAGCCATGAATCGAACCTGCAGTAGTAATAACAAGGTGCGGCGAGATCAAAAGCCCATAAACAAACTCAGAAGATGATAGACCAAAATAAATTAATTGAATCAAGCATCAATACCACAGAGTTTAGAATTCAACATATAATCAACGTCAAAGCAGCGGAATTGATTCAATTGCAAACATGCAAAGCCACAAGAATACCCATAGCTAGATTTCAGCTTTGACTATAACTTGGCGAAGATCTCGTCCTCCATTTCAGCCACTTTCTTAGATTGCGCACGAATATCGGCCGGGGCGAGCACCCCAGTCTCGCAAACATAGCTGGTCACGTACTTTGCTGGGACCCACTCAAAATAAATGTTTTTAATGGCCACATTTTGCTCCCTCAGAAAACCTGATTTAGCTTTCTCGTCCAATGGCCATGCTTCAGTGACTTCGGAAACATCATTGTTTTCCTCGCCGTGCTCATGAATCTCCCCAGGCCCTGCAATCTTCTCCACTTCGGAAAGGACAACAACCTCCACGTCGGGCCTCGCCTCTTTGGCGAGCAACGCTGCTGCGAGACTCCCAATTTTGTTGCTGACATCTCCATGCTGTGAGATGCGATCGGCTCCAATGAGAACAATGTCTGCGTCCTTTGCCATAAGAGCCGCACTGACATCAGTGCCAACCTCGACGTGCAGATTTTTAGTAAATTGTTCACCGCACTTTTGTAAATCCGATAGCAGCGATGATGCAAAAGATACTCCTTCGAAATTTGGTCTTGACTCCATAATCTTCAAGTCGATTTGTCGCGACGGCTTCTCCAGCAATGCAGCTTTAACGCAGTTCCGGATAGTTGACGAAGACGAAACCGTAACAATGGTGACAGGTCTCTCGCCAAATTTATTGTCCAAATAATCCTTGAACGCCTTGACTATTTTGTCTGCACTCCGTTGTCGTTCTTCAATGACATATTTGAGACTTTCGATGGCACGCGTTCGAAAGTCTGACACATTCAAAGTTTGGTTTGACACGTGCGTCTTCTTAACAGATGCCAAAGCAGCCAGCACCGCGTAGTTGATTGCAGCGCCCATACTGGGGCGGCCATTCTTGGCGATATGCCATCCTGCCAATCTAAGGCTCCGCCAAAGTGATTCAGCGGAGTCTGAGTGCGTAAAGTCATCACCTTGCAGAGCTTCGAGCAAAGTCTCAACACCTTTTGTCGCCAGCACTCTTGCACCATTTTCATGGTCTTCTTGAAGCGCTTGAAGCCCAGCAGCAATATTTTTCCCTACCAGCACTCTTGAGAGACTGGTTGGTAGATGCGGTACAGTATCGTAAGTCTTCACCTCCTCTGGAGGCACATATCTTGAGTCCGTATGCTCCCAATCAATGACAACTGGCTTCGCGCCCTCTTTTAGGAGAAAGGAGAATGGGTGGATCGTCCATTGAGTATTAATACTCTCATCTACTATTGTGAATGGTTTTCCCGTGCGCTGATATGAGAGCTCTTTCTCGGTGAGCCCAGTTTCTTCCTGAATCTCGCGCCAAGCAGCTGCGAGAGGGCTTGGATCAGTGGGATCAATTCCTCCTGAGCAAGCACCCCATTTGTTCCTTTGGCATGAAATGCTTCGTTAGTACAACGTGAAATTTATTTGTCATTGAAGTTATAAAAGGTTTTCAAGTAACATAAGTATTCATCAAAACCAATTGATGCAATAGCTATAGGAGGGGTAGCTTACTTATAGGTATGGACCTTGTCACTCCGCTTGAATATCAAGACGTTGAAACCATCGGGAGAATTTGCCGGCTGGCAGATGAAAGAAGAAACAACTTGTCTCTCTCGTCTCCCTGACGTCTTTTCGCGTTGTTTTCGATGCTCGGACATATTGTATTGCGATATGCTGATGTGTTTTCTTTGATAGATTCCGGCTAGCGGAGCTCGGAGGGGCGCCTTAATCGATAAACAATGATGCAATAACCGTTTCGGGCGGATCAAAGGTTCCACGGCCGCGTATCGGTACCCAAACGACATACCTAGGGAATACTCAACAAAGCAACATGAGGATCACAATTTAACAATGGGGAATATCTTTGTGCAATTTTCAAAAGATCTTCCAAGTAATTGGTATATGTTCACTCGTGGAACTTCGCTATCTACTAAAAAATCTCCGAAATCGGCTATCAACCAGGCTTCAAACCTGGGAGATGCAATTCCTGTGCTTAGAAGTGAAAGGAACGTGCCCACAAAAAGAAAAGGTTTTTGACATGCAATTCGCGAAAAGCAATAGAATGGGAAAGTATAAATTAAGGCAAAAAAAAGATGAAGGGAAAAAAAAAACATGCAACAGCGGGGATTCGCTGGTCGTCACCGACCCAACTACTAGTCCGCCGATCTGAGGCTTATGTATGGCAGAGCGGACGGGATGCCCAGTTCTCCTCAGTCTATGGTCGCATGTACTAGAATTATCTATATCATGGTATATATGCTGTAATAATGTGATCCAGACCACCGTCGTAAACTCATTGCGCATTATGACGGCAATGTCATGCACGTGTGTGTAGCCCGATAGATATACCATGAATTCAAACGATGTGATCGGGTGTGGTTCGAATCGGATTACGAATAGACCACTATACCTAGGATGGGTCACTCCAATCAAACTGCACTTCCCAATATATCCTTTGCGGCCTCTTCATTTAATTGTTGCGTGATATGCCCATCCAAGCCACGGCCTCCGGTGGGATCAGTGCCTTGAGCTCTGACAGCTTCATCCACATCTGTCATTTGAGTCAGCCTCGAGTCTATCCCAGTACAACAATTTGAAGCAGTCTGCCTTTCTGCCTTTCTGCCTTTCTCTGATTTTCTTTCTCCTATCCATATCCTACCAGGGGCCGGGCCACATTACCTTGATATTCTTTACTGCTGCCGGCCCACCGACTTAGCTTTTCCTTGCGAAATTCGCCAAAGTCCCATTCCCTTTTTTCTAGCTTATCCTCTCCTGCGATCCAAATGTACGTTTCTGCCTCGAGGGCTTCGCCTTCGATATTTCCCTCACCCGACTCATCGCCAATCTTCGAAAGAGCCTTGACTGTTACTGGTTTTCGAGCATATTCGTCGCCCTCAAAGACATCAAGTCGCCAGACGTCACTCTGAGAGAGGCCACTAACGAAAGTTCCTCGAACTGTATGCCCCGCATCAGGGAGAATAGCAGGGTAATCGCAATTGCGAACGCGATGACGGCAAAAGTCATGCAGAATAGCGGGCTGGATCATCAATTGTTGAGTTTTCGACTCCGGCGGGGTTGCTGTCCCAAAGCAAACGCGATATAAGACTTCTGGGGCCATCTCGTGGGGCATTAGCATTGATCTTGTTTACCATTTAAAGGTTGGAAACATACCAAGGTCCCTGAGGAAATTAGCTTCAGGCTCAAATTTCAGTAGTAATGTTATCACTCACCATAAAAGAAGGCATTGTGTGTAGTTCTCGTCATTTTTTTTTTTTTTCACGTCGAGTCAATTGCTATAATAGTAGAGTTATTGATATTCAATGCGGATGGTGTTTGACGAGGACTGCGTCGAGAGCTGGGTTTAACTTTCCAGATAAGCATCCTGAGATAAGAGCTGAGCGCTAACTAACATCATATCGAGATTAAGTATGCCCAGGCAGCGCGGTACCTTTTGATCGCTAATCTCCCGTCAAGTCGCCTATTCAGAACTGGGGGCACTAGTAACATTGTTTGGCATCACTTATTTCGCAGTAATTTCACCGCACCGTATTTGTAGACTGATATAACTTGATAATCTATTTCTCTTCTCTTTTTCCCTTTCCCTCATAATAAAACAAATTTTTAGTATTATATATATATATTTCTCTAGAATCTATTTTAGGTGAAAATTTAATACAGGCTGGAATTTATTATTGTTTCGAGAATTATTGATTCAATTATTCTCTCATATAAGCATGCAATTGGCCTGAAACAACATTAAAATTAACAAAGACTACCTAGCAAACAAAGCGCAAAAGTCCCAGCCATATCTTTTAATCTCGACATACAAATTGACTAAGTTCTGAATTTTGATCGAACCCTTCATGAACGCGCTGCGAAGCACATCACGTCTTCATATAGCACCCTCGACTTTAAAGTTAGGCGGCGAGACTCGGGAACTCAGACTTCAAAGTTCGCCAGCCTGGAATTGGGTCGAGGTAACGAATGACCCCTGTAAAATTAATCAGCCTATCAGTCATCTGGTGGTATGCAATCATCAGAGTGTAGAAATCATACTTGGCTTGATCCACATTGGCTGTGTAATTTCGCTATAAGGGTGATAGTAATCCTTGTTCATTTGTATCTAAGAATGCACAAACAATTAGTCTCGGAAAGTTTATTGACTGACGCTGAGCTTGAAAGCATCACGAAAGAAACTCAAAGGCTTTATACTGTCTTCTTACCTCCTCAAACCACTTTCGATCTTTCGCCCAATACTCAATAAAATGAAAAACCCCAGGGTGATCTTCATCCCTGAATACGTGGAAAAATATAAGTTCAGACTCCTTTGCGCAGCCCTCGTAACAAGGACGCATTGCAGCCAAGAATTTGTCTGCATTGGAAGGGTCAACCTCGACGGTCACGAAAATGGTTGTTTGAGGTGATTTGGTTTCGTCGGCCATTTTTGATACAATAAATTATATATCAATTGGTTCGATGACGATGATGCTCGCGAGGTTTGAGGCACTTGTACTTCGAGACGTAGGAGTTGCCTCTATATATGATAATTTTCAAAATACAAACCACCTGAGATTGGGCTTGATCATCCAAGGATTAATAATTATATTCTACACCCCGCTCGTCCGTCCAATTGACATTGATCCAGTTTACCTTGCTCGTGCTGCGACATATAAAGACGCCGCCAGTTATTCTGCCCCGCAGTCCGCAGTATATCCGCGTTATCCACATCGCAAGCCTTCTAAGCGCAAAGTCTACCAGTCCATTTGCCTGAAAGGGGAAACGGCTAGCTTCTAATGGCAAATGGTCTCCCCTGCACGGTCACCGCCCTAACCGACCCCAACGGGATCTACGTAGTATAGCCAGGGTAGCCTTCCCAGATCCAATGTGGGAAAGGAAAACTTAGCCCAATTGATTCTCCCCCGGAACAAAAGTACGTCTCTTGTACTGTTCGCTCCATAGACCGTCAGAAAACACTATTCTGCTCTTCTAGCTTGAGGTTTTGCCCAAAAGACAAGCATAGTCTACCGTATTTGAGACGAGAGACCAGAACTTAGGCGCTATCAACCGTGTTGTATTATTCATGACACTCGAGGCATGTGACCAGCCCTCTACCCATTACTGGGCATTACTAGTTGCTGCTTCAACATCACCGAAATTTAAGGGAAATTGTGCTCATTCTACTGTTAAATTCGACTATCTTCCCGGCGATGCAACGAGCGCCTCGAGTTTGCAGTCTCAGGCTTCGGGCTACACATCAGTGAACATGGGCTATCGAGGTGCTTGGAACATTATCTACCGAGGTTTGGGCAAAGTGCTCTGCTCTCTAGATTGTGACGATGGCTAACTCGCTGATGAGGCATCCTGTATCTCTATACTGCCAAAAACCAGAATATATGTGATCCCCGAAATGAGGAGGACGTAAAATATTGGCTCGGGGTTCTGCTCAACCAGCCGTCCAGATTTGCACTGCCAGAGTGCATACAGCCATTCCCATTACCATTGCATGTTGGGTTTGATTGTGTGAATACACTCGATATGGATAAGTCAATCTTGAAGGCAAAAACATGGAAGGAAATTCAGTACAAGGATCCCGACGACCCTCAAAAAAGCACTATGCTCTCCATAAACATTACACTCTTCCATATCCAAATCAAGTCGCAAAATGTGCATATCAGCAGGTCTATTGACTATAGAGATAACGGTGGATTTGGCCTGGACAAATGTGTCCCTGTGACAATGGCCAATGTTTCCACTCTGCATTCAGATGCATTGGACAAGGAGCTCGTAAATTTGTGCCATCCGACACCGTTGGGTCTCTTTCGGCAGCAATTAATGGTTGACATTGTTCACCGCTGGAGATCATTCTTCAACGATCACGATGCATGGCGCTCATCCTGGGTACTCTACCAGACCTTGTGCGAAGCACTTCTCCGGGTTGCTGCGTGGGACTTTGAGATACATAACGATCTTGTTGAACATAACTTGTCTAATTCACCGCTGAATCGTCCTGCGTGGAAGACAAACCCCACTAATATTTTCTGGTTCCACCGAGTCCTCATCGTGTTATGTCCAGATGCATCAAATGATCAATTGTCAACACAGGCATTGGATGACGCAGCATCATTCTTGAAAGGAGCCACAGCAAAGGTAATTTTATTCTCTCTTCCGAGCTTTGTGGTTGCTACCATGAGCCCCTCCAAGGTCGAATGTTCGCAGGCATTCCAACTGCTAAGGCCTTACTCTGATACCAACTTTGATCATTCCTCACCATTCAAAACAATGACAGATGGCCTGCATCTTTTACCTCATATTTTTGCATCTGTTGGCTGGAGGGGGACAAAGTGGTCGGGGATCCAGAATTATCACCTTCCCATTGAGGTGTGGGAAAATATCTATCATTATTTAGATACTTGTACGAGGAGGAGGTTTGCACAAGCAGCGCCTTTGTTCGAATATATCTATTATTCATGTATTTCAGACCTGCATGGTGTCAGGACAGTGGGGCTACCCCTTCAGCGTTGGGATCGATATTCGAGGCACAGCATCATAAAAAAGAATGGGTTGAACGGAAAGCTAGCGTCGGTACAAAGGACAAGAGACCGCGCCTTGTTTGCAATCTATTTCAGAGGGCTTTCTTCGGGCTTGGCGTACGCAATGAGTTTCGATGCATAGGAGCCGCAGCAAAGATATTTGGAAGGGTTTCTGACACGATCATTATTCCCTAATTAAACGCGGAGAACAGCACAGGGATTTTTCCATTTGATAGCACGATTTCTGTCTTGTGTGATTCTATATCTGATCTGCTATCCAGCCCCTATACCAGAAACCGTTCCCCACGACTCAACGTTCCGGTGGCATATCGCTGGCTGCAATGTACCGAAACATACCATCAATGATACCAACGTGATCATCATCTTTAAGATTCCAAGCTTTCCATCTGTCGTAGCCTGGTGGAGCTAGTGGCACCAAGTGGTTGTGATTATCTGGCACGGATCCTCTCCACTCACAGGCATGATACTCAAAGAACTTAATTTCATATCCCAATATAAGGATAGCGAAGCAGCGATCAAAGGGTGACGCATTAATATGATCAGCCGCTGCATTCGACAATTGTTCCATCGAAGCCAGCCAGGGGTCGGTAGATTTTTTACATTCGACAAAAGCATGGTCTCGAAATCCACCTGTCTGTCTTATCAATTTCAACACAAGAAGGTCGGGCCGATTATCCCCTCGGCTCTGCTCAGGAGCGATAAGGAAACCATCATCGAGCGGAAAATAGTAGCTCAACAGTGCAGTCCCCAGTGCTTTCGTCAAATATTCCGGTGACTCGTTATCGACCTGGTTTATCGCTGCATTAACGGTTGGGTGACTTGGGTAAAGTCCATTTGGCGGCGGCATCACGGCGACCTCTGTGTTAGCTGGGGCATGTTAGACATAATTGGCTGGTAGAGGTATAAAAGCCAAAGGCATTTATTACATCCAAGAGGCTGACGCACTTGTTTTGTTGGGCCAAGCAACGCGATCAATGCGAAACAAGTATGTGGCTGACGAATTTCAAAATTTAACTGTAGATTCTATGTAAAGATATGTACGGAGAGAGAATTTGGTCAGCTATTTGTATGGAGGCGTCAGGAGCAGTTTCTACCAGTGATGCGGGGTAGACCGGGGTCTGTATACCCTTCATTGGCCAAGTAAGTCTCTGGAAGCCCACGCAGTTCCAGAAGCATGAATGACACTTTATAGCCAACCGTGAGTCAAAGTAAGATATGTGGCTACCATCATTGTTTTTGTATTCGGCTTACAATCTTAAGACATAAGAATATGTCGAGCTCTAACACCCAGGGGAAAGGACTCAAACTTTGAGCTATTCTAATATTAGATAGTTTTTTTAAAGTTATTATTAGCTGGAGTTCAATATATAGTCTTTAATGAAATGCAAAAGTGCATTATAATAATAGTTACAAAATACAAGATCAAAAACGCAACCTGATCTACAATTAACAATAATATAGATCAATAGATTCTAGCAGGCTCTACAAGGAGAGTCAAGCATGTAGTTTATTATGGTAACCATTCAAGCAGTAGCTCTTGAAGTGTACTATATCTTGCAAACTACTCTACTATATGCATAAATACTACATTTGTTATTATTATACTTGTTGATAAATACTATAGCCTTTAGGTTAAAGTAGTACTTGTAAGGTCATTTATAGTAGCACGTTATTCTGGATTTGTAATGGCTGGATTACGTTCAATAACAATAGTGCTGTTAAGATGTACTAATATAGAGCTGTAGGTATAGGTAGTACATAACTTTTTGGTTAATTAAAGCAGCGGGTCGATCCAGCTAGGAGGGTCTCTAGGCGGAGGGCTGTAGACCTCGTTAGGGTTGGTTCTCTCGTCATTGTTGCGGAGCGTTGGTGCTTTATGTGCCATACGACCAGACTTTTAGAATTGGATTGTTCAGCAGCACAGAAAATGAAATCAAACATGTGCTGGCTAAAGTGGAATATTTTCTTCTTCTCTTGTACTACTCCTCACATGAGGACTACAAAACTGACCATGTTTCTGCACAATGCATCTGATCTACGATGGCTGCCAAATAATCTTATCAGATCTATTTTCATCCCGAGCCGGCGTGGCCCCTGACCCACAACGGTTTTCCATCAACCGCTAAACCTGGTCGGCAGCCGGGGAAATCCAACAACAAATCTCAGCGCAACAGCAATATTCGACAAATACCATGCACGCGCAATAACATTTTCCGACAGCGATTCTGTCCCATTGCAATTAGGCCCCAGCCTTTGACACGACTCTTTATTCTTCACCGCGCTCAACGGAGCCGCGGTGCTCGCTATCTGTCAAAATGGGCATCGTCTCCTACCTAATCACAAATATATCTCCGCTATTGTAAGGTTTTCAACCGCTGTCGGGGACCTGCAGAAGAAGAAACAAAATTAACGCCACGTTCCCGATAGCCTCGTCATATCCCCAATTACAAGCTATTCCGATCAAATATGGAGCATTCACAAGACGCGCACATCGCAAGGTTTCTCACTTGACATTCCCCTGATCATGCTAGTCTCATGTATTCTCCGGTAAATTTATCTCCTTCTCCACCATTGGGCACCACATCTTTCAGAATTCTAGTCAGCTAAAAATCCATTGGGCCATTTTAGAGTATTCTTCTGGTTCGGTTCGCGCTTCGACACGGCTCTTCTCGTCCAAGCCCTAATCATGATCGTCATGCAAATCATGCTGCTTCATGTCGCGCTCACGCACCGGCCACAAGCGCACCACAAGGAAGGTGTTGCACACACCCCCTTTGTTGGATCGCGAGAAGGCGATATGCATGTCAATAGGCCGTACAACTTTTGGCAATGGCGCTCGAGACGCCCATACTGGTCTTTTCTGGGATATATGACGGTCACGCTGATTGCGTTACAAGTCATGATTGGAAATGTTCCCTTTTACGTGTCGTTAGTGGGATACCTGGGACTTGGAATTGAGGCCATTCTGCCGCTGCCGCAGGTATTGGCGAACCAGAAAGCGCGGTCTTGTAAAGGTTTCCGCTTCAGCGTGCTGGCAAGCTGGCTGCTTGGTGACGTGATGAAGATGATGTTCTTCTTCTTTGCGGAGTCGAGTATCCCCTGGCCGTTTAAGATGTGTGGTCTTTTCCAAATGGCCTGCGACTCGTTCTTGGGGCTGCAGTACTGGCGCTTCGGTGCCGGACCGGGCGCAGGCGTACCGGCCGGCTTAAACGTGTCTTCTCCGGGCCGCTGATGGCGCCGTACCCTTAATTCCTTTTAATTAGAAGGGCGTGTGTTGTCCATAGCCCATTACATGTATTTTTTCCCCCAATATGTGGGCTTACGGGAACCTCGGGTTGACGGCCGGATCTGCCGGTGACCCTGCCTCTAATGGTTCCCGTTCTTGACTGGATAGATTAAACCTTTTAAAATAGATGATTCAATAATATACTTTTGACCGCGTTCGGGATACTTACATGAGGTGCTATATAGCCTTTCTAGTGTGATACAGAACTGTTGCAATCACACATGCGGCGAGCCTCTTCTTCGTTATATATACAATAGATTACTCAATAAACTATGGTTAAACCACTTTATAGTTATAGAATATTTATGGAATCTGACAATAATTTCATATTTGGATTGATGCTCACCGGCAACGATAGAAGTCTAATTGTTTACGGAGTATATGGACCTGGGGAAGGTACAGCCTCGCTAAGGGACAACATTATGGGTAAACCATCCCTTGGAAAATGGATATTGCGAAAGCCACGAGGCGACCTTGAACAATTGCTGGTACAAAGTGATTGTTCGGTCTAGCTGGTAGCCTCTGGAACTTTACGCTTATCACTTGTGTCAAGCCAGGCGAAATGGTGGCAGCATTGGTAACTCGTTCAGCTCTGCTGGCTCACCGGCATGTACGGCAGTGGAAGTGCTGTCAGAAAACGCCTTCGTTATGGGGTTGACAGGTATCGACTGTACTCCAGGAAGCCTTGACTGAAGGCTGTTACAAGGAGCGCCTGGATCTTTCAGCTGCCAATTACTGATATATACCCTTGCACTCCTGTTACCATGCATAGCCACATGCACCGCCTCAGCCTTGTTACACATGTTCAGCTTTTCCCCCGTCCTCTGTTTGTAAACCTCCTGAAAGATTTCAACAAAAGGATTAAATTTCAGTCGATAATACTTTGGTATCATCAATGATGGACGCAGGCTTCGGAGCCATTGGCGTCGTTTCACTTGCTTTGCAGCTGATTGAAAGCATCGACAAGATACAGAAGTTTATCAAGTCCCTCAAAAAGGCACCCGAGCATATTCGCTCAATCAGTGGCTCTCTGGAAGATATATCCGACGTCTTGGATGCCATTCGGGAGGACCAGCTTGTGTATGAGGGAAACAAGAGCATAAAAAAGGCCTTACTCAGATGTGAAAAATGCATCAACGATATACGCACCATTATCGAGACGCTAGAGCCAGGATTTAGCTCGACGCATAGAATCTCCCGTGTTTGGACTGCGATTCAGACTTCGAGGGCTGATGAGGACATACAAAAAATCGAGCGCAGGCTGGAGGCGGCAAAGACTACATTGGGGCTAGCACAGAACAGTTCGCTGAAGTAAGGGAATGCATAGCCTTTCTTATTGCACCCCAACTTACTCAAGCCGAATGTGCCGACTGCTGAAGCTAACAAGGATATTCCTAGATCGCTGATGATTGTGCAGCATCAAGAGGTGTTGAAAAGGATTTCACCGACAGACTCTTTGAAAGCGCGCGACGCGACTACCAAGGATATTATTGTGTCCTCTCACGGCAGCGAGCAAGGGCATCTTCAAGATTTTCGAAATGAGATTGACCGGATTAGCAGCTCGTGGGCGCCATCCGTGATGGGCAATCAATTCAAGAAACGACTGATGGCAGTAGTCGAACAGACGGTGGAAAAATGCTATGGCAAAGATATTGGGGCCGAATCGAGCGTCGTCGAGATATACCCCAACGGTTGTCAATCCCAAGTTGATGATATTGAGATTCGAAGAAAGAAACAGCGGACTATAAAGCAACGGACATATACAGAAACGCACACCATGTTTGGAAGATTCGAATGTGAGACGGTTGGCTACACACAATCGAAGCGACGAGTGGCCGAACATCAAACAGACACAGAAGAAGACAGTGGGCTGTCCACGTCTCATACCACTCGCTTCAGATTTGTCCCTTCAGCCTGGTTGAAATTCTTCCGCATGAGTTGTGTGATAGAGCTTAAGCTTTCCAAATTGGATATAACGGGCTGGACTAGTACGGTAAAAGCTTGGAACGTAAGAATACCTAAGCCCTCGATAGTTGAATTGCAGCTAATGCCGATCACAGCTTGTATCGTCAGATTCCGAAATATTTCATCTGTGTAGAGAAGGCGACGTTAAAGGTATTCAGACGCTATTCAGCAAAGGACTTGCTTCGCCATTTGACGTTGACCAGAATGGATTCACGCCTTTGCATGTTCGTCACTCAGCACTCGGAAATGTCAAACAAACAAGCTAATTACGTGATCAGATATCTGCTTTCCATTATAAGCAAAAAGCGACGCGATTTCTCTTGCAGGAAGGCGCAGACTGGACGGCGACAACAAATCGTAAATATTCTTGGGCGTAAGTCAGATATCCAACTTACAAAGAATATTTATCAACATATCGCTGACATATTCACAAAGGACACCGTTCGCTCATGCGCTAGACCCTTTTTTACCTCACCAGATTGCAGATTGTACTCGTTCTACACCGCGGGTTAGGCTCTCAATATTGAACGAATTAATCTCGTTTTCTGATGGCTTAGAGGAATCATTAACGACTAGTCCTCTCTCGCGCTTTGTTTTACAAGCATATTGCGGAATGGTTCTCGCTGCTTTGAAAGATCTTCATCCACGTCTTGACACGTCTCTTGCTTGGCTTATGAAAAGTATAAAACATATTGAAGGGGTTGGTCACATATACATTTCTCAGGCATTGGCCGAATGCCTAGCATTCGCTCTGTACCACGAGGGAGCAAGATGTGATGCCTTGGGTGCTTTGGAACTTTGCGACACCTTGACAGTCCAGCAGTTTGTGCTGCAGTGGATATCAGGATATGATCCTTCGTGGGTCAATTACGAGGAGACAGTGACCGAGAACGTAAAAATTCGGCCTGAGATAATCCGTAAACTCATCAGAAAGTGTGGGGATCTTCATTTCACATACAATCAAGTTATCAGCAGTGGACCTTGTTGTGGGAACACGATACTGGCGCTTGCACTCTCGAAACGTATCTACTTTGACAGGTTCAAATTGCTTCTGGTCCGGTCCGGCATCTCGATTGAAAATTTTGTGCGGGACGCGATCCCTTCCCTGGGACAAGGCTGGACGGAACAGGCTTTACTGTCAGTGTTCTCGGATGAAGATTTAACTGAAGGCCACAATAAATGCGACGCGTGCGTCCCAAGAAGGTTTGGTCTCGACCTACGCAACTTTCATTATATATCAAGATTGGAACGACACAAGAATGGGGTCAGAATCGATGATTGTTTTTCAACAGCAACGGAGATGAAGCAACGATTACGAATAGACACTGAAGATTTCCTCGCTCGAAAAAATCTTTCCTGGCTTTATTGGTATCATCAAGTTAGAGAGATATTCGTAACCATCGACCCGAACACAGTAGCCTGTATGTGTTTCATGAGAAAGACAGTATATGCTATGGATAGCGGGACATTACGAGCAATGATTCGAGATACCATTATCTACGAAAAGACTGGCTACAGCTTTCTCTCACCACCAGGTAGTCCAAAGCTAATTCCAATCGTCAAGCTTTGCCATCCCAATGACGACAAGACCTTTTTCGACGACGAGGAGAGCTCGCCTTTCTTGTTGGACATTGACATCTATCAGCCAAGCACCGGCTCCTTATTCACCCTACTTTTCGAAATTGTCATTCGTTGTCTCTTGTCATTCAAATAGCAGGCCCTCTTTATTTCAAATTGTTTTCTGTCCAGCTCTTACTCTGAACTTTTTTGCTCTTCCAGACCAGCCAGTCGCTACCTTCAAAATATACAAGCCACTCTTTTATAAACTTTCCGTTCCGTCTTCCGATTGCAATGATTCCGTCCCATTCTGACACTGTCCATCTCTTCATTCCAATAGATTTCATGTTTCGACTGGCCAAAAATCTAAACGAATGCAAAGTCTGAGCAATCCTACTGTCCTACAATACTCCACGAATTCTTTTCAGCTATAGCATACATACACGGCATAAAACATACAATGCACGGTACATGGTATGTGGTATACCTTACCAAGTCACCGATAGACTATAGTCCATAGACTCTATTGACTATATAACCCTAAAAACTATACAATCTATCAAGACTCAAATCACTCTAGACTTGAATTCAAAGACTATTATCAAACAAAGCATCAGAACATAGGACTGTACACGTTGTTCTATAGACAGTAAATTATCTTTCTCAATGGTACTTATTGTCAGTCTGACTGAGTTACCATGCCTTGTAAGTCACAGAGTAGCATTGACAATTGTATAGTAGCAAATAGGCATATAGACAATACCTATAGCTACCTGTGACTCCTTGCCAAGCATATAGCACACAGCATACTGTTCAAATTTTACTTTTCATTGGCGGAGCCCAGGAGCGCCAGTATCCGTGTTCATGTATGAATGCATACATTGATGAGTCTATGAATCCGCTTTCAACGTCTTAAGACGTTAAACCTCCTCATGCAAAGGATATAAGTCCTCCAAGCAGAGACTAATAGATCCAACATAAACGACGCGTCAACGTCGGTACCCACTCTCAGTATAGCGCTCAGATGAAGCAAACAACCAGCGTATGTGATACTAGTGTAGTAGTGAGATTGAATTGATCTAGGCTTTCATGTTCAGATCAAACAAGTGATTTATTGGAGTCTTGGAGATAAATCTATTGAATTGTATGGCTAATAAAAGCAATAACAGACGTCATGGTATATTGCTCATTGAAAAAAGAAAAAGGGTGCCCAAAATATGTAAGAGATACGGATTCATAAATGGTCAATCACATGAGCAATGACGCTGATAAGCCAAGAAAATATCCTCGAGAGAAAAGGAAGAAGGAAAAAGGTTTCCCGAAAGAACAAGGTTTCCGAAAGAAGAGGAAAATCAAAGCAAAAGAAATTTTAAATGTTAGGCTTTTGAAGCAAAACAATCGCTCAAGCGTGCAATGACGAGAGACAAAAACTCCATTTCAAATGCAATTCCCGAGCAACGAAAGAAAACTCCTCGCTCATGCGAACAAGAGTAGTATGAGTAAACTCCAAAAATACGAGGAGAGAAAAAGAAAAAGAAAAAGAAAAAGAAAAAGAAAAAAGAAACACCATTGGCGTAATTCAATGCTCTGAGCCTTGCGAGCTTGGAATGACTACCCGCATGCGCTGTCCCTGCTTTTTTGCTCGTGGACTACTTCTGAGCATCGGGCTCCCGACAGAGCGCGCTGGAGACGGAGTTCGGGCCACTTCCACCCTTGTGCTCCGTGGACTTTCGAGCCGTTTATTGGTATCACCAGTGGAAGGGCTGGATTTTGCAGGGCCTACCCGAGTGATGATCAAAGAGTCTTGCGTATCGCCCTCAAAGCCGGGAGATTGGGGCTCATCTGGACCACTTCCTGAGGCACTAGGGCTGGGTTTGGAAACTGCAGGGTTGTCTAGCCTCAGATCTCCATGATAAGCTGCTGTGGCGATTGATACGTCGTCATCCTCACTTTGGTCTTCAGAAGAGAGACCCTGCCTTGCTGAAGCTTCGGCCGACGGGGACTTGCTCGAAGTGAAAGCCTTTGCAGCAGCCCCACCCCGATCAGTCTTGTTCGCCTTCGCAATTCCCCGTTGAGCATCCCTCTGCTCCTTGTGCAATCTAATGATCAGCTCGAGGATTTGGAGCCGCATTCGCAGCGCATTCATTTCCGGCCAATGTTCATGCTGATCATGCCTTTTATACTCTTCATTAATAATCTTGTTGATAAATTGTCGCGGTTCTTGGAGAAACTTTGTGATATAGCCCAAAAGAAATAGTCCACAGTCACACCAGTTGTTTTGCGTAGGGATACCCTTAGCTTTAGTGCCCTGATTGACTTCAACCTCAAGCTGTCGTTTGTGTTTCCCTTCCTCGGCGAGGTATCTCTGGAGATTGCGTATTGTAGGGTTATGTGGAAGGTTGAGCGAATCCAAAGTAACGATGCGAGGACTAAAATTTAAATACATGAGTGCGCTCGTAAAACAATTTTGAGCAATTTCACTTACACTGTTGTGTCTTTGACCAAAGAGGGGCCCTTTGCTTTCTTATTCTTGACGGACTCTTTGGACGCAGCAGTCTGTGCTGAAGAGGTTTCATGTCTGGTATCCTGACGAGACCGCAGAGCACGAGACCCCTCTTGGCTACTCCCAGCGTCGTCGACTGATCGTGGTGATGATACATCCTCTTCAATTTGCCCGATCCTCTGAGCAGGTCGTGGATTCAACAGGACCGGATCATCATCGTTACTGGGACTTGTCCCTCTGCTTTCTGATATGCTGAGACGAGCGACCTTCTTCTCTGTTTGATCCAGATTAATTCCGAAGCGAGATGTGCCAGATTGGCTGCTTTGAGGGGGATTTGTGGCTTCTAGATCGGGTTGAGCTTCGGGTGCTATCTTTCCAGCATCTGCACCTTCGCAACCTCCCTCATTGGATTCAGGGTGCAACTTCCGTTCGAGGTTCGGAAGATTGACGATGATTGCGGTGTACCAGTGAGCACTAAAATCATGAGCATGTTGCGAGCAATTTCAAAGGCATCATCATACCTTTCATTTATGGGAACAATCAGAAAATCATAATTGAAGATATCCACCTTTGAAGTCCACCGCTTCACAGCATCATAATTGATCCGGCCTTTCCCACCAGTGGTGTTGGTCAGACTAGCGTAGAAATACGTATTGAAGAAATACACGCATTTCGCTATTTGCGGATGATTTTTTTCCATTTGATATTCAAGGTACCTCGACAAGGGTCAGCTTGGTCATGGGCCCTAGAAACGCTTGAGCTTACCGGAGATAGAAAGATATGAGATTATCATTCAAAAATTGTTCATCATCCAGCCGGTCTAAATCTTCAAACTCAACAGTTGCCTTTTTTGGGCCATCAGGCGGATAGACAAGGGGCCTGTTAAATGTTAACCAATATCAAGACTCGTTTGGCCGATGCTCACGCATACCTTTCCCATGTTCCACGCTCTTTGTAAGAATTGAGTCTTTTCCTGAGCTCAGTTCTGATTTTTGAATTAGGCGATGCGGGTCTCCCTTCTTTCAATTCCTGTTGAGCTTTCGATCTTGTCCTTGGCAAGCGAGTTACGGATTGTGGAGGACCAGGGGAATCCTCAAGCCGTCGAGGTCCTTCACTTCCCTTTTCAGTCAGGGGTCGCATTTCTTCGTTTGACGAGTTGTCGCGACTCTCGGATTCCCGCCTCTGGCGTTTCGAAATAGTTGATTCTATATCTAAAGATTTTCGCTTGTGACCTTCTAAGTCGCTTAATTGTGAGACGGATCCGTCACCGCTGACTCGACCCTGTCTCTGCTGCGACTCTAGCTGTCTTTTGAAAAGCTGATCGATAGAGGTACTGCCCAATGAATATTAGTGAAAGAAGATATAAGCAAATGTATCAGAACCTTACCTTTCCATTTGCTTTACTTTGATGGGGTTTTCGTAGATCCTCATCTGCTGCATACACTCTACGGCTTTTCTTTCCGAGAGAAAGTCAAGCAGGACTGGCTCCACGGATGAAGGGGTTCCCGACAGGTGGAGACATAATTTGGAACTTCCTTCTGCCCAACGTATACGCACAATTTTGCTCAGTGAGATCGTGGCCAAAGTGTGCAAATTTGAGCCAGATCGCTGAGTTTCAATACGTATTTGCTTATTTTCACGCCCAAGCCGCAATGTGCATTGTATATCGGTATTGGCGGGGCCAAAGGCTTCCCCGAAAGCTCTACACATTTGGAGGCGGGCACTCCAATCCTTGTCGCCCGAGGTTGCTGCTTTTCCACTTTTGGCCTTGCCAAGTTTTGTTTGCCTAGAAGCAGTGAAGTGCGTCGGCCGAATATCACTCTTCGGAAGATCAAAGCTACCATCGCAAGATGAGGGAGGCCCTGAAGCGGATGATTTGTTTGGGCCAATTGTCCTTGGAGATGAGAGTGGTGAGCCTCTGTGTAAGCCTACGGTATTCTCGCCGCAAAGCTCATCGGGGCTGTCCGCCGTTACCGAACCATTGTCAGATCGGGTTATTTTCCGTGACTGGCGAAAAGGCGTGGCTGCCTGTGGGTAACGGCCTGGATTGTGGAAACTTTCAACGTCTTTACTTTTGGATGTGCCTTGCTCGCGGGACGTTTGCTCCAGTTCTACCTCCTCGGTTTCGAGTGATTCTTTCGTAGACGAAATGACATTGCACTCTTCGTCCTCGCCAGACTTTCTTAAAGAATCCCTCCCCTGTTTATTTGCGAGATGTGGTTGTGCTGCCTTCAAGGAATTTGCCTTTAATCCAGTCTGGTCCGAGTCGACTGACGAGACATTGAAATACGGAGAAGTATTTTGCGAAGTCCGAGCAAAGCCAGAGGCAGCCTTTCCTGCCCGCGGAAGATCTTGCGAGGTGCTGAACCCTTTGTTCCGCGGATCCACCATTTTCTCGACCGTTGAATATTCTGGAACGAATGACAGACTTTCCCTCCTCAGCTTGAGGCCTGGGTTCGTGTCATACGTTAAGCAGGAGACATCCTCTTGCTTCGAAGGGACTCTCGTTGCAGAATGTTGGACCGGCACATCATCATCGTCCTCCAAGGTGACAATCTCCGGCCGTTTTGGCTGGTTTGGACTTGCAGCTATAGCCTTGCTCTTCCTCTTTGTTGCCTTGCCCTCTCTGGAGCTCGTTTCCAAATCAGAAATCTTGGTTTCCTCAGGTCGTTTCCTTTTTCCCAATCCATCTCGCGAAGAGCCATATGTGATCTGATTTCGTCCTGAGGGCGGAGAAAACGGTCTTTTCCCGAGAGTGTTTCGTGGTACGACAGACCCATGAATAGGTACAGTACGTGCCTTTAGGAAGTTAGCAACGGAGAGGGGCATGATTGAGAGAGTCCTCACCGAACGAATCATCGAAGATGATTGGGGATTTGGCGGTTGAGGTTTCATTATTCGCACTGCGTCCGACGGATTTCTGCCCGGAGTTAGACATGAGTTGAAGCTCGCATTAAGTGGACGGGATATGAGTACTCATAGTCACCAAAGAGGCGCTTTTCGTCTTCACTCTTTGGAACCACCTGACGTTTTGGCGGTGCTCGGTGGGACACGGATTGCCTATGATGCTTGGCTCGTAAAATTCACCCTTGCTAAAGCAAAATATACACAGCTAAGAGGAGGAGTCACCTTTGCAAGCCGTTCTGATTCCCCTCCGTGGGGCCGGCCTGGTCACTTTGGCGGGCGCTGGCGTGGGGCACGTCCGAATTATTACTTCTATCCTAGAAATTCACCGTCTCATCATCAGACAATGGAATTAGCCGAAAGGCGGAAATCGTCATTGCGAACGAACATTGTGCTGCTTTTTGCCCCCTCGGTCATCCTGTTCATGATCGTGCTCTGATCCAGGTCGACCAGTAAAGACACCTCTTACAGCGGCCAAAAGCCTGCCACCGGGACTGTTGCTGGGCATATTGGGTGTCAGAAACCCAACATGAAATCGACAACAAGATCGGACAGATATCGGACAGAACCAATTTGTGTCGCGGAGGAGACTATTAGAGGGAGCATGAACTATAATTATATAGGATTTTCTAATAATACTGAATCAAATGTCTGAGTTGGCTGAAGAGCAAAAGTGAAAAGGGAGTTGGGTCAACGCTGGTTTTGGACAATACGTAGTGGGGAGCGTTGGGAGACAAAAAGGCAAGAGGCTGTAACAAGCTGTCGGGATTAAACTAAAGTGTATCACAGTTACTTTGGCGGAAAAGCCCGGCGAGCTTATCGCTATGAATCCCCTATAGCACATGGACCAGGATACCACGGTCATCGGTCTTTCGCGTAACTTCCCCGGTGACGCTAACAAAGAAACAAGCCTGCCAGGACCTTAGGAGTAAGATACAATACTTCCAGTGGGCGGGGACATGAGGCAAGCGGCCTCAAACACAAACTCAGCGAGAAATTTCGGAATTTACAACAAGGACCGGAAAAGAGGATACTCTCATACTTTTTATTTGCCATTAGAGAAACATTCGCCATATATGACTCGCACGGATCTGAATGGCTAAACTAAGTGAACAAAAAGTCGTCCATAACATACAGAATTTTGATTTCAAGCACCTTATGTCGCCGTGACCCGAGCAGTCAATCGCCGAATACCGCCGCAAAACCGATGCCTTGCTCGCCTTCGGTATATTGAGACCTCAAGACATATATCTCTTAAGAGAAGAATGAAGAGCCCACCCAGGAGATCATTAAAATCTCGCATAAAATGACCAAGAACATAATATACATAAGACTAGAGATTTCATGCACCGCCGGGATGCCTGAGACATGCTCCAGAGATCATGAAGCACCGGGCTTCACCTTCTCTGATGTGCCCTCCTCACTGTGGTTTGTCCGACGCTTGTCCGGATTGTGACTGTTTTCCTTGTTCTTCTCTTGGCGAGCATGATCGATCGCCGTGCGTTGTGCTATGCTGTCATCGTGGCTCTTCCACACGATATTAGTGTCTGGCGGGAATGCGAGAAGCCGCTTAACCGTTTCTCTTTATCCATTGTCAGCCATTGAAGAAGCAAGTAGGGAAAAAAATAGGCCAGATGAATCTTACCTTATTTTTATGTTCCTGCCTCCATCAATCTTCGTCCAGATGCTGAGGACATCCTCACCACTCCTCACACTGAGGACAGCACCACACACCTCCTCGCCCGCCTCAGCGAATTGATCTCCGACAATTGCCAAGAGAAGATCCTCCCAATACCGATCCGCCACCCCTTTCTTCAATCGAACAATCCACTTCCCACCTTTTCGATTTTCTTTATCTTCCCAAACCGGCCGAACGCCTTTCTTAAAAATGTGGTAATCTGAGACGGCAGGCAGCGAAGACGGACGTTTGAGATGCGAATAAACGGTCCAAAAGGATTCAACGGACGAGAATGCGGCAAGGGGTATAGTAGATTTTTCGTAGTCCGAATATTTAGAGGTAGGTGGCCGATACCAGACCACCCAGGTGTACTTAAGTTTGTGTTCAGATGATGATGTTGAAGAGGCCGTGGAAATATTTCTGAGGGAGGAGGATGACCCTTTGGACCTGATTCCCTTCAGATCTCTTAGATCTCGAAACGCCTCTTTCTCCCGTTTCTCACTGGCAGGGGACGGCGTAGATGCGGGTGCGGCAGCACTTCCAAAATCGAGTGCGTTTCCCGGTGATTTGGGCGTCTTGGCTGATCCGAAAGATGCAAATGCGCCAGATCCAAGCCCGAACGCCGAAGATGCACTGGAGGTTGGGGAGGCGAGGTTACTGGTGGTCAATGGAGTGATGGCGTTGAAAGGATTCGTTTTCCCGTGGGAGGAACTGTCGCCGCCAAATCTCTTCGGAGCAAAGCTACGTGTGGGATGGTCGTTGTTGTCAGAGCTGGACATGGAAAGTGAAAGCTTGCTGGAGTTGCTAAGCGCATGGTATGTCAGTGATATAGGCCAGCATAAAAAAAACTTGGAGAACGCAGGGATCATGGAGCGCGGACTTACTTTGAACGTCGGGTCCATAGATTGCTACTATCCATTTGGAAAAAAAATCCAGCAGACGAGGCGATTTAGAATTTGGAGGGGATAGTCGGAGGCTTCGTAGAAGAGGCAAAATTGAGCCCAGTATACACGGTAACGAAGGGAGGAAAAGTGATCAAAAGCGCGGAAACGGCCCACGCGAGATAAACAATCGTGAAGAGCTTGCGGATTCGCTTTGAAACGGAAACTTTTTGAAAACGGGATGGATTGCAAGGATATACGTGGATGGCGGAAAAATCTCGATTGGAAGGTATGGGTGCTGGTCTTGAGCGTGGGTTACTGGAGTTTGCGTTAAAGTCTGAAGGAATAAACCGCGTGTGAAGCGATGTTGGCGTCAAAGATGTCAAGAGATCTTTAGCTGATGAGCTGCATTATTATTTGTGCCAATCGTGCATAAGTATCGGTACCTTTCATCGTTTTCCATCTTAGCGAGTTGAGAATCATAGTGGGGGAATGGAGAGGGTAGCAGTACCACTTCGGTGAGCCGTCTTAGACCAGTTGCGCTAGTTCCGCCCACGGCAGGTTTAAAAAGTCGCCGAAAACTTTCTCCTTCCCGTTTTTCTTTTCTTTTCTTCCAGATCAAGACCACCAACTCAAATCATCGTCAGCTCGAAATCTTCCCACTCAGCTGTCGACTCCGATGCGTGCGTCGAGATCACGTTCAACCCACTCATAAAACCGTCATCGTGAGGGCCCCTCGTGCGGCTTCCCATGATGCGGTGACGACCTGATAGCTGGGACATTCCTCTTACTGTGAACCATGTGTATCAAGCATCGAACATAAGCCCACAAGGTAGATTAAAGAATTTCAATTCAATTTCGTTTTGCAGACTTTCCATGACGATAAAATTATAGCTCTGGTAAACCGACTGGCTCAGCCGCGGATGCACTTGTGTCTTATGCCGCTGGTTGAGCATGAGGTGAAAGGCAAAGTCTGACACGCAAATGACCTGCTTTCTGATTTGATACCTGGCATTGGCCTTGATCCTGATGCTAACCTGCCTCCGCGAAAGGTATTTATAGGTAGAGCATATTCATATCTGAATTCCGCAATGCTATGACCGAGCCCGCCATGACCCAATTCGACACAAGGATGAATATACGATATAAATATACCCCTCTTGGGGGTCAGTCTTCCGAAACTCAGGATTTTATACGCTATGCTGAATACGAACTGTCTACTCTATATGAAGTGTCCCTGCTGGCCGTATAGACCTGACCGATGACTTCCGACCTATCTAAGTCTATAATAATTTCGATGCTTCGTCGTTTTCCTGTCTCCAGGCCTCGTAATCGTAGCCTAGGTCCTCTATCGTCTTTATTCGATGCCTTTCCTCCCCCTTAGCCGCAAACGCGTGCTTAATTGCAGGGAATCTCTCTCTCATCCACCGTTCCCTATCTCCCCATGTTGGAGGTATTTTACCGCGTCCGTTGTTTTGGAGACCGTCCTTCGTCTGTGCTTCCAGTGCCCATTCATGAAGCGAGACAAGGTAGTCGGCATCTAAAGGGAACATGAGCGTATGGAACGCCTTCCCTGCTCCGCGATCAGATACCTCTGCGTCTTCCCATTGTTCCATTTCAGATTTGTCGGGAAGGGTGAGCCGGCCGGACCAAACACGTGATATCACCGCCGCTTGACCTTCCGAGACTGGAAATGGGATGATTTTTTGAGGAAGCCCAATGAACGCCAGTGTTGGACGATCATTGTAGAATATATGTTGGTATACATGCTGAGTACGGCTGCCATCGGAAACGACTGGAGGGGTTAACCCTGGCAGAAAAGGAAATGAGTACAGGTAGCCTGTGCAAAACACAATGGCATCGATATCCTCTACCACACGCCCGTCTCTGAATCGCACTGCTCTTCTTCCAGAGATGAACTCTTCGATTTCAGGATATTCTTCTTTGTACTGCTCTGGACCAGGAGAGAGATAAGAAGCGGATTGAGAGGAGACAATCAGTTTTGGTTTGCACACAGTCCCTATTTGCGCGCCAATGTCAAGGCCGGATGCTGAATTACCAACTATAATTACTTTCTGCTCGAACGTTAGCGTTTGCTCCCATTATAATGCCAATTGTAAAGGTCATCAAAAGCAATTGATTCCGAAAGGATTTCGAGGTGCTGAATATCCGAAATGGAAAAATTCCTAACATACTTTGTTTTTGAAAGGTTCGGGATTTCTGTAAAACCTCGAGTGTGAGATAACTCCAGGATATTCTTCATTCCATGCAGTGATCCCCTTGACAGCAGGTAAATATGGAACGGAGTAGTGGCCATTGGCAACAACGACACCATCATAAATATCCTCTGTCTCTGTCTCTGAACCGGAAGACAAGTTCCTCGCTTTCAGCAACCATTGCCCAGACTCTCCGTGAGGTTGTACACTGAGCACCTGAGTCTGAAAACGGATGAGTTGAATGATGTCCTTTGCATAATCTTGAAGATACGACTTCACGGTTTGTCGCTTAGGAAATAGTTGAGAATCCTCGGGAAAAGGGAGGTCTGAATATTGCATTAGGATGTTAGGTATATTCGTCTCGAGGCTGTCGTACATGGCCGTTGGGAAAATAGCTTCTTTGCTTGAATGAGTTTGCCATAATGGGTCTTCCGGAGGAACTCTAGGGTCCACAAGTGGTACTGCTTTGAGAGTTTTGACAAATTCAGGGGTATAAGTCCAAACACCGCCAACTTCATGGGCTTGTTCGAAGACGTCTATCCTTTCAAAAGCATTTTCTGCCAGAAGGTATCTGAGCGAAAATATTAGTTGTATCCATGATTATTAGCGCTAGGATTTGACTATGTAACCTACTTTGCCGCCGCGAGGCCACCGGGACCAGCTCCTATCACTGCGACTCTTCTAACTTTATTACGGCGGGATGTGGTCATGGCTCGTGATGATAACGGGGTGTTTCCGGACGAAACTATTTGAGCAAGGAGGCGTAAGGATTGCAAAATGTGTCGGGCGGAAACAAGCATTGAATGATATAAGATCTACCATGTTCGTCTATCCTATGCTTCACGGGCTAGTATTTATCATTAAAGCCTCCGATGATCGCACTATCCAACTCTGAAATCACGTCTTATCGTGCCCCGCGTATCAACTGGAGATAGTGGGTCAACAGCGGAAGTTCGGCGGGTGACGACTTCGCCTCTTATTCGTCCGTTTTCCAAAAGTCCGTTTAACACCCACGAGGCAAACGGACGCTTAACCGCCTCAGCCTATTGCGATTACCAGGGTCCATTAAGCTATGGTCTGATTTTCGCCCTTAATCAGGCAGACTACTGATATGGGTGTTCGCATTATCATTTCGGTCCGAGCAGAACATATTTTTGCCCACGCGGGTGGAAGATGAGCTTCCAGAACGGCTCGGATGGTCGAACACGCACAATTTCTCCGGACGCTAGCACGCTTGTTCGTATAGCAGAGCTCAAACCTGGATTGAAGATCCCGCTTCAGAGCTCGATCAAAGCGGTAGTCAGCCTGATTTGGCCTTATTCGTCCTCCTCGCGAACAATTTCCGTGCTTCTTGCTGAGCCAGACTTTCGTCTGCGGCGGGATGGAGGTCAAATTCGTGTACAGTTTTCAGAGCCCTGCGCGCGCGCAGTGGCTGGATCTGGGATTGAAACCGGCGACGAGGTAATTCTAAGCCTTGTTGGAGCAGAATGGACGAATGTAGCAGACGGCATTACCCTCCCAGGCAAAAGTGTCGAAGGAGAGCTGAGGTTTAACAATGATCTACTTTTAGGAGTAAGTTCTCTATTGACGGCCCTTTGAGGATTAACTGAGGATGTCATATTAAGAAACACGCAGGTACATCGTGATGATAAAAAGATTGCGTCTCTCGAGATACATCAGCCACCAATTGATTCCTCATCTCCGCCACAATCGCCTTCAGTTCGGATTCCTGAGACCCCACATACACCTGGTCCCACCAGAGTATTGTCAGGAAGACCGCCTAGTCCGTCCAACACCTGGTCCTCACCAGCTTTTCTCAAGCGCAGCCGCACTTCCTACGAAGCTTCGCCAGATCCAATTGCAAAACTCTTCCTCGAAGATGAAGACTACGTTAATGTACGGAGCGCGAAGAGGGCAAGATTCTTGCGAGGCAGCGGTCAATGGCGGCTGAGTTCAAATAGTCCACGGCCTGCTGAGCCACCGGAGGCTACGCAAATGAGCAGGGAAAACACTGAACTCGAAGATGGAATGTTGTTCCCAGCCAGTGAGCCACGAGGCCTAGAAGTTGATTCTCTTTCAGTCGCAGTTCCGGAAGCCCAGGCGGTGGAGGGACTACTTCAAACGGAGGAGCAAAAGAGGCTAGAAAGCTCCGATTTGGCGGGAGATAAATCTAGAGCGCCGTCAATTTCTGCAGCTCAGACAACTGCAAAAAGTGATGTGTTGCCTACCTTTGCCCCTCAGATTGCGATAACGGATCGGAAAAGTCCGCAGCCACAAGTTCCAGATTCATCACACGTGAACGAAGGTTTCGACATGGTGGGATTAGAAAAGCATCAGGCAGTTCAGCTTTCAGATCACAGCAAACCACCCCATCGAGGCGGTCAACCGTCGCAATCTACGAATGAACATTTGACTGCTAGAAACGACGCCGCTGCAAGAGACAACAAAAGCTTGCAAGCAAGTCCCCCCGACGCTCAATTTATTGGTGAGCCTAGGAATATTGAAGTGTCTGCATCCATAATGTCAAACATTACCGAACCACAAGATCAGCAAGCAGATGTTCAAGCTGAAAGTAATGGTGTGCAACCCCAACCAATTGGGTCCGGCTTAAAGCAGAGCGACTCTTTCACAGCAGACTTGCCTCAAAGCATGCCAAGCATGCAAACACTGTCAGCCCACAATACGCAACTAGAAGAGGTAAACCACTACGAATCATTAAGGGACAAGCCGCGATCCTCCTCTCAAGAAGAGCATGATGATCGTTTTCACGAAGCCATAAAAGAAGCATCTGGACCAGTGCAACAAGATTCTATCGCCAAAAGCAAAGCAGTTGAGATGGCTGGAGAAATATCAGACCATAGAAACGAAGATTCACTGCATCTGCAAAGCCCAGTGAGGGCTGAATTCGGCCTTAATCAAGTCGAGACACGGGTTCAACAAAAGGACATTTCGAGCGCACCATATGCTCCCGAGGCAATTAATGAAGCACCCGATTCAGCACGACCTGAATCGATGGCTATGTCCGTTTCAAAAGACTCAGGAAATGGTCAAAGATTCAAGGAGCACGTCGAAGCCCCTGAGTCTGCACAGGTTTCTCCACCAGCCAGTCAGAAGCCCTCCCAAGAGCATATTGATCCGGCTTTGAACGATGCTTTCCTTCATCCTCCCGCAATTCCATTACGTCCATCGAACGACAGCCAAGAACAAAATTTGGATGCGAGCCAGCTGGCGACTCCACCGGCCACCCAAAAATCTCAAAAAGAGGCCGACCAAGCGTCTTCATTAGTCGTCCAGGATAGATCATTATCTCAGCGAGACCAAAGCTCAGGAAGCGATTTTACACAGCCAAATCACTTATTATCCCCAGCTAGCCCAGTCTCCATATCACGGCAGCCTGAGGATTCTGCAAAAGACTTGGAAGTTGCAACCGGTGGGATGCTTGAAGAGATGAAACCTTTGTCTCCTTTGAGGGAAACTTCTGCAGAAGCTCCTACCGGTGAGACCACCAGAAGCATGGCTCTGGAGAAAGACAAAGTCCAGCACACTGCAGAAGCATCCGCTGAAATGGACGTTGAACATAAAGGACAGGCTCTGGAGGTTGCGTCAGTTAATGACAAGTCAAGCCGCCAGATTTTGCCACAAGAAGCTACGCGTGCCCTGCCAACTATGGCAGACAGTGTCGCCGAACCAAGCGGCTTTCGTACTCAGTACTCGTACTTTGCGCCTCTATCGACCATAGGCTCTCAATTTGGCTGTGAACTAGACGTCATTGCTATAGTGACTTCGATTACTACTATCAAACGTGCAAAATCGGGCCAGAAAGACTTTCATCTATTTCTGCGTCTTAGTGATCCATCATTTTTCCCAAGCAGTATCGCGGTGCAGCTTTTTCGGCCGTTTAAAGCAGCTTTGCCTTTAGCTGCTTTAGGAGACGCTGTCTTACTACGCAATGTCAAAGTTCAAAGCCAGAACAGGAAGCCGGTGCTTGTCTCCGGCCCGACTAGCGCTTGGGTCGTATTCAAGGATGAGACTGGTGAAGCCAATGGTCCTCCGGTCGAATACGGTTCACAAGAAGAAGATTTTGCCAAAGGCCTAGAGAAATGGTGGAATGACCTTGCAAAACATATCAAACAACTGATGACAGCAAATCGCTCTGACTGAGCTCTGAATTTTATGGGCGATACGGTCGACACTACCTAACACAATCAATGGCTCCATTTAAATTATTTGCAATTTATCCCTGATCATGGCATCTCAGCAAAATAAAAAGTTCCTGCCCATGGAGAAACCAGGCGTTGACTAGATATATGTTATTTTTTTCTTGGCTCGGTTGGGTTTCAAATGCACATTTCTCTCTTGCTCAAGGTCATTGCTACACTGCGATGCCGGGTTCAAATTTATCGATCGTGCTTTCCTCATTAGCTCCAGGATGGAACTGTCTGAGAAGTTGACACGTTGTCTTGGCTGATACGCGCAACGATAAGCCGCAACACTGAGCTAGACTCATTTGAAGAAGAAATAAAAATTATCGTGAACTAGATGAATCTGGGTATCAGTCTGCTGCTTTTGTTAAGAAGAGACGAACAATGCGTGCTCATGAAAATCATTATCTTTTCTTTTTTTTTTTTCTTTTTTCTTCCTTCATTCATTTACCCTTGGTCTACACTCGAAATCGGATTCTCTGCCCTGATCTCGTCAGCCAAGACTCCTCATTATCGCTGATATCTAGCATTTGAGAACGCGAAAAACATGATCTCAATCCTTCATTTGATATTTTCACTATTTCTGAGCCATGTCTTATCATATACCACAGCGAGACATTTCTTCCATCTTCCTCTGTCGAAGAAACCAAGCCGCAGTCTTCCTCTGCGCCAGACAGCGGCAGTCGGACGCAATGCCTGCGCCCCTTTTCCTCTTCACGTGCCTATGAAATACATTCCCTGTCCGCTCGACAATCTCACTCTGAGCGATATAATCTTCCTGATTGAACCAGTCATTATGGAATTCAACCCAGAATATAGAGCCTTGGTTCTGGAAAATGCGAGAATAGCGTCGTCAGAGTCAATGCATAATTCGAGCCACCCCAATAACACCGGCCTTCATCCGCCGCTTTTCGTCCATGCCTTCCACCAGAAGCTTGAGCAATGCTGTCATGATCGAAGAATTCTTAGAAATATGATACTCTTCAAGCGCTATGGCCGCCTGTTTTCGATCATTCCCGGCGAATGTGATTGAGATTGTGAAGATATTAAACATATTCTGAAACCGACTTGGAATACAAGCTCTAAAAGCAGGCTATTCATCCCTACTTCAGCCAAGGTCCAACAGTTTCCATCGCAAATAAATAGCTTGAGCATTCCATCTTTCCGGACCGTAACGATCTGATATAAGGGACTATCTTCATTGCTGGTCCAAACATGGTGGAAATTTTTCTAGGATGATACCTTTTTCATTCCCTTCCAGTGAGAGCTTTTTAGGATTTGGTTTTCTTGGAAATATTTAACAATTGGCTACATCAAATAAATTCTGTACGTCATTGAATGTGGTAAATTTTCGTGTTAGACCTCGTTTTGCTCATCAGTAGCTCATAGAAGAGATTGATGATGTGCTTCGCAGTACTGTAAACAAGCGATAAGCAGATTATGCATGTTCTGGTTCCCGCCTCGCTCTTCCCCGTTCCGTCAACTTTAGCTTTAAGTTTCCCTGTCCTGAGGAAGGCACAACCTGGGCTGGGGTCATAAGCGAGCGCTTTCCCCCAGTTAGTAGTCAATAACCGAAAGTTGATAATCGATCCTCCGCAACGCGTATCGATGCTCAGAGCTTTGTGAACATTCACCGCACGAGGAAGTCGCGTGTGAGCAAACAGTGAATCAATTCCGGCTCTTGCATTGCTTCTTCTCATTTGACGTGTTTGTTTGCCCATAATGGACTCTACACTTCTCACCATCGTCTCTTTCCCAGAGCTTCAAATTGCATAATGACCTCTCAATCTCGAAAGCGCAAACATCGAACTGAGTTAGAACTCGAGAGGCCGCACAAGCAACGAAGAACTTTGGCAACAGACACGCAAGAGACAGAAGCTCAGAACAATTTGTACAGCCAGTCAATCTCAAATGCAACATTGAAACGTAAAGGTACAAAACAACGCGAGCTGAAGTGAGCTGGAAACGAAGGAAGACTAACACGGCATCCGAAGATCGAACTGAAGAACAGCCTCAAGACGAAACCCCTGACAAGGAGTACAAGGTCAGGGATATTATCGGGGAAACAAGAACAAAGTATCAAGTAGACTGGGAAGACGATCCGGTCACTGGAGAGAAATTCAGACCGACTTGGGTAAGTCCATTCAAGGGAGCTGTTTAGCTATAAGCAACCTTGCTGGCATGGGTCGAATGGGGTTACAGGAAGGCACGAGGTTGCATATGTTCTAACACAGTTGATTGAACAGGAACCAAAGAGCTTCGTAAACGCAGCAGCAATCGAAGACTGGGAGAACAAGAAATCGCAGAAGAGACAGCAGGAAAGAGCTGCACCGAAAAGTCGCCGACGCAAGACTAGATCAACAAAGGAAGTTACCCCGCCGTCAAGCAGAAGACTCTCACCAGGACTCGCTATTACCGCTGAGGCTGCCTCGGGCCTGCAGAGCAGTAGTAACTCAGCGAAAAGACCCCGGACGCGATCGAGAAGATTGCAAAGAGTTGTCGAATCCTCGCAAGCATCCACTCAACCTACACAAACAACAGCTCTCCCACCAAAAAGTGCCGAACCTGCAAACAGTGTCGAGATCACAAGCAGCTTGATTCTTCCTGAGCATCCCGCATCCTCTCCCCAGCTGCAGGATCATCGCCTATCTCCCCCATACGAACCAGGTTTAAATACTACCACCGCTCAGGATCTTTTGATCAACATCACACAACCTAGCGATTTTGATCCAGAGAACTATCAACCTTTCTCCTCTTCCTTCGCGACGCAACGATCAGAGACACAGCAGGATTTGCCGCTCGGAAAAGAGAACCAAGAAGAGACCCAAGAGTCCAGAGTTTCAAGCGCTAATTCATCTCCGCTTCTTCCAACGTATCGTCACAGGCTGGTCGTGCCCGACTCACAAACCTCGCTAGAATCCTCAAGTTTCGACCCAGCAGCATCCATTCGAGAGTACATTCGATCGATAAACGATCCAGAGAACGTTTCAGGCTCAGCACTAACTCGCAACACCACCCAAACTGGTTTTCACTCCACATCCGATATTCCGCTTGTCAGCGATCCTATAGAGGACCCATCTAGCTCTGAAGCTGAGCAAAGGCCTGACCCCATAAACCACATTGCGATATCTTCAGAGATCTCGGAGAGTTCAGCTTCAACTCCTCCCCCAGCGGACGCGCAAGAAGAGTCAGAGTCTCAGGCCCTTCAAGGAAGTCATCTTAGTAGCAGTGAAGAGTCGCAATTCATTGCTCTTCAAAATTCACAGGAACTTCCCGCTGGTCAAGGAAACGCTATTCTTCTGCCTAGCTTTTCCGAAGAAGACCCTTCCTCTTTTGCCGGTTCTTTGGCCCATCCTTCAAAGACTCTAGACAACTCGAGCTTGCAGAAGCCTGTTCTCAGCACTGCACTTAGCGATTCTCCAGATAAAGAATCAGGACCTGCATTTTCGCATAACACTGTTGCTTCTAATCCCAGCCCGACCTGGCCATCTCACTTCAGTCCCTCGGCAGAAGGATTGTCGGATATTCGTCCTGCGCAGCAACAGTCGCGCCCACGGCACTCTCCGCCAAAGTTCAGCGTCGACGACGACCACAACGTTGATCGATCAGGCAGTGGACCCCAGGATATCACCGCTGGTACTGCGTTTCGAACTCAAATCTCTCATCAATTGCAGCCCAGCATTGAAAAAGAATCCGGTGAAAGCCTAACAACTGAGAAATTTCTAACTCAGCCTTTGCAGTCTTTTGAGACTAGTTCCACTGGTTCGTTCGACCATACGATTCGCTATTCGATCGCAAATATAAATTATTTGAGTGCTAACAGTGTGATATCAGACCTGAACCAACAGGCTCGGCAAGTGCTTCCAGAGGATCTAAATTGGCAGACGGGAACCTACGAGGAAACCATAACATCTGAGGCAAATTATTCATTTGCAAGCCCCCTGCACCCTGATCGCCCAAGCCGACAGCTTGCATTACCTCGAGAAATAAGGCACCCTCGAAATATTCACTCTTCGGCCGGCTTTGAAAGTGTTCTTGACGCACTAGGCCAGTCTGGGCGAGTGCTCTCTAGCTCCACCCTCCCCACTGCTCCTTCTGAAGCCCCAGACACATTTCTCTCAAATCACCAAAACAGGCCACAGACGCCTGAAGACGAGGACATGTCGGATCTTCCACAACATCAGGCGAGTTCTCCTTCGAGCCTACCGGCCGGATCTCCTGGAGCTGCTGTACGAGAAAGATTACGAGCTTTACGCGCCGCTACAGCTTCCGCGCGCGGCGGAAACACCCCCTCGCCGACATCCTCGCCGATGAGTACGCAACCGCCGCTGCCGAGGATAGTAAAGGAAGGCGTCTCAACACAATCGCCTGTCTCTGAAAGATCACCAACTCCAGCTGACCTGCCGGAAGGTGCTAAGTCTCCATCCGTAATCCCTGATCGTCCACCTCTACCTCCACCTTCGTCCCTCCTTGCACCAAAGTCTGTCCGGGTACACGATTTCCACACTAGCCATGCGCCAGCGCACCATAGTCCATTAGCTCTCCACAAGGAGAGGGCCAGCCCCGAAGAGAAAACGATGGATCTTCCTCGGCTCGGCCAGATGGAATTCATCGTTTCTTTGGGCATGGATGCACGGGCTCGCGATCAATACGCACAAACAATTTACAACTATAAGGACGCAATCGAAGGCTTTGCTGGCATCCGCGACGATGAAGAATCCTCAGAAGACAAGTCTTCGGACGACGAAGTGCTGAGGTCAGGTCTCAACCCCGAGAAGTCCCCTACATCCTGGCTTCCTCAGATTAAGGAAATGCTTTCTAGGGCAGAAAACGTTGTTAATCACAACGACCTGGATGATGATGGCACAATGACCCAAGAACATGTATCGCCCGAGGATGAGGCCATATGGGCAGTTCAATGCAGCACGAAGTTCGAGTTTTTGAAATATCTACTTGAGAGATTCCGTCCTCATGAAGTACACCTTGCAATTTTGGCGAAACCGGGAAGGCTACTGGATATTATCGAGACATTTTTAAAGGGACTTCATATTGTTTACACGAGGCCCGATACAATGTCACGCTCTGATGCGACCGCTTCTGGCTACTTGCGAGTCGGACTTTTGGCTACGGGGGAGACTGGAGCCGCTGCTATGGTCGGTAGCGCAGACCTCGTAATCGCCTTTGACAGTTCCTTTAGCGTGCATGACCATCAAGTCCAAGGTTTGAGATCTACGTTTTTCGAGATGCACAAGCTTTCTCCGGTCATACATTTGACAGTCATCAACTCTGTTGAGCACGTAAAGCGCTGTCTTCCGAGCAACGTGCAAGGTATAGAACGACTTCAACTGGCTGTTCGGGCTATTACGCATCTCAGACACGAAGCCGGAGAACTTTCCTCGGAATTTCCTCATACCGAAGCTGCCGCTGAAAAGGTCTTTGAATTTGTCGATGGAGGAAGCATTGAAAGTGAATGGCAACTTCCTCCACTCACAGACGTTGTCAGCATGGAACTGCTTGCCGAGTCTCAGAGCTCAAACTCTACTTCGAGATCTGGCACAAGTTCTGAAATCCGTCAAGGAGCTCAAAAGAGGCCTCTGGTAAGAAATTTTATTTCTATTCTTTCCCAGGTTAGCTAGCCGTGCCATTACTGACAATGGAAACACTAGACTACCGAGGACGAGCATGAACCCACTTCAACCAAGAGAATCCGACATTCACCTGGTGCAGAAAATATTCTCTCCTCCGGCATCGACGCGACTCATGTCAGCGAGTCAATTGTCGAACAGGCAGAGACCCCGGGCCAAGATTCCAGCACTCGAAACGAATCACAAAAAGAAGCCGAATTACGCACCATTATCGAAACCGCGCAGAGCCGGCTCCAAGAACACATCCTCGCGCTCGAGGAGCTGCAGACCCGCCACGAGGAGCAACGGGAAGAAATCCACCGACTGCGCAAAGAACGCGAAGCAGTCCGCATCGCAATGGCACAGTCTGAACGCCGACGAGAAACGCAGCTAGGCGAAATCTCCAAACTCAAGGACGAAAAAGCATCCCTTCAAAAGGAACTCGACGACGCGCGCACCGCCCTTGCCAATTCTACCGTTCCCGAAATCGCAGAGCTCGAAACCGCCCGTGCCGAAGCACGACATAATCTCGAAGCCAAACTGCACTTTGAGCGCAAAGTAGACTCTGTCCAACGCGACTTTGAATTCACCCGCACCCAGTACCAAAACGCCTCCAGCGCAGCCTTTGAAGCGTCTCAGGAAACCGCCTCCCTCCGCGACGAAAACGAAGCCCTCAAGCAAAAAGCCAGCGGCGAAGCCGTCAAGCTCAAGCAAATGAATGCCGAAAGGGCCAATTCCCTACACCTCGATCGCATCAGCGAACTCGAAGCCACTCTGTTAGAGCGCGACGAGCTCATCAAGAAGAAGGATGAAGATCTCACTCGCCTCAGAGGCAGAGGCGGCCTAACGACCCGCGCCACGTCCGTACCCAGGAGTCCGAGAAGTGTGAGCAGAGCGTCTAGTCCCAATCCTGCGGGTATAGGGAATGGTGGGCTCGGGATTAGTCGCGCGACGTATCTCAGGAATGCTTAGTCCTTTTTTTTTTCCTTTCCCTCTTCCATTTCAGTTTTATTTTTTTTTTTTTTTTTTTCTATTTTACTTTTCTCTACTTATTCTCCTTTGCCCTTTCTTTCTACACTGTTGATATCTCCCTTGTTTTCCCTTTGCTCTTTCCAAGCAAGGGATACTACTACTACATCTGAATAGCTAATTATGTTAGATGTGCTTACATCTTCTAACACTTCAAACTATGATATCATCAACAACAATCTACAGGATGAACAGTAACATATCTAACTGCTTTTTGTCACTGCCATGCCATGCACATATCTTCAATAATGGGAAGTGAAAAATGTAGATGTATGTATCCATTACCAATAGGTTTAAAGCTTTGCATAACATAGTAAAAGAAAAGGCAATGTCCCAGATATTTTGCTTTCCCGCGAGACATACACAAGACCATAAAAATAGGAAAAGAGTTATGCAGCCAGTCTATTGATACACACCAGAGTCCAGACATAGACAAGCCAAGACCGGTAACAAGGAAACCAGTAACACGCTTGGACGAAAACGAAGACAAAAAGATAAACGCCAGAATCCCAAGGACTATTTGTTTCCCGAGTCCTTTACCAGTACCAGTGCAGATAAGAGGAAAAAGAAGAAAAAATTGGAAAAGAAACTAGTAATACATGTTTCATAAAGAAAAAATGTTTCGTTGCCATCGTGACGTAATGGAGGTGTCGAGGATGTAGGTATGTTGTGGTGATCCTCGACACTGATAAAAGAAGCCGAAACTCCCTGTGATGCTGGGAGCGAGAAAACAGTAAAAGAGCAAGAGCCCGAACCGAACTATGGATCGGGGATCGGATCGAACGCGGGATGAATCGGACCCACGGAGAGGAAAAAAAGGTATGGATCGAACCGACAAAGGTTTGGAGAGGAGAAAAAAGGCAAAGTTCAAGTCGCTTTACTCAAGAAAGATTCGAGGTTGAGGATGTAAAAAAGTCATGAAATGTTGTCGTAAGGCGAAAATCACAACAGTAGAGTGCGAGAAGTGTCGAAGAGGACTAAGAATGACTTGAGAGTTGTTGCCTTGTACATGACGAACATTGCTCTTATGAGTGGTTCGAGCCAATCGATGCGAGGCTGCCGCCTTCAGAGTTGCTCGCTGAAGAGTGGCGGCGCATCGAGTCGGTGGCCTTTTCCATTTGGCGCTTGGTATGCTGGTGCATGATTCTAGAGAAGTTTGTTAGTTTATGAAGAAGTCAGAGAATGTAATGGGATGTCATACCGGTTGTAGAGGTGCATGGCTTGGACAGGGTGGTCCAAGTCAAAGTGGTTCTGGAAGTTGTGCTGAGCGCTCATGGGCTCGGAAAAGTCACCGTTGACGTAGACTGCGCCGTTGGGGTTCATTTTGACTTGTGTTTATTTCGTTGTAGAAAAAAAGTAGTTGTTGTTACTTTTGGTTGAGTAAAAGGTCACGAGACTTTTGGACCGTAAGAGTTTCGAGACAAAGTGAAACAGGTAACAGTGGACGCCGTCGCTTTTTTGGTAGGATCCAAACAAGAGGAGATAAAATGGAAACGCGTTCGTCAAGTCGTAGTCGTACAGGTAAAGTAGGGAAGCAAGAAAGCGTGTGTGCCGGCACAGGGACGATTGAAGCCTTTAGCTTTTTTGGGTCTTGTGGTTGAAGATGAGGATTGAAGATGTAGAATCAAGATTGGATCTGGAGCGAGGTGTTGGGATGTATATATCGTGTGGAGGAATAGTAGGAGGGCAAGGGGAGGCAGTCCCAAAGGGGAGTGATAGAGAGAGAGAGAGAGCCAGGGTGCCGTCACAGGCTGGGTCCAGACCTGTTCAGAAGCAGCGTTAGATGCAAAGAGAGAAGCCCTAGTAGGGACGACATCACCGGTGCGGGTCCCCCTCAGATAACCTCATAGCTCATGGCAGAGAAGTAAAGAACGAGAGTGACCGGGGGCGGACAACCCGCCTCCGTCAGTGTAAAGGGCAGTGGCGCGCCACTTAGCGACGCCGTGTCCGCCACCCGCCATGCCGTGCCTGGTTGATGATCGACACAATAGAATGGGTGGGGAAAAATAGAAAGGATGGGTGGCAGCGTTAGACCGAACTCTGACGTATCAGAACCTCGGAATGAACTGAGACTGACAGAAAGCCAAGATGCAATCATAGATGGGAGGGCAGCCCCGGGTCCCCGCTCGGTGGTTATTTTTTTTTTTTTCCTTTGATTTTCCTGGCTTGGGAAGAGCTGGCTCGTATCAAAATTGGAATGGAGCAAGTTTAGGTAGAGCAAGAGAATAATAGTGGGAATATGATGATAATGATGATATTGATGATGGATAATGACGATGGAAGGAACGGTCGGGGTACGACATCAGAAGGGAGGAAACGCCCAGATAGGAAAGAATGTGTTCATCGACCAGCATTTTCTGGGTAAACTGAAGTCATTTCCCTCGTTCCTTCTCGCTACGGAATTGTCCTAATCTCACCTGAGCGACTGGCCCGTGCTTTTTTTTGTGAATAAGAGTTGCATTAGTTAATGGGGGAAGCATAACTGTATGAGTGGCGTTACCTTAGAACAAATCTGACGTTGAAAGGGGGCTCGGGTGTAGAATAAGGTAGGTGATAACTACTCCGTATACGGATAACCCACGAGAATGGATAGGCCGTTCGGGGGCTACGTCAGGTGGAGTTTAGAGAAAAATCACTTTGGATCAGACCCCAAAAGATGAGGTAGCCGGGGACACTCACCGTGTTCTAGAGCAAATTCCTCCACTGTGAGCGGGACCCTGCAGATCGGGGCGAGGCTCTCGCAGTGCCAAGTGACGCACATTGGCATCACGGAGGGAAAAAAGGCCGAAAGGCTGCAAAGGGAGGGCACATCGTAAGAGGGGATGCGTTCATTAAATCGGGTCAGATGGGATTAGGGGAGTTGAAAGCCAGCTGATCGGCGTGATATTTTATCGACCACGACGGAGAAAAAGGCGAGAAGGTTGGGATAGGGTTCATCTACTCGGACCAGTTCTCTCGTTTCAAACGGGGAAAGGAGCTGTCGTGTCGTGGTTGCCAGAGCAGCTAGGAATAACTCGGTAGGGATGGGAGATGATGGATGAAGTATGTCTTGACGCACATCCTTCAGTTCTTCCAATGGTTGAAGTGTAGTGGTTGGTTGCCTCCCCCCGGGGCTATGATGACATCCCTGCGTTGCCGTTCCGCTAGTGGCATGCGCTTAGCATCATCGCTTCCCTTCCCTTACGGTTACCTCATCTCTCACCCCACACGACACACACACGCACACTCTCACATACACACACACCCTCGACCCAACCACAGAGCCACGCACTTTTCCTTTGAGGCCAAGCAAAAACCCGTGGACCCTTAACGTCCTTTTTGGTGCCACCTTAAAACTAAGCGTTCCTATGAGATGCCTTTGCCGCAAACACCCATTCCCCTCTACCCCCAAAAGCCAGACCGTTCATTCTGAACATCCTATTTGCCGCTCCCATGTCAAATCTGACCTATTTTCTGCGCACGGCAGGACGGTTGATCGTACATTCTATTAAGCGTAGCGGCTCTGCCCTGTCAAAAATGGCCTGCATAAGCGGCTGACGAGGGTTGAGGACCTCTTTCTTAAATCTGCAAGCTGCAGGCTCTGTGAATCAACTCGCAAACCCCGCGGCAAGCGATAATGCGGTGGAAAAGGTAAATGTCACTACCTCCGTACAAAGAGCCGCAGGAAGAACTGCACCATTTTTTATTCGGCCCCGTATTTTCCTTTCGCAGAAATGCGGCCCCTTGGAGGAATATCCAAGTTGGTTTTTGCCGACATCAGTCCAGTGCCAGCCGATCATGACGCCCGCAAGCAGTCACTGAGATACGACCTCGCTTATGTAATGAGCTCCTTGCAATCCAAGTGATGTCAGAACCTTATGAGGAGATGTAACACTTGATTCTTTGACAGTGTTTCTCGTTAACCAAACCGTCGGTGTTTGTAATTTTATAGTTGAAAATGCTGCAAAGTGCAGCGAAAGGGATAAAAAATTTGACAAGTGTACTAGGTAATGAGATAATTGGCTTGTCTCTGGGATATCTGAGCAAAGTTTTACCGGGCATACAAGTCTGTGGACAGGGATGAGCTCTGATCTGAATGTTTGATTATGGCGTTACGAACATCAGTTTCCTTTGCGAGCATGGGATTGTCTCTACATTTCACATATCCAACGATACCCCTTCTTGGTCTGATAAGGAGCTCTATGGCTTCTTGGCTCCAATCCTGCGTAGAAGAAGTGAAAGACTGCAGATCAAAGTTCATCTCGACTGTCCCGCTCGTAGGCATGACTACCGAGCTGGGCACAGAAAATTAGTAAACTGGACACAAGTTTCCTTCCCGCGTCCACGGACCCGTATATGCATGATGATTGAAGAGGCGACATCCCCTTTCGTACTAGGCAAATCAGCTTATGTTTACGGAAGAAAGACAGGGGGTTTTTCTGTTCACCAACGCATGAGTAGGAAGAACCAATGCAAAATTTTACCAACGACAGCGAATGCTAATCGTTCCTATTCTCGGATGAAAGGAAAGCTTAAGAAATCCAATGCACTCATGAAAAGACAATCACGATCGAGATCCTCAGACTGCAACAGCTTGAATAAT